CAAGGCGACCGTCTCAAGTCACTCTGTCATCAAATCGGTCTCCAATCGATTCAGTCAGTTTCCCCACAACTTGTCGAATCGGAGGAGTGTTAGCCACAGCTGGTCTTAATGAGATTCGGCCAAGTTGCATCACAGCACTATATCATGAGAGTCAGTCTCAATCCTATTTCTCATTCAATATTATCATCTTACTTAGCGTTCTCGCTTCCCAATATCCTACTTTACTTACTTGATCCCCTTATCCTACGCGCCTCTCAAATTCAAAATCACCTCAGCCACTAATGCGCGTCATAATATATACACATTTTGTAAGACAACAACTAAGACACCATATATATTTCATATTCCTTTCTCTGGACTCCTAATTCTTCCTCCCAGTCTAGGATATTAGGTCTCTCAGGTTAACACTTTTACATAGTCGATGTAGCTCAATTGGCGAGAGCGTACGACTGAAGTAACCGCATTCGTAAGGTTGGGCGTTCGATTCGCCCCATCGACATTTTTGCGTCTCCGGCATCATGGTTGCCAAGATGTTTTTTTATTACTTACTTTTGTATACAATTCTATATATTTATTTTGTTGTTCATGGAAACGCAAAATTAACTATCATAAAGTGATACCTATTAATAGTTATATGAAAAAGCGCCAAGCACCAAGAAGAGACATTTTAATATAAATATATATACATGTATTATTTAAAATTATGTTATCTTCCATTTAATTTATGTATCTTTTTTACATAATCTCTGGCTTTTATACTACATCATTTTTCCGATCTTTGAACAAATACTCCCATCAGAATTTCAGAATAATGTCTGATAAAGACCAATGGGGGCAGTCCTATCCGCCTAACAACCAGCAATACCATCTTCAACAGCCTCAATACGCACCACAGCAACCACAGCAACCACCACCACCGCCGCCGATTGATGAGAAAGGTAGCCGTTTTAAGCCAAAGCTTAGGTTACGCGACCCGATATTCTTCGTTTTATTCTTGTGTACTTTCTTCGCTTTCATTGGTTTAAGTGGATATGCATTACACGAGTGGACACAGGCTTCCGGCATCAGCTCAGGGCTTGGTAATACTAACGCGACTAATAACGCGACATTCACGAAGGAAACCGGTTATCTCTTAGTAGTTGATGCTGGAATTGGATTGGTCTTTGCAGTCATTTACTTGCTTCTGTTGCGTATCTTTACAAAGATTATATTGGAAATCACACTCGTTTTATCTATTTTAACTACTTGGGCACTTGCAATCTACCAATTCACTCAACATTACTGGTAAGTTGGTTTATTTATTTGCGAAATATGTTGAGATAAACGAACAGGTCGGGTGCTATCGTTCTTCTTATCATCGGTATTCTTCAAGTCGTATTCTACTTTGGTATGCGTAGACGTATTCCATTAGCATCTCTCCTCTTGAAGATCGTCATTGACATTGCTAAACACTACCCAAGTGTCTATGTTGTTAGCTTTATCGGTTTGATCGTCCAAACTGCTTGGAGTGTATTCTATGCGTTTGGCGTTGCAGCAATCTACGTCGTTTGGACACCTGGTTCAGAAATTTGTGGTAGCGGAACTGGTGGTTCATGTTCTTCTGGCAAAGTAGCAGGATTGGTGTTCTTCTTGACGTTCGCTTACTTATGGGTCAGTCAAGTATTTGGTAATATCGTTCTCGTTACTTTAGCAGGTGGTCCATATGGTGGTTGGTACTACTTTGGCCCATACCAACAAGATGGTAGTGGTATGCCAAAGCACCCAACTCCATCAGCATTCGTTAGAGCTTCAACTACCTCTTTGGGAAGTATTGCTTTCGGTAGTTTGATTGTTACATTCCTTGAAATCATCAAAATGATCTTTAGAGCACTTCAAAACAACGCTGATGCAGCAGGCGAAATCGGTAAAATTCTCGCTTGTTGTGCCGTTTGCGTTATTAGCGTAATAGAATGGCTTGTTAAAATCTTTAACAAGTATGCTTACATTTCAATCGCACTTTATGGTAAATCTTACATAAAATCTGCTAAATCTACATGGCATCTCTTCAAGGATAGAGGTATTGATGCGCTCGTAAACGACAGTCTTGTCAGTATTGGTTTGACTTACGGTTCATACTTCGTTGGTGTTTTATGCGGTTTATTCACTTACATTTACTTGAAGACTGCAAGTGTTGAATGGAATTCAGATGGTCAATTCACTGCTCCACTTCTCCTTTACGCTTTCTTAATCGGATTTACATGTAGTATGACACTCCTTAGCGGTTTGGATGCTGGTGTATCAACTCTTTTCGTTGGTATGGCTGAAGATCCAGGTGTACTTGCGCAGCGCGCTCCACCACTCTTCGAAGAAATTAGAAGAGTTTATCCTCATGTTGTACAGGGCGTTAACGTTTAATGACATCACTCCTTAATATTTATATAGTAGTATTATATTACAGTACAATAAACTTCATTTTAATAAATGCCTAATTCATCCTCCTAAGTAATCTTATTTCACCAAATGTGTTTCTCTTTTGCCAGAAGTTGAATGGTAAGTAGAGCGTGCGAGTTGCAATATGTGATAATGAAGCATCGAGTATTGGTAAAGATGTTGCGATAGTCCAGTCATTACTATTTGCGAAATCTGGTTCTAGTTCACTGAAAGTTGTAGAAGGTAGGACCACATCAACTATATAGTCACAGCTGTCAACAGGAACCTGAGTTTTTCGTCAGTAATTGACGCTAATTCAAATATCATCACCCACAAATCTGTCCCTCTCTTGTTTATTCTGATCATTCATATTTGGCGGTATACGTCTAATGTTATTGAGTAAACCTTCGGAATTCTGAGGCCAATGTGATGGTAATATACCATCAAATTCACTTTCTATGAATTGTACATCAACATTTTGAGGTATGAGATATGATGAAGGGAATCGGTACCAATCTTTGCCATAACAAAGCGTGATTTGACGCTCATTAAGGTGTGTTCTAGTTGATAGCTCTTTTTCTGAAAATTCGAATAAAATGTCAATAGGTGCGTGATAATATTGCTGCATAGCCAAAATCCTCATCACTGAAAGGACGATTGAGATAATAACAATCGACACTGTCAATGTCCTTGCAATTATGTTACTACTGATTACCTGAAATGTCGTTATAAAGAAATATTAAATGATGTTATGTTTACTCACAACTTTAGATGACTTTGTAAGTCTCTTAACGAGGTGTGAATATGAGGTTGAAATGAGAGTCCTTAAATAGTACAACCCAACTGCTGCATTTAAGCATAGAAGTGCGTATGAAGGAAACATGAACCTTTCTTCTTTATGTGGTTGGAGAGACAATAGCGCGAACCAGCCGTAGAAAGGAAGTAATCTTATGGTCACGAAAGTGAGATATTTCCGTTCAAATAGTGCAGCTAATGGGAGAGAAGCTACTGCTAATAAGAACACAAAGTTGAAGTTGAGAAGTAAGTTCAAGACGTAGAAATGAGGTGGTTCGACACCATACAACGTTGGACCATTCTCTGAGAAAATGTTGTATTCTATTATATTCAGAGGGACGACTGTCAGCTTTCCATAATAGAGTGAGTCTATCGCTACCACCGGGATCTGAAGGGGATCAGGTTAAACATATTCGCAATCGCGACAACACTTACAAAGAGAAGGCTGGCGACTACAACTGCCTTGATGAACTGCTCCAAGCGTTTTTTGAATATGGATTGTCCACCAGTGTACATAAACAGCTGCTCGATCACAAAGGGTCCTGCCAAAGTCAGGGCGAATGGCCATCCGGCTATAGCACCAAATGCGAATGAGAGGGTAGCAAATAAGCATCTCTTAAAGCCATCCTTGGATACAGTTGATGGTTTTATCGCAAATGCGTATCCCAAGGTTGTGGTATACAACGTGAATGACGAAGGTAATAATGCGATTGCAGATATGTACATTCCTGCACTACCTATAAGAAACGCCAATAGATATCTCCCTACTCGTGGATTGAAAGTCTGGCATACGGAACTGTAGAATGATGCTTCTATTACGCTTGATAAGAGACCCAAATAGGATCTCGTACCGAAGAATGCTATTCTCTTATCTGCACCAAAGTAAGATAGCATAAATGCGATTGGTGAGTTTATAATTATATAAAACCAGCTTCTAATCGAGTAAACTGGTGAGTATTCCCATGTTTGAAATCCGTTGTGATGTGTAAGATAATGCATTGATTCCCAATAATTATAAGCTAGGGTGTGACATTAGAACAGTAATACAGAGTAGTATAAAGCAACCCACACTCATCGCAATCTGTGATAATCGAATTCATCCCAGCAAGGAATCTGGCGACGAGTAAGAGCCTCAATGCGACGAAGAACGGCGGATACCATGCACTTTATCAATATTCAATAGACTTCTCATATCAATATATCGCTATTACCCTCTCTGATCATCGACGATCATTGTCAGAAACAAAGACAGTGCTTTTCTTTCTTTTTTATAAAAAAGTACAATTATGGTAAACTTTTTAATTTAATTTAAGTAAAAAACACGGTAGTGCTTTTATTCCAATATCGACATTATTTAAAACGACACCAGAATCAATTATTTTCGTTTGTTGTGCGAATTTATCTAATATTTCTTTCTTTGTACTATCAAGTGAAGTTATTTCTGAGTGTATCAGACGCGAATAAATTATTGGTTCTATCATATTCTTAAGCGCACGAGTACCATCCACTATAACGACTCTTCTGTTATTTACCAAGTAGATATCGACAACCTCCTTCATACCCTTAACTCGTATATGTGTAGATGATCTTTGTAAGATTAGTGCCTTTGTTAATGATTTCGTTGTGTCTATTAATTTTGCAGTGTTTAATAGTAACGTTGTGAACCGATAGAAAAACCCCGAATCAAGGACATAAGATTTAAGCCGCCTGTTCATATCCTCTTGTACATTTTTATGTGGGTTGCCTTCACCTGAGAAGTCTGCATATAGCATCTTTTTGTTAGAATTCCAACTCAATTTTACATTGTAATTATCCATGTAACTCAAAGTAATATTATCGAGGTTACTCTCGATCAGTTTGAATTGTCTGGTGTCTTTAGAAACCTGGTTAGCTATTAGTGTCACCTTAACGAATGTTGTCAATTGACCAATTATTTCAAGAATAGTATTTTCATTATCAGTTGTCGTCACTTCTACTACATTACTTTTGTAGTCATATCTCACGTTTTCGCTAGTTTTATCTTTCAGCTTTTGTAATATTGAACTACGTCCTTTAGGTTTGAAGACGGCTTGTATACGACACCCACTGGTGGATGCTCCCCACCAGTCCAGGACCTTGACTATTGCTATAGGTTTGAAGATATTGGCTATAGAAGGATGATCACGGAGAAATGCGTTCGAATGCACTGTCAAATGAGGAATCAAGCCAGCCAATCTTGAGCCTGTGTTTGTAGTAGCGAAATTGAACTCCACAGAACGTTGTTTTAATTGTCGTTCAATGATTATGTAATTAGAGCGAGCTAGTGAATATGCGTAAAGGATGCGAATGTGATTCATATCAAGGAGTAGGTGATCTGTTAGAGTTTCTTCTGCTAATATTTTGGTGGTGTCAAGCCAACCAACATAATCCACATGTAGCTCAGTATTTACTTCTTTCATACCAATTAATGCAACGTGTACTTTTGATTCACCGATTGCGATAGCCATTGTGAATAAATTATTGGATGAATTAGCAAAAGGCAGATGAATGAACATCCAAAATCTCGCTTGTAATTTGAGCTTATTGAGTTCTCCTTTGGCGAATTTGAGTCGTCGGGTTCCTTTGTATTGTAGATATGCACATTTCTGTTCAATATCTTCAATTGCGATACTCTGTCTCAATCTGTTGACAATTTCAACTAGTAGTGGTGTATTATCTGATATACCACCAGCTTCGTTCATGCGATCGAGCAAGTTTTTGATACGTGCAGGTGCACTTGTACCACTCTCATTTGGATCTCTTACTATTAGACGACCTGTAGTTGGTGATATTGAGAGAATTAGCTTCTGAGTCTCGAATACTTGAATATGGAGTGTTGGACTAACACCCAAACCAAGGACTTCAGGAATTTGAAGTTGTACAGTTGCGTTGTTGAACCAAGAGGACGATGCACAAAGTGACTTCTTGTACCTTTTGAGTAGTGCGACACTGTGAGCTACAAGTGCTTGCAGGACTACACGCTCAATTGACAAATTATCGTTATTCTATCAATTTAGCGTAGTTCTACTGGGATAATTTCAACTCACAAGATCTAAAACTGCATCCTCCACTTCGGTTTTATCATTCCGCGTCCAATCAACTTGCAAACATTGTTCAATAATTTCATCCGCCAGAGCAGTCGCCTTTAGTTTTGACTTTATCTCAATTTGATTGAGTATGCTCTCAACAGGATTTTGTTTCTCTGATGATAGTGTAGCTATTGAAATGTTAAGTCTGCCACTCTCAGTTTTCTGATTTGGAGGTGGACTCTGACCGGGTTTGGGTTGTTGACGGGGCCTCAACCAGTAGCCTATTGAAAGGTTTCTACGGTCTTTTGACAATGTAAGATCAATTTTGTTTTTCCAGGTCTTTCTGGCCATATTTAATGCTTGGGTATGCAAAATTTCCATCTTATAATTCAATGAGAGGTTTGTAAGAAGGTTGTAAAGACGGACGAGAGGTGCGTCACCTAATGCACTCGTCTTTGGTGGCTTACTAGCCAATTCTTCGTTCGCTATTGCTAGAATTTCATCCCTGGTTCCAAATTTCGGCTTCTTCGTATAAACGGAAGAGTCAATATCGAATTCTACAGACAACAAAAACCAAATGTCGTCATCTGATCTACCTGAGAGCGTGACTGAGCAAGTAAAAAGGTTTTTGACGTGAAAGAAAACGCGGCCATCAGCAATAGTGTAAGGTATCTGTTTCATAGAATGAGGAATAATTTCTTTTGTGCGTAATCTAAAGCGTATGACATCGTTAAGTTGTTCTAAGTGTGCAATTACAGCTGTTACTGAGAGAGGTTTTTCAGGTTTAAAAGCTCTCTATGGGTTCGATAAGTTGGGGTGCAACTGAATAAACGGCTTACTGACCCTCAAACCGACGGGTAGACCGTGGTAAGTACCGGTTTGAAGAACGTCTAAAGCGGTGATAATATCCGCGTTTCTTACTCTATAGATATTATCAGAGGCTGTGTATAGCTATGATAAATAAATACCGACCTCGCATTACTAAAGCTCAAGCTGACGTCTTGTAAACCCTGCACGGTGGCTTGGAAGATGAAATTCTGCCTCCATAAAAGCTCGTTGATAGATCTCGCTATTTGTATCTTATCCGAACCTGCTAGAGGATCTCTGGCCCATCTGAGTAGAACTATGAGTTTTATGACTTGTTTACGGCTATTTAAAGCGAAATTAACGATATTTGAAGCTCTATCTGAAGGGTTGATAGATGGTAAACTGTCTAGCTGTTAGAATAGCGTATATAGAGACAAATGAGCTCACGTCTCCGCCAGAATATGGAGATCGTTGAATATCCTAGCAATCGAACGTTCTAAAATAATAGAGAAAGGGACTAAACTATCTTTCACGTCTGGAATTAAATCGAGCGGTGTAATTTGACTGCCACCGATTTTGCTATCGTTGGCAGCCATCATTTGAGAAGCTTTTAAATTCAAACGATCAAGTTCTAATGCCGAAAGACAAATCCTCTACTACGAAATCCAATGGAATAAAGAAAGTAAAGGGTGAGAACTTCTACAGAGATGCAAAAAAAGCTTCAAGGGTCAAGGTATGTCCCTATCCTCAGATTTGATTCCTTCTGACAACCCAAAAGATGTACACAGGCGGCAAAGCCAGGAGAGACCCTAATGGTAAAATCATAGAGTCTGCCGCTTTTCAAAAAACTGAGAAGGAGACCGACATGGGCAGAGTTGCACCTGATAGACGCTGGTTTGGAAACACCAGAGTTATCTCGCAAGACGCATTAAACCACTTTAGAGACAGCTTAGCTGAGAAGTCCCACGATCCTTACTCTGTCGTCCTCCGCAGGAACAAGCTTCCTATGGGTCTTATCCAAGAGCCAAACCTCGGAAAAGCCAAGGGAATGGCCGGAAACCATATCGTAGATACTGAACCATTCAGCGACACCTTTGGTCCAGGCGCTCAGCGTAAAAGACCAAATCTCGATGTCAGCAGTTTTGAAGAGCTCGGCAAATCAGGTGCAGGTGCTCGCACTGAGGATCAGCTCGAGGCAGACGCTCCTACACCTTCCTTAGATGATATCAAGAACGTTAACAAGTCAAAGCCTGCTGTATCCCTCGGCGTCGATCAAGTTGATCAAGATCAAATTCCTTTCGACTTGGGCGATTTACGCAACTCAAACAGGGAAGCTGCTTATCGTAAAGGTACTAGTAAGCGTATTTGGGCTGAATTATACAAGGTCATCGACAGTTCAGACGTCATCATCCATGTTCTTGACTCCCGTGATCCAGAGGGCACACTTTGTAACAGTGTTTTGGAAACAGTTAGAAAGGAACGTTCACACAAGCAAGTCATCCTCGTTATCAACAAGGTCGACTTGGTTCCAACATGGGTTACTGCAAAATGGGTAAAGCATCTCTCAAGGACTTATCCAACTTTAGCCATGCACTCAAACATCAACAACTCGTTCGGTAAAGGTGCACTCATTCAGCTTCTCCGTCAATTCTCAGTTTTGCATTCGGACAAGAAGCAAATTTCTGTTGGTCTTATTGGTTATCCAAATGTTGGTAAAAGTAGCATTATCAACACTCTCAAGAAGAAGAAGGTCTGCAACGTTGCACCAATTCCTGGTGAAACTAAAGTCTGGCAATATGTCTCTTTGATGAAGAGAATCTACATGATTGACTGTCCAGGTATCGTTCCAGTATCAAAGGGTGACTCTGATACCGATACCGTATTGAAGGGTGTCGTACGTGTTGAAAACTTGGCTACACCACCAGAGCACATCGGTGAACTCTTAAAGAGAGTTAGACATGAATATCTTGAACGTACTTACCAAATTACCAAACCAACGGATGGTGTATGGGAAGGTGAAAGAGGTACAGAAGATGTCTTACAGAAGATTGCCAAACGTACTGGTAAATTACTTAGAGGTGGTGAACCGGATCAAAATGCTGCTGCAAAGATGGTTCTTAACGATTGGATTAGAGGAAAGATTCCATTCTTTACAGCTCCACCTGGAATTGATGCTGACCCAGTCATCAAGACGCTTCCTGAAGAACCACAAGTGAAGCCAGCTGACTGGAAGGGCAAGGGTAAGGCTACTGAACATGATGAACAAGAGGATGTTCCATCTAAGCAATTGAAGGGTGTCAGCCAGCCAATCAAGCAGATTCCAGTAGCTACCAAGTTCTTGCCTGATGATGTTAAGGGTCATGAGGATGCCTTCGAGAATGATAATGAAGGTGAATTGGCGGATGCAGACGCTGATGATGCTATCGCTCTCAACGAGGAAGATGACAGCGAAGAGGAAGAAGAATACGAGGAGCCAGCACTCGAAGAAATAGGATGGGACGAAGTATTCAACAATGGTGAAGTAGCTGAATCAGCTAGCGAAGATGAGCAACCAAAGAAGGTCAACTTTGCAAGCGACGATGAAGACCAGCCAAAGAAGACTAAGGAGCCACGTAAGACAACGTCCAAGGCTAAAAAGACCAACTACTACACTACTGCCAACGTCAAGAACAAGAACAAAAATAAGCAAAAGCCAGAACCGCCATCTGAGGAAATCGAAAAGAAGAAGCGCAAATCTGGTAGTCTCCGTAACACTCAAAACAAGAAGAAGAAGTAACGATTTTATTGTATTTAATATAGATTTATTATTTATTCCTTTAACAAAAACGACGAAATGTGGCTGCAATCCTTGAGTTGCTTGACGAGAATATCAGATCACCTACAAAATAAAATAAAGCGTGATAGCGACAATCAAGCTTATCTTAAGCTATGGATTGATTTACTTAAGGAGTTGAAGGATCTCGGTTTGGATGATAAGGAGGAAGTTAGACTGGGTACAATATCGACGTTATTCCAGTCCTTGGATTTCTATGGACACACTCTATCATCTCAAAGCTGGGAGCAAATCATCTGGGATGTCATTATACCCTTATTGGACAATACCTTGTCATCTGGCTGGCATGAATCGCTCACACTCGCGTTAGACTCCACGGCAAGCTTATTTAAGAATTATTTGCATTCAAATATCAAGCATTTGGAATCATTCAACAAGCTCTGGAAGCATTTGTGTGATATCCTCGAACAAGTCATGCTTGTAGCAGACAACCAGTTGGTTAGTTCAACACTTAAAGCGTTTATTTCAATAGAGGAGGTCTTTAAACAGGAAGAACTAGACAATGACATATATCAAGTTAGTTGGAATACCTCTTTGAAGTCTTTCGATATCATTAAATCAACCGATTCACAATTCGCTCAGGAAGGACTTGAGTTGCTGTTAAGGTTTATAAAATACCATTACGACTCGCAGGGGTCTACCTGGGATGATAATCGTTGCGTTGAGTATATCAAATCAGTGGATTTTGTAATAAGATACCCCAATTACTCTAATTTTAGGGCAGATACTGATCATTTGGTGCGTAACATTTGTCAGCATTTGCCATCAGTATTCGTTTAACAACAACATACAGACACCTCTACAAAATCAATCATTGAAATGTCTCGCAAGTGTAGAAGAACACAGTGATAGCATCATGTCAACCGTTCTCGAGATATTTTCAGAATGGGCGTCATTTGCATATGATAATGATCTAGTGCTTAATTCTAGGGTATCATTTGTTGCACTATCGAAGCACATCATGGGTAATTTCACATCATATGTGAGACAATATTGCTTGACTGGAAAGAAAGTGATCACAAGTTCTTCATTGAGAGCTTCACTGATTGTGAGTAATCAATGACTTTTGATATGACGCTCAAAAGGCCCAGGCTTTGAGTATACCCCTGCGGATAAAGTACTCTTGTCCTCCTGCTAGCAAGCGCGATGATATAACTTTATGGGAAATTGCTCAAGACCATTACTGCGAGTATACTCATGTCGTATTGGAGATTCTCCAGCAGCAGAAGAGTGGGTATTCTTTTCGATTGAGGGTTTTTCTCATTTCTGAACAGGTATTATGGAGGATGATGAGCAAATGAATATAATCATCTGCTTGATAGAGATAATGAGAGATAGCTTCAAAGTTGATAGGTGGGTATTCACATCACGTAAACTACTTAGCTAAGTAAAGAAAAAGACGGTTAGCGATGAACGAGCCACTCGAGCGACAAGCCCGATGGGAGAAACACGAAGTAAAACTGATAGACAACTTCAAAGATACTCTCCTACCCCAGTTGAGGAATAGGAACTTACCTGAGACGCTAATAGACGAGCTCATTGGAGTTCTTTGTAATGCAACATACCCATATCTCAATCCTGAAGATTACAAATATGGAAGTTTGATAGAGGAGACGACGAGTCCAGTTGAGAGATTATCGTATTACCTATTTGATGTTTTGTTCGACATCTGCGAAGAGAAGCTAGACCTACTGGATTTAGTACCCATTGTTCAAAAGCACATCATATCGAGATGTATAGCCTCATTTGAACGCTACTGCTGCGATAGGGATATCCATGGTAATTATCCGCTAACTAGGTAAGCGAATTCTAATCATCTTGATGCCTTTTTTAACGTGCACAGGTGTAGACGGTACGAGATAGTATACATTCTGAACAAACTACATTCATTGCTTATCTCAAAAAAATTGGACAAAACACTGGTACAAGAATTGAAACTAACATTGGCTAAATTACTAGCAATAATTCATAATGATCCATTCAATCCACGTATAAATAGTCAACCTTCAAGCATATTAAACATTGAATCAAAACAATTATCTCACAACATCCATCAATTGGCTTTAAATTGCTTGTCAAATACATGATGTACAAAAATAATAAAAAAACGAGTAAAAATGAAAACTATAAACGTGGACGCTTTGAATTATCGCGTGTATTTGAGAAGTCTGGTTGATGGTAGGAGTTAGTAATGAAATTGTTATAAATGGAAGTGTCCAGGATTTTCTAGTGAGAGGTTCTATGCTCATTTTAGCTATTTGACGGAGAAGTTTTTCATCTAATTCGTCTATGCTTATGCTTTTTCTTACTGAGTGCCCAACATTCTACGCTCACCTGCTTTCAGCCAGTGAGATAGCCACATTGGTAGTGTTCTACCATCGAAGAGTTCAGTATAAGTGTGAGTAGATCTTGTGACACTTGCATGTGTATCTGCTGGAATTAATATAGGGAAATCCTTAATCCATGGATGATTAATTGCATCAGTTGCAGACAAGCGTCGACTTGGTGAGTATTGTAATAACCTCTCAATTAGATCATATGCAGTTGCGATAGGTTTGTAATTCGGTTGATGATTGAATGTTTCTGGGAGTGGGTCTGGTACTTCTGGCAAGTATGGAAGATACTCAGAAAGATGTTTTGGTGTTGTGCTCTTAAAGCTGATTTTATTGTAATCCGGCAATTGAGCATATTCCTGGGCTTGTTAGTTAAATTCTTTATAATAAAATACTTGCTTACTGGCCAACTATCGTCAGTTATAGGTCCTCTGACACTGAGAATACTAGACGCTAGTCCAATTTCACCATGTGATGCATCGAATAGTGTCTTGCGTGACCACCGCGATTGATTCTGTACTTTGTGGAAAGACTGCCTACGAGTGCTCATATCAGGAAGACCAGGAAGAGTGATCGGAGCATCAAGACGAACAAGACCACCTTGACTGGATGTAGATATTGACGACGAGATTGATGATGTAGAGTTCGTCCTTGGTGAAGTAGAGCAATTGTAGCTTGTCAAATGAGAGAAAAACGTGGATAATGTAACACCAAGACTCCACAAATCGGTACTTCTGGCATCGTATGCCCTGCTACCGAACAACAACTCTGGTGCACGATATGCGCCAGTTGCTAGCTCGAAGTACATCCCGCCATTTGGATGCTCGTCTTCCATCCCGCAGCCATACTCAAATGCCACACCAAAGTCAAGGAGCTTTACGCAACCATTGCCGTCGACGGCGACGTTTGATGGGTTGACGTCACGGTGGGCTATACCCACCTCGTCGGAATGCAAATACTCGATGGCAAGCAAGAGCTGGTAAATGATGGACCGTGCTATGTGACTGAATGGACTGAATGATGGTACGAAATCTGGGTAGGACAGGATCATTGACAGTGGGAGCGGCTGGAGTGGGAGTGCGAGGACATAGATTCTGTCAGATTCGTAAGCATTGAGGAGACTAATAATCTAATAGAGGATGTTAGAAATTTACTATAATTACATACTGCTTACATTCGGATGATGTGTGCGGGCAAGTATAAACGACTCTCTAAGTGCATCGTGTGGCAGGCGCTTCTTGTTTATGAAAACGTTGATAGCTTTGAGCGCTATCCATCCTTGTATACCGCCTATATTATCGTCGATTTTGCGCTGACAACGGTAGAGCAGCCCATGTCGACCCTCCGTGAGCGGTTCTAGAGTGTCCTATCGACCGTCAGACTAGAAACTCAAAAGAGGGATTGCAAACCTCGTCTATTGATAATGCTCTGCCTTCTAGTATCCCTGGCGCTATCAAAGTTTCCGGATTGTCCTCATTGAGGTCATTATCTGAAACGATGTTCATGGTGAGAGCATAACAAACAATATTCGCTATATCGGATGATATGGGGGTGCTTACACTTAGCTGTGTTAGACTGTCTAACAATTATTCTATTTCTGGGCATTCTCTTCGTTTGTTCTATTACTTCTGTGAGACCAATTTCTCTCATTTGAACACAGCAGCATGGCATTAAGTTGAAGGAATTATCATTAATTATATTCGTTATCTTTACAATATCTACTCGTTTCCATCATCTGGCCGTTCTCAGCATATGATGTCAGCTCTAACGTGGCTTGAGATGGCTTATATCACAGGAAATCGCCTTTCCATCCAAGATAACCTCACTTAGAACCTTACCGGTGCCCTATGACGAATCAGCTGAGTACAGACATCACTTATACGTTACATACAGGTCCATTAGTGATACCCCATACGGAATGTCCTGCTCCGATGTAGATTCCTTCACTGACCTTACCGATAATTGGTGAATGTGATGATGATATTGGTAAATAACATGCCTGCTCCTTTTCAACTGACATTGTCTCGTTGAAGTAGTCAGAGATCAACGCAGATTGGGCTTTAAGCTCTGCGATTGCACTTTTAGAAGGCACAACTTGAGAGGCATCATCTGGGAGAGCTACACTATCACCTGCTCCACAGATATATGCTGTACCCTTTGGTCTACAGTATATCTCAGGCTCATGGGTCGTTGATCTCTCTTTGACCATGGTGAACAAACAGTGGTTGCTGAGTTCTCTGCCTTGACTTGGTCTACCAGCTGTTAGAAATTCTGCATGTGTATTGCGCAACGTACCTAACGATAATTGAGTGTGCTCTTTGTCCGTCAACTCGACATTTCTTGGCTTCGGCTGGTGTGAGTAATTTTTCCGCTACTCTTCCCGTCCAAGGACCAGCTTGGGGTCGTTAGAAAATGTCGAGAGCCCGAGCAATACCCACCAGTCAATACGATATCTGTTGCAGATATCTCTATGTTGTCCCCTTCCCTCGTTTCAGCTCTGACCGATGAAATTTTTCCGTCGTTATCTCTACTAATCTTCACAGGCGAAGCTATCACAATATCAGCTTTGCTGTGCTCTGCGAGGGTTTTGACAAGTGCTTCCGGCGTAACTTGTGCGGTGCTAGGTGGTGTGCCCATTACGGTGCATTTATCGACAATGTTATCATTCAGCCAATGTGCGCCTTTCTTTTTAGATTCGTCGAGTTTCCCCTTCTTTGGTCCGACTTGTCCCAGTAAACTGAGTGCATTTACTGGTCGATACTCCCAGTTATTGACACCATCGTACGTATCTGCGAGCTCCTTATGGAGACTAAAGGAGAGTTCAGCTAGACTGGCTGTATCCGGACCATGCCAATCTTCCGCCAGGAATCCGCCAGATTTACCGGATGCTGCAGACGCTACTGACGTCGATTCCAAGATTGTTATCTTATCTTTTCCCGGCGTGTATCCTGAGTGCTTGCTTAAGTAGTATGCTGTACTGCTACCAACTATACCGCCGCCAATGACGACTATTGATTTTGCCATAGTTGTATTGGAGTAAGTGGATAGATGAGATCAACAGTTCAAGTAATAGTCAGATTTTATCTTTGACCTTTGTTGACGTATATTTCATTGTCTTCTCTCTTATCCCTACACCACCACATGGACTTAGCGACGATTTTGATTAGCAGTCTGTCTCCAGACACAGCACAAAGATCAGCCGCGGAGAAGGAACTAGAGAGATTGCAACCTGACGCTCAGTTTGCTCTCGCTCTCACGGATCTGATCGCTAATCTCGATAACCCGCTACACACGCGTCAGATAAGTGTACAGTTGGACTGCTACTATCCATGCTAATATAACTTTACTCAGCGGGTATCATCCTCCGTAAATACGTCAATGAGCGCTGGTCACCCTTCTTTGTTGCATTCAAAGGTAGTCCACCACCGCCAGAGGTGCGTAATTCCTTATTTAATGCGCTATCTAACTTTAAAATAAGATTAAAGATGTTATTAGACAGCGTTTGTACGCACTATTGGCAACACCACACAAGCAAATTAGAACAGCATGCGCATACGCTTTAGCTTCAATTGCAAGCTGCGATTATCCAGAACAATACCCTTCACTCTTGCATGATCTAGCTCAGCTAATACAGCAAGGTGGTAGAGATGGCGTACACGGTGCTATGAGAGTTCTTCTCGATTTCGTCAAGGCAGACCTCACAGAGGCGCAATTGGTGCCAATCACCCAGGAATTGCTCCCATTGCTACTTCAGATTCTTAAGAATCCACATTACGCAGACAGTACCAGGGGTTTGACAGTCGCTGTTCTTAGACAATGCGTACTTACACTCGAAATGGTCAAATCGACCTACCCAGATGCTGTCAAAGATACCGCGAACAAGGTTATACCCGTATGGATGGATGCCTTCATTGAGGTTCTCCAAGTACCTCCACAACTAGAGAGCAGGTCTCAATGGGGTATCAGATTTGAGATTGTTAAGGTATGTTCTAATGTATATCCTGTTTTGCTTCGCTCTAACAACTACAGACCATCTCCTCTGTTTTCTCTACCTTCAAGCCTCTCATCACGGCTAGCAATAGAATAGACATTTTGACACGCACTTTGATTGATCATTTAGGATCCCTTCTGCCAATATTCAACGATATAGAAGTTTATGATACCAACACTTATGAACAACCTGATGGAGAAGAAGATGACGATGGCGCTACTGTCAATGAACTCATCTGTCCTATTGTAGACCTCCTTACTGGGTTTGCGAACAACAAACATGCCAAGTCTACAATAGAGCAAGTAATCCCTGTACTTGTAAGACTATCGCTTGAGTGGGGTCAAATGACGGTCGAAGACGTGGGTCTTAACCATGAGGTTTTACTTTTATTGACATAATACAGGAAGAAACATGGGGCTCAGACCCTAATGCCTTCGTTGATGATGAAGAAGATGAGACTGAGAACTACAGTCTTAGAGTTGCAACACATGATTTATTGGGTACTTTATTGGATAGGTACCCAAGCCTCACTGCTCAAGCTCTTGGCCCTGTTACTGGTGAAATGCTCGCAAATTCCCAAGGTGCATCTCAGGAGGGCAACCAATACTGGTGGAAGCCAATCGAAGCCGCCTTAGCTGCGATTGGTAATCTCTCAAACCAATTAGGTGATGAGGATCACCCAGCAGCTGAAAATTTCGATCTCGTAGGATTATGTCAGAGTGTTGTTAGCCAATTCGTTAGTGCCAAGGAAGCGCCTTATCTACAAGGAAGAGCTTTCGTTTTTGCTTCCAAATTTGCCACCAATTTGCCAGAAGCACTTGTTGACGCTTTCGTTGAAGCTGCAGCTAGCATTTTGACTGAGAGTGATGCTGGGGTACCTGTTAAATTGAGCGCTGTACGCGCAATAAGAAAGTAAGTCATCATGTTTCTTGCATTTTCACACTAACGATGGCTTAGCTTCGCTCATGATTTGGATTCCGACAGAATAGGTCCAAAGGCCTTACCTATTCTCTCTTCAGTAGTCCCACTGCTTTCACTTACGACCGAATCTACGTTAGGTTTATTAGTCGAGGCGGTAGATGGCTTGCTCAGTACTATCGAGAAAGAAACTCTAACAACCGATCTTGTTGTTCAATTGTCTTCGGTTATCTTGCCAGTTTGGGAAAAGAATATCAATGATCCACTGTTATCTTCCCAACTCGATGATTTGTTCGTTACGTTGTCCAAGTTGTCACCATCCGTTCATACGGCATTGGTAAATGTCTCTGTTTCTCCCCTTGTTAGTGCCGTTAGCCGTGCTTTACCTGGACAAACGAGCGACGATGATATCGATGCACGTCTGCTCGCTAGCTCAGCATTGCAACTTATCAATTCAATTGTAGGTGCTCGAGCACAAGGATTGGAACCAAGTGTTTTGGATTCAACATGCCCAGCACTTTTCAGCATCCTCGAAGCATCAGATGATAGGTCACTTGTACAAGACGGTATTGAGCTGCTTACGACATTCATCCGTAAGGATATACAAGGCTTGCTCGAATGGAACAATGATACACTCGTTAGAATTCTCAATGTTATCGCAAAATTACTCTCAACTGCTGAATCTGAAGGTAGTGCTCTATTTATTGGCGATGTTATTATACAACTTTTCCGCAATGTACCTAAAGAGATACTCGACCCTGCCTTACCACAACTCTTGAAGGTTGTTTTGGACAGATTGGCGTTGAGCAAGACTTCAGCCTTTACCCAAAACTTGGTCATACCATTCGCATATTTGATTCACACTCGCAGAGAAATAATGTTAGATTATTTGGCGAATACAGCAGTATTGGATGCTACGACTAATCAAATGGTTAATGGCCTAGAAATATTGTTGAGAATGTGGAGTGAAAATGCTGAAACATTTAGAGGATTTTGGGCTATTAGAATTAGTACACTCGCTTTAGTTGACTTGTATACAAGTCAGGATCCAAGATTAGAATCTATTTTCGTTAAAGGTGATCAAATATTTGATGAAGCTAACAAAAACACCATAATGACGCGCTCAAAAACTCGCAATCAACCTATCAGCTTCACTAGTATAAACTTCCCATTGAAAGCCGTAAAGTTGATTTTAAATGAGCTTCAAAATGCAGGCACATCAGCTGCTAAATCGAACGTACTTAAGGATGTTGATGAAGATGATGAGGATGATGATTGGGAAGATGATGATCCACTTGGTGGTGCTGATGATGATATTCACTTCTTGTCTGGTGGGTGAAGGTCGATATTATGATAATTCGCTCATAACTTCTAGATTTACTCAATCCAGGTGGTGCAGGACTGCTTGATGCATTCGACGAGGATGATGATGAGGAGGATCTGAAAAATGATCCAGATGCACAGCTAGATATTGCTGTGGGTTCTTTCTTTATTACTAAATTCTAATTGACATCCTCTTAGGCATACTTGTCTGATTTCCTTAGACGAGCATATACTGACAACACTTTCAATACTCATGAAAGATGTGCTAATCTTACGCCTCAAGAACAAGCAATTTTTCAACACGCTATGGTCAACTAATTTAGTGTTATTTCCATTGTCTTGGAATAATAGGATATAAATTTATTACATATCTTTTGGTATCAAATAGCGATGTCATCCTCGTCTAATTGTTGATTATCCCTTACTACTCTCTGCCGTAAAGTGTTGTCTTCGTTGGCATTTGATGGTGTAAGGCTCCTCTCAGAAGGTGTCTCAGCTGGTTCAGAATCACTGTCGTATGACCTCCACTGAGATGAGGATATAGATTCACCATCTAGTGTGACAGACTCGACAGGTGTTTCTTCTCTGCTCGACACCTCGGTTTCTTTATCTTGTGTCTCCTCTTCTCCTTCCGGTAATGCTTTATGGTCTTCATCATCTTCTGTGAGTTGGCCAGATTGATTCGTGCCACACCAAACTAGCATAGCCACAGACCAGATCAAAATGAAGGATCCAGCTGTGAAGATGACAAAAGAAGTGATGGGGAAGGTTACCAGTAGCCAGCTAGAACAAAGTTCTTAGTAAATAGAATCTAGTACACTATAACTTACCTCAATCCTACTAACTTTATATTGAATAGCAAAGACGCGTCGTATACATGCAGCTCTTTCTGCGGTAATGTTACGTTATCGGCTATCCAATCCTGTCTTCCTACGGTGACAGTAGCTGCTGTGAAAGACATCTGTCTCAATGATCTCGTTGATGGCTTAAGAATTGTGCTCGAAAGAGGCACTTTGATCTTTTGTGCTTTCTTAAAAATTAAGGATGTTAAAACATTCGGATGTTGCCATGTCAACAATGCCTGACGCGCTTTTTTTAGTTTTTAATCACTTTAATAGAGTCTACCGACAGGTTTAGATGCAACCAGCTCGTTGCTGAATGTGTTTTCCAATTCCAGTGTGATCATGAAGTTCCCTTGAGGTTATTAGACAAACAGAAGCGAGAGAGAGAGCTATATCTCACCCAGATTGAGATTATTTATGTCGTTTGGGACTTTAAGTTCGAGTGATAAATCGTATGTCTGATCTGGAGAGACACTATCCATTGGGATACTGACGGTATCGAATGGAACTTTACCCAGACTGGAGGATAAGGACGTATTTTGTATTCAGAATGATAACTCACCCATATTGGAGGTTAATCGGGAGTGACCATCCACGCGAAGGGACTATATACCATCTAAACGAACTGTAGGATACGACAGCACTAATAATGCTAAGATACGTGATGATAAAGAATATTGCCACCCTTAGTAACCATCTTAGTACGTTGGAGTTCAGAATTCTGGTTAAAATCTCATTCAATTTCGTCATTTGGATGTTTTGGAGAAACAATGAGTGGGATTGAGAAATTGGTGGATACGCATTGTCATCCGACAGATAGCGATAATGTAAATCTGAGTGAGCATACGAGAAAGATGCATGCTGTATGTGCGATGTCGACACACATCGAAGACCAAGACAAGGTTAGAGAGTTGTACAAAGGATATCCGGATAAAGTGATACCTTATTATGGTGAGTGGAGGTATATATGCTATATACATTAACATTATCAGGTTATCACCCTTGGTGGTCGCATTTGTTTACATTTGAGGAGAATATAAGCAAAGAGGAGCATTATGAGAGTATACTCCTGGACGGTAAAAAAGATGACATAAAGAGAGAGCAGCTGAGTGGCTTGCTAGATACTCTACCCACGCCAATACTCTTCCAAAATCTTCTTATAGACATAGAAGAACGTCTGCAAGACAATCCTCGGGCACAAGTCGGTGAAGTTGGAATTGACAGGGTGTTCAGAGTGAAAGGTGAAGATGGTAAACTGACAATTCTGCAACCTTCAATAGAGCATCAGAAGAGAGTAGCAGTTGCACAAGTCAAACTTGCGAAGAAATATAACAGGTTAGTAAGCATGCATAGTGTATCAGCTACACAGGGCTCTTTGGACATAATAAGGGCCGCTGATTATCAAAGAATAGTCTTGCATAGCTGTGGGATTGGACACAACGCCATAACAGCAGCTCGTAAGGAATTTCCGGATATTTACTTTGGGTTTAGCAAAGCAATAAACGCGCGTTCAATGAGTTTATTAGAGGATAGTATATCGGTCACACCACTCAATAGAATACTCACAGAGAGCGATTTCTATGATGAAGCTCACTTTCCAGTCCAAGTGGGAGAGATGGTCGATATAATAGCACGTATAAAGGATGAATCTAGAGATTTCATTGTAAATAAAGTAAAAACTAATTTTGATGAGCTATTCTAACGAATTCGCCACTATTTCATCCTTTGAAGACATCCACGATGAGTGGAAACCAGAACGTGAGAGATAAGCCTATATATCGTATAATATACTAATAAATATATAGCCACAGCATGCTCAGTTCCAATACGCGGCGATGTCGTCGCTCGTATTGCAATCTAATAGATCTGCTAGACCAGATGAACCAACAGGACAGGCGGAGTCCCTGGCTGGCAAAGTAACAGCTAAAGATATGGGTACACGGGCTACGAGAGATACCGTTAAAGATAAGGAGAAGAAGAAGCTCAAGTCAAAGTTCGACGATCAGGATCCTTCATCTACGACAGCTAGGAGTTCAGCCACTAATAAAGGATATGGCTACACCAACATTTTGGAGGCTACACAAGATATGGAGGGTTTGGACTATAGACCGAGAACGGCAGAAACTAGACAAGTTTACGAGTTGATCTTGTCTGTTGTACATTCAATATTGGGTGATACTCCTCAAGATACTATCAGATCAGCTGCAGATGTTGCACTTGGTGTCCTTAAAGATGAAAATCTCAAAGATTTCGACAAGAAGCGCGAAATTGAAGGTTTCGTTGGTCAATTATCTGATGACCACTACTCTCAATTGCTAGGTCTCTCAAAAAAGATCACAGATTACGGAGATGCAGATGTTGTTATGGCTGATCCAGATGCCGAGAAGAAAGAAGGTGAAATTGATGAAGAGGGTGTCGCTCTTCTTTTCGAAGATGATAACGAACAAGACGATGATGAAGAGCGATTCGAAGTCGGTGATGACCAATCAGATGATGAGGAAATGAAAGAAGAAGAGGAACAAGAAAATCTCGATGATGACAGTAATGAAATGGTCATCGGTGGTGAAAAGAAGCAAACATCTGAAGCAAAGAGCAAAATTCCCGCTGCAGATGTCGATGCCTTCTGGCTGCAGAGAACTATTGCTCAACACTATCCAGATCCTGTAGAAACTACCGAGAAAACATCGTCTGTTTTCGACCTCTTGTCATCAGAAGCTGGCGCCAGAGAAGTTGAGAATGGCTTGATGGACATTTTTGATTACGAAAGGGAGTTATTCAAGGTCGTTCAAACTTTACTCATCAACAGAGATCTCATAGTATGGTGTACAAAGTTGGCCAGAGCTTCAGACGATGAAAAGATGGATCTTGAAGTAAAAATGCGTGAGAAGGGAGTTGGTTGGATTCTTCGTGAGTTAAAGGGTGAAAAGCCTAAACAAGAAGGCGGTGATGTTGCGATGGAGATTGACCAAAGCAAGCAAGCCGTACCAAACAAGGCCACACTTGCACCTGGATCAACAGTTGCGCCAAAGCGTGTTGTCGATTTGGATAGTATGGCCTTCTCCGCTGGTGGTCATCTCATGTCAAACAAAAAGGTTAAACTTCCTGATGGCTCTTTCAAGCGTTCTAAGAAGGGTTATGAAGAAATTCACGTTCCAGCGCCTAAAGTGACTCCAGTTAAGGAAGGTGAATTGGTTCCAATTACAAAATTACCAGAGTGGTCACGAGAAGCCTTCCCCGGTACCAAGACCCTCAACAGAGTTCAATCTAAACTCTACCCTGTTGCATTTGGGCAAGATGACCCCATTCTTCTTTGTGCACCAACAGGTGCTGGTAAGGTGAGCCTGATGATTTTAAAATGAGAGCTATGATACTAACTGAATATGTAGACAAATGTTGCTATGCTTACCATGTTGAACACTATTGCTCAATACAGAGATGAAGAGACCGGTGCTATTGACTTGGATGCCTTCAAAATTGTTTATGTTGCTCCAATGAAAGCTCTTGTTCAAGAGCAAGTCGGTAGTTTCAGCAAGAGATTAGAACCATTTGGTGTCAAGGTCAATGAGTTGACAGGTGATAGTCAACTTACCAAGCAGCAAATTGCCGAAACTCAAGTTATCGTCACAACGCCTGAAAAATGGGATGTTATCACTCGTAAATCAACAGACACATCATACACCAACCTTGTCAGACTCATGATCGTCGATGAAATCCACTTGTTGCATGATGACAGAGGTCCTGTCTTGGAATCTATTATCGCTCGTACTATTCGCAGAATGGAACAGAACGGTGACTATGTTAGGGTCGTTGGTCTATCAGCTACACTTCCAAATTACCAAGATGTTGCTGCATTTTTGAGAGTAGATATCAACAAAGGTCTTTTCTACTTCGATGGTAGCATGCGTCCATGTCCATTACAGCAACAATTTGTTGGAATAACAGAAAAGAAGGCAATCAAGAGATTTGCGACGATGAACGAAGTTTGTTATGAAAAGGTCTTAGAGCAGGCTGGCAAGAACCAAGTTATCGTTTTCGTTCATTCCCGTAAGGATACTGCGAAGACAGCCAAATTCCTTCGTGACATGGCTGTTGAGAAGGACACTATCACTCAATTCGTCAATGCTGATTCAGCAAGTAGAGTGATCCTTACAGAGGAAGCCGAGAATGCAAGCAGTGGAGATATGAAGGATTTGCTTCCATTTGGTTTCGCTATTCACCACGCTGGTATGACTAGAGCTGATAGAAATGCTTCAGAAGATCTTTTCGATAAAGGTCACGTTCAAGTCTTGGTTTGTACCGCCACTTTGGCTTGGGGTGTCAATTTACCTGCACACACTGTCATTATCAAAGGTACACAAATATACAACCCAGAAAAAGGTAGATGGAGTGAACTCTCACCTCAGGATGTTTTACAAATGCTCGGTAGAGCAGGTAGACCACAATATGATACATTCGGTGAAGGTGTAATTATTACAAACCACACTGAATTACAGTACTATCTCAGTTTAATGAATCAACAATTACCAATCGAATCACAATATGTCAGCAGGCTTGTTGATAACCTTAATGCTGAAGTTGTACTTGGGTCAATTCGTAATCGTGATGAAGCTATTCAATGGTTAGGATACACATATTTGTATGTCAGAATGTTGCGTTCACCTAGCTTATACTCTGTTGGTGAAGACTATGATGATGATGTTGGTTTAGTGCAAAAACGCTCTGATATCATTCACACTGCTGCAGTACAATTGGACAAAGGCGGTTTAGTCAAATATGATAGAAAGACTGGTACACTTCAATCAACGGAATTGGGTAGAATCGCATCTCACTTCTACGTAACCAACACATCTATGGCAGCTTATATGAAGAATCTTCGTCCAACAATGAGTCTCATTGAGTTATTTAGAGTATTTGCCTTGTCGAATGAATTCAAACTCATACCAGTTCGTCAAGAGGAGAAACTTGAATTGCAAAAGTTGATGGAGAGAGTTCCTATACCAGTCAAAGAATCCGTTGATGAGCCTGCTGCAAAAATCAACGTACTTTTGCAAGCATTTATTAGTGATTTGAGATTAGATGGTTTGGCATTGGTCAGTGATATGGTCTTCGTTCAACAATCAGCTGGTCGTATTATTAGAGCTATCTTTGAAATTTGCTTGAAGCGTGGTTGGGCTGCACTCACACGTGATGCACTTGATTTGTGTAAGATGGTTGACAAAAAGTTGTGGAAGACAATGACACCACTCCGTCAATTTAAGGGTATTCGTCAAGACGCATTCCAAGAGGTCGTAAAGAAGGCTGAAAGAAAGGAGTTCCCATGGTACAGATACTTTGATCTTGATCCACCTGAATTAGGTGAGCTTATCGGTAATCCAAAGGCTGGTAAATTGGTTCACAAGATGGTTCACACATTCCCTAAGCTTATTCTACAAGCCAACGTTCAACCAATTACTAGATCTCTCATCAGAATAGATTTGAGTATTCAGCCAGATTTCGAGTGGGATGAAAAGAATCATGGAACTTCAGAACTTTTCTGGATCTTAGTTGAGGATGTCGACGGTGAAATTATTCTCTTCCATGACACATTCCTTTTGCGTCAAAGATACGCACAGGACGAACACTACGTTACCTTGACTGTGCCAATGTCAGAGCCAATTCCACCAAACTACTACATTACCGTAATTAGTGATAGATGGTTGCACTCAGAGACAACACTTCCAGTTTCATTCAAAAATCTGATCCTTCCAGAGAAGTTCCCACCACCAACACCTCTTCTCGATCTTCAACCATTACCTATTTCTGCACTTCATAACAAAGCATATGAAAACATCTACAAACCATCAAAAGATAATGAGTACTCGATTGAATCATTCAACAAAATCCAAACACAAGTTTTCCAAGCTCTTTACACATCTGATGATAGTGTAATTATTGGTGCTCCAACTGGATCAGGGAAGACTATTTGTGCAGAGTTTGCTTTATTGAGATTCTGGCAGAAGACTAGTACCTCTAGAGCAGTTGTCATCGAACCATTCGATGATGTTGTTAGCCAAAGAGTAGATGAATGGTCTAAGAAGTTTAGTCGTCTCGACAAAGAAATTGTTGGATTAACAGGTGACATGTCAGCTGATTTGAAGTTGCTGGAACGTGGTGATGTTATTATTGCTACACCTCAACAAGTATGTTAGAACTTCTTATAATTCTGTTCTTACTAATCGATTGTTATAGTGGGATATGTTATCACGTAGATGGAAACAGCGCAAGAATGTTCAAAATATCGGGCTCTTCATAGTTGATGAACTTCAACTTATTGGTCAGCCTGACATTGGTCCTACGTATGAGATTATAGTTTCAAGAATGAGATATATCTCTGCGCAAACTGAGAATCCTACTCGTATTGTTGCATGTTCGGTTTCCTTATCCAATGCCAAGACTCTTGGTGATTGGATCGGTGCAAACTCACAAGGAATTTTCAATTTCTCACCAAGGTGGGTTAACATCTTATTGGTTTAGGCTTACTAACTGTTCTAATAGCTCTCGTCCATTACCAATGGAGGTTCACTTGCAAAACTACTCCACTCCGCACTTCCCATCATTGATGCTTTCGATGGCTAAGCCAGCCTACTTATCAATTACTGAATGGGCTGCCAACAAATCTGTCATTGCATTCGTTCCATCTCGCAAGCAATGTTACTTGACATCACAAGATATCCTCACATATTGCCAAGCGGATGGTACGGAGAGAAGGTTTTTGAATATTGAGTTGGAAGCACTCGAACCACATCTGGAGCATGTACAAGATGAGGAGCTCAAGGAAGTTCTTAGATATGGTATTGCTTACTATCACGAAGGTCTATCTAAACAAGACAAAGTAATCGTTGAAACACTTTACAACGCAAATGCTGTTCAGTTAGTGATTGCATCAAAGGATGTTGCTTGGTCTATTCCAATGAGATGCTTTATGGTCATTATCATGGGTGTTCAGGCATTTGATGGTCGTGAACATCGTTATGTCGATTACCCGGTCACTGACGTACTTCAAATGATCGGTAGAGCATCTAGACCTTCACAAGATAGTAGCTCAAAGTGTGTCTTCATGTGTCAATCATCACGTAAAGATTACTTCAAGAAGTTCCTTTCAGAGCCATTACCGGTCGAATCTCACTTGAAATACGTCTTGGCGGATCACTTCAATGCAGAGATCGTTACAAAGACTATTGAAAACAAGCAAGATGCCATCGATTATCTCACATGGACATACTTCTACAGACGTATGCAATCGAATCCAAACTTCTACGAATTGTCAGGTACTTCACATACTCACCTCTCCGATTCTCTTTCAGAACTTGTTGAGGATACTCTCAACCAATTGGTTGAAGCCAAGTGTATTACTGTTGAAGATGAGATGGATACGCTTCCGCTCAACCTTGGTATGATCGCAAGTTACTATTACATTTCGTCCTTCACAGTCGAGACATTCCAATCATCATTGCAGGGTAGAACTAAGCTTAAGGGTATTCTTGAAATTGTTGCAAGTGCAGCAGAGTTTGAATTGGTTCCTATTAGAAAGGGAGAAGTAAGTGTTTGTTTGCTAAATGCGCTTAAAGCTTTACTAATTGATTTTTAGGCAAACATTCTACGTCGAATTTATGATCGAGTACCCGTCAAGCTAGACAGAGTTGACTTTGAATCGCCATACTTCAAAACTTTCGTACTTCTCCAAGCACACTTCAGCAGGTTACAATTACCAGCTGACTTGTTACAAGATCAAGTCGAGATATTGAAGAAGGTATTGAATTTACTCTCAGCAGCTGTAGATGTTATGTCCAGTAATGGATATTTGGGTGCTATTGGAGCTATGGATCTTTCACAAATGGTTGTTCAAGCAATATGGGATCAAGATCTTTCTATTAAACAAATACCACATTTCAATGCAGAAATAATTTCTAGAGGTAGAGAGATGCAAATTGAAAGCGTATACGATGTTATGGAAATGGAGGATGAAGACAGATCTAAGTTACTCAGTGGATTAGATAAATCTAGAGTTCAAGACGTTGCCAAGTTCGTTAATAGCTATCCATCAATTGATGTTGAATTTGATCTTGACACTAAGCAAGAGATGAGAGCGGGCGAACCAATAGCCCTTACAGTCAGACTCAGTCAAGACGTTGAAGAAGACGAGGAAGTTGATCAAAGTGTTACTGCTCCATTCTATCCCTTACAGAAGATGTGTAATTGGTGGTTGGTCGTTGGTGACACCAAGACAAAGTCTCTCTTGGGTATTAAGAAAATCTCAGTGGCAAAATCATTGAATGTTAAGCTTGACTTCCAATTAGAGGAAGAAGGAACATACAAAGACGTTAAGCTCTACTTGATCTGCGACAGTTACAGTGGTTGCGATCGTAAGTGTTCAAATTTTATTAAAAAATTTTCTAACATTATAATTTTAGAGGACTTCCAGTTACCTCCATTAGAAGTACAAGAAGGTTTGGAATCGGACGACGAAGACGAAGACGAACAAATGTCTGAGTGAAAAAATTTTAAAAGCTGATTTATAATTATTTTTAAAATTGTATTTGAATTTATTATCGTTATAATGTATATAGGAAGTCATGATTTTAGATAATAGGATGCCAAGTTGAAACATTGTATTAGATTTATTTAGCCGGTGAAGGTGACGAATGAACTGAGGAACTAGGAAATAACGAAGAACTATCCTTAGATCGTATTGCTGTAAATATCCAACTGGATAAAGTATATTTATAAGTATGCCCCTTGAACTTTAACAGTCAAGATGTCCAGTGGGAGCGGAAGCAAGCCCAATTTTGTATTGAAGTTCAAGGTACGTTATATATCCTTTTCTTGAACACTATCTTATAGCTACTCAGGGGAATAAGAGCTTTAGCCCCTTCCTCAACATTAATGATGAAGATACTTTGATAGAGATCTGGAGATGTTCAACTAAGATCAAAGGGCATTTAGAAAGGTAACTATAAATATAGAACGTGATATTATATACTGACATATCTCAGCGGACATAGAATGGAGAATCTGAGTTGGAGATTACTTTATATGCACAACCTACTCGTAGACGACAACAAATCAGCAAAGAACTTTAAGAAGTTATCAAAGAATGCTTCTGAGAAGTTGAATAACGAGAAGAACGTCGAGTTGTCCGATCTGAAAGCACCGAAATTCCAGAGGAATAACAGCTCAGATATGGTCTTGAGGAAAGGACATGAGAGATCATCTAAGCTGAGCTCTACGACGCCTACTCATGAGGACCCTTTCAACCTCGATCTGGATTCTATCCCTGGTTTTGAGAATATATTTAGTCAGCCAATTCCACACGCAAATTCGAAATTAGATCAGAATCAACAGCAGCAACAATATCAATATCAATATCCACCACAGCCGCCACCGCCGCAACAATATCAGCAATCGCACCCAAGCAACAACAACCTCGCGCAACCAAGCTGTAGCAATTGTGGCGCTCTCTCTACACCCCTCTGGAGGAGGTCGTCAGAGGATCAACTACTTTGTAACGCTTGTGGCTTATACTTCAAACTACATAAGAGCCATAGACCGAAGTCGTTGAAGTCTACTAGATCATCAGCACACGCGCATCCACCAGGAGAGTGGCCGAGTTACAACAAAGTTGATGTAGACATGAATAACGCGACCACAACATGCGCCAACTGTGATACCTCTACAACACCATTGTGGAGAAAAGCAGATGATGGTCAGAGTTTATGTAATGCTTGCGGTCTTTATTTGAAGTTACATAAATCTCAAAGACCACTTTCCATGAAGACAGACATTATAAGAAAACGCACACGTTATGACCCGATAGATAAGAATGGGAAGTTAGGCTCATTCGATGGATCACCGAACGGATCGCCAATGGTTTCGAGGATGTCGTCGCCTGTTAGAGAACTCACGCAATCTGCTCTAGCTGGTATTGGATTACCGATACCTGGATTAGGGAACATACATCAACAAGCGAATCAGTCGCAGCAGTCACAACAGGAATCGCAACAACAACAACAGCAACAACATCAGCAGCACCAAATTAAGTTAGAAACCAATTATGAGAGTCTAAATGATATCAATAATCCAGCTGCTTATGAGGTCGACTTTGAGAATGCTACACTGTCAGCAACGGCAACTGCAGCAGCTGGAGTGTCAAACTCAACTGCAAGCTTCCGAGCTGATGGGGTTGAAATACCTAAACGACGGAGACTTACAAATGATAGTTGCTTGTCTGCATTACAACCAATGACTCCAGTAAATACACCTGGTAATCCATCGAATCCAATACCACCACAATTTAGTCAACCGCAGTCATTTACACCAAATAATACTCCACCATTCCATACACCGAACTCATTGACGAATATAGATCAGTCGAATTTAGGAAGTGCGTCAATTGTTAGTTCGCCCTATACTTCGTACGGTGGAGTTGTACCATCAACTAGAGCATCCAGTATAGATTTGCCTTTCGATCAACAAATGTCTTTTGATCAGCTGAGCTTCGAAGGCCAGTCGTTTGACAGTAGCGGACCAAGTAGTACAGCATTCACAACACCTGCGTCAGTACCAACATCTGCTTCAACGTCTGCAGACCATCGAGCGCAGCCACCTCCATTTGAAAGTCGACCGTCTTTCGAACATGCACAATCGTTTGAATCCGCACCATTAGCACTTACAACAGCACCAAGTCATATAAGTCAAAACAATTTTGCGACGCCCGCTTCAACGACACCGAATCAAGCTATTCCCTTGCAACAAAATAATGATCAAAGACATAATCAACAATTTAATCAACCGGGGCAAAATCCACAGCAGATAGTTCCCCAGCAGCAGATATTTGATCATCACCAGTTACAACCGCCTGATAATAATTATGACTTTGGCTTGTTCGGTGGAGATTTCAATACAAATGAGATTTTAGGTGAACATCCTAAAGGATTAGGGATTGACATTGATGGATCTGGATTTAGATAGCTAGAAGGATTTATAGACAGATTTCTTTTGTATTAATATCAAACATTGGCAAATTTATACCTTCTATCAATTTGAAGGTCTTGTGTCTGTTGTCTGTTTATGAAAGTAAAAGTATAAAAAGGCAACTCTAAAGTGTTTTAGAATTGAATTACTTGAGACTGATTTAATTTATCGTTATCAACGGAATCAACTCTACGTTAACGCCGAAGCTGGAGTTTTATATGATCTCCTGAGAGGACAAAAACAACGATGACGATTTACATATATCCTTTAATACACTCTTTAGAAGCAGATAAATTGGAGTATATCGAACGAGCAGCTGTGCATGTCGATAAGAATGGTACGATTACTCAAGTGGAGAGGTTAGAATCAGATAAAGTGTATAATGATGAAGAAATAATTAGCGCTCAAGAAAACGAGTTCTTGATACCAGGTTTTGTTGATACGCATGCTCATGCTCCTCAATTTGCTAACATTGGCTATGGTTTCAACTTAGAGTTGCTCGATTGGTTACACGAAGTGACATTCCCAACGGAGGCTAACTACGAAGATGTAGAAATGGCTCAATCGGATTTCAGTAGGGTCGTTGCAGCGACGCTGAGTGTCGGTGTAAGTGGAGTCTTCTTTGAAATTGGAGTGTTTAATAAACAAATAGACGACAACATGCTCGTATTATTCAAGCTTACATTCAGAAGCTACAAAGATATTAGCAACTGCTTGTCATAACCTTGGTACGTGTAGTATTTCTCCAAGTTTCAATTGACAGTGAATTAGGACAGCGTGCTCTTGTTGGTAAAGTCAATATGGATCAGAATTGTCCAGAATATTACAGAGATCAATCAGCAGAAATATCATTTGAGCAAACAAAAGAATACGTTGATTACGTCAAACATACACTCAAATCTAGTCTTGTTCATCCAGTTATCACGCCTAGATTTGCGATTTGTTGCTCACCAGAACTACTTTCTCAATTAGGGGACTACATAAAGAATGAGAACTTACACATGCAGACACACCTCAGTGAGAACAAAGGTGAAATTGACTTTACATTGAAATTATATCCAAATGATGAAACATACACACATATATATGCTAATAGAGGGTTACTCACTGATAAAACTATACTAGCTCATTGTTGTCATCTTTCAGATATTGAAATTGATTTAATTAAGAAGCACAACAGTGGTATTAGCCATTGCCCAACTTCAAATTTCCACCTTCGTAGTGGTATTACCGATGTCGATAAATTAATCAATGGAGGCCTGAAGAAGATCGGTCTTGGTAGTGATTGTAGCGCTGGATACGAGATGGGTATCTTACAAACATTGAGGACTGCCTCAACTGCCAGCAAAGCACTTGCGATGGTACACGAAAAAGATACCTACCTTAGGGTTGATAGACTTTTTTATTTGGCAACACTTGGAGGTGCTCGTGTTTTAGATTTGGACAAACAAATCGGTAACTTCCTAGTGGGAAAACAATTTGATGCTTTAATTATCAATCCTTATACAGCAAACAATAGAAGTCTTTTCAATTCTGTCAAGCAGTCAGACTTATCTCCGTTAGAGAGACTCAAAAGAGATTTTGAGAGGTATCTTTTTGCAGGGACTGCATCGAATATCCAAAGTGTCATTGTTGATGGTAAATTTGTTCTAGAGAAATAGATACATAGATATAAGTCAATTAGATACATATTTTAAGTATGATATTATCTTCCACCTCGAACATATTGATGGCTCGAGTGTACCTTCGTATGTGAATTCTTTTGTCGTGTTATCAACGATATCCCATTCCTTTATGCCATTCTCATCTGGGATTAAATTGTATTCTTTTGCTAATCTGAAAAATTTTGCAAGAGCTGATAAGATTGTCAGATAAAGCCTTTCCGTAGAATAAACCTACGCGGTCTGTTGGTATGGAATCCTGCGATTATGACTACTCGTGAGGATGGGTCAGCCTTGTCTATAGTTGCACTCAGACTGTCGCTAATTAGGATATATTGACGTTAATCTTAGCACATTACCTCTTCAATAGGTTATCAAGTTGATCACTCATCCAGAGTGTATCAGCGCATAAAATCATGTTATACTTCTGTTCATTCACTAGAGGCGAAACATCCTGTCCCCATATATGCGGTATTACTTTAACATTTGACAAGTCGTTCACTTGTACATTCCTACGAAGATTTTCGATAAGTGAGTCGTCGTCATAATCACTGCAAACGACGTAAGGAGAACCAGCCAGAGAAGCCAAGAGAGAGGGCAATCCGGTACCCGCACCAAATTCTAATATGCGCTTATTTGATAGATCGTTAAATATACCCTTCTTATCACTGATCATATCTGATAGAAACAAACCAGAATCCCATTGCATCTGAGAGAATAAACCATTCGTGGGTTGATTCGGTATGCGTATATCTAAATTCTTCCACGGACTTTTGTATATAAATTTAGAACCTGGTTCACCTTGACTAGGCTAACTCAATAAGCTATTATTTGTATTGATAAGCGTAAGTCTCACCTGATGATGTCCAAAAATAGCCTCCAGAGAGTCAGAGAACAAATCTTCGGAGTATTCTGCATCTTCTTGGAAGACAGCCCTTAATGACATCGTAGTATCTAAGAGAGAAGACGAGGAATTTATCAAGACAAACCAAATCCCTTGAGGGAGTTGTTATCAACAAAATCATCAAATTTACATTCAAGCATTTTCTTTGTCCATTCACGCGGTACTGGTGCTTCAACTTTGACTTGACTTTTGTAGGCTTTACCGGAACTGCTTTTATAGAACCTCTGAAGGAGTGTTATTAATTTATAAACCATATTTTATAAATAACTCACTTCAAACGCTAACGAACGGGCATGCAAGTACAAAACATCCGATTGTTTGCCTTCTCCATATAATGCGTCACCAATGATAGGAAGTTTAAGAGCTTCTGATGCGTGTAGTCTTATCTGATGCTTGCGACCAGTTTGTATTATGAATCTGCATAATCCAGTTCGAGTGATAGGCTTAATTGTTGTTAGTCGTCTTGGAAAAGGTTCTCATAGGACATACATCGTGTCGCAGTATTTGCCAGCGAGTGTGAGCTTTCTGTTCTCCTCCCAAGTACGGTCTACCAGAACTGGAGAGTGCAATTGGATGTGTTATCGTACCTTCATTCTCATACACTTTATCGAGATTAGAAACCAATCCCCAGTATTCTTTTGTTACTCTATTGTTAGCTAGTGCGCTACTGAATTGTTTGGCTGCTCGAGATGTCCTACCAAGCATCAGGCATCCTGAAGTGTTGTAATCGAGTCTATGTAAAGGTTTCGGGAGTACATCGTAGTCATATTTGAGATCTATTGGGTTATATTAACAAATCATAGGAGTTTCTGATCATATCCCACCTTCCAGATAATTTTCAATCGATAGCCGCTGAAATACGTTATCAATAGATTCGTCGGATATGCAGTATCTACGCACACTGTGTGAACCAGCTTGACTGAGCATTCCAGGTATCTTATTCACAACAAGGAGCATATTATCCTTGAATAAGACCTCCAGTCTCGGTTTTATCATGGACGTCATACAGTAAGTTTACAACACTAAAGAATTTACATCAAAAAAGGCTGAAATAAGCAAAAAAGAGAAATGAAGATCATAACTGAGTGGTGGTATATTGACCGTGTTTGATATAATACTAGATTTTGCGATTGTTCGATGTTGAAATCGATGATCTTCTTCTAGTCGTAGTTGCCGTCTTTGAATCTCTGTTGTGAATTCGAAGGTGTTGGTACATCTACATAAACAGTCAGACAAACAGTCTGAAAATTGTCTTACTCACATTGTCTAAACGGGTAAATTTCTTTGTGCATCCAGGATCCAAGCACTCGAAAGGTTTCTCATCTCTATGTAAACTCTTGATATGTCTCTTGAGATGCTCATTTCTGACAAAAACTTTCTGACAACGTGGATCTGGGCATTTAAAAACACGTTGGTTGTCTGAAGTGGGCACTCTCCTACCTCTACTACGCTTAGCGATATCAATATCTATAGCTGGAGCTGGTGAGGGAGCTCTACCGTTACTTGATGACCTATTGTGCTTGCGTTTCGATCTGATGTTTGTCGTGTTAACATTCCAATCGTCGTCATCGTCGAAATCACCCTCAACGAATTCATCATCGTAATAATCATCATCTGCATCGTTATCATCGTAGCTATTATCATCATCATTTTGTGATATATTTTGTGATATATTTTGTGCTAATGTCGGGGATGTCATCGTCATGCCGTTATCGTCAATCAATCCTAGTCCGAAATCGAATGATGAAGGCGATACAGTGATATGCGAAGGATTAATAGATAATTCATTCATTGGTATAGATGATGGTAAAGATCTACTATTGTGGAAATCCGTTTCCCGACCGAGTATGTTGATTGGCGGTAGAGAGCTGCTATATTCAGGCGGGCTGTCAAATCCGAGACTGGATAGGCTATAGTTATTGCTGGCGTTACTAGATGGTGACCATAGCAGGTCGTCGTTCGTTTGTCTATAGCTTGAGTACTTATCAGTCATATTGATTGCGAAAGTAAGTTGATGATGACAGATTGTGATTAACAAGATAATTGATTTTTAATTTTCAATGACTTAGTTTTATATCACCTAACAATAGGAATCAAACCTAACAACTATTTCATTCACTCTCACGTGCTGTGCTTTAATGCAAATTTTGATACGCTGTCGTGCAGATGTCAAAGAAAGAGCGTTATTTTTATTATGAATATTACAACTAGAGATTAGATTTATAAGACAAGCTATTAAATTCGATCAAAGTGTCTAATATTAAGGTAAAAATGCATTGATTATTGTACAACATAATTCAAACTAATCTCAGACTTAATTTGAATGGTAAGTTAGCATCAGTGACAAGTATTGTTTGTCCTTTGTACTCTGATAACGGTTTTGTTAAATTTTGACGTGTGTATTCTTCCAGCTGTGGTGGGTATTGAAGGTAAATGTTACCTTGATCGTTACTCAGCGATGGTTTTCTTACTTGGAAGTCTTGCCTTTGCTTGAGGATGTCAATTAGATCTTCGACAATCATCTCATCTTTGACTTCCAAATCAACTGACTCTCCACCGCATACGACGCAATTCTCACGCTTTTGATGCTCAAAAGTGTAAGTAAACACACCTTCATTACCGATAAACATCATATAATTGTTTAGATAAGGCGCTGTAGTAGTTGCAATCTTAAATGCTTCATTACAGCAACTAGCAGCGATGATTGCATTAGTAGATGCGACTGATGGTATGATATTCTTGACTACACCTTGTACCAATGACCAATTGACTCCTTCGATGTTGAATTCCTTTGCTCTTGATAGCGATTTACTCAATAACCACTCGATGTGCTCTGGATCATCATTGTCGAGCTTTTTTGAGGGAAATACCTTTGGCCACTCTAATACACTAGCCCATTCGATACAATGTTCAGGCAAGCGCGGGGTATTTGCGATCGTACAGATAGGAAATGTTGTAGGTGGTGTCAGCATATCGAGACTACATTCATAGCAACTGCTAATCGTTGGCAAGATAACTCTAGATTGACCCTTAAAACCTTCGGTACCACCATCAATTAATGGTTTCAATGACTCTGGATTGTCGTCATCGACCATATTATAAAGTGTCGCGTTTATCCAGCGTCTAGCTTCTACGCTATCTAAACCACAGACGACGATGTTGAATTGCATGTAGAAATCTTCGCCAAAGTCCTGTATCTTGTTATGGTGCGCTGTTACTTTAACATTCGGTATACGCTTCATGATAAACTCTGCAGCTGCTTTCGCTTTAGATTTGCCAACGTCTGAGGAACGGAAGAGGAATTGACGGTTAAGATTAGAAACGTCTATTGTATCCTGCCATTATGTTAGCCTTTCGTCGCTTATAAAGCAAATTACTCACCATATCAATGATATGAAGATCAGAGAACCCAGTGAGAGCGAGATTTGCGACTATTTCGCAGCCCAGTCCTCCAGCACCAATGATCAGAACTTTGCATTGCTCTCTCAAGAACTTCTTCACCTTTGGGTGTATTTAGTGTTATATTCACTATATACGGACAGACCCACATCGTCACCAGCTTGGAAATACTCGTCGGTAGATGGACCTGGCTTTTCGAGTACTTTGTTAATATCTGCGTATCTGGACATCTTGTTTGTTCGTAATCAAGGAAGTATAACTGGAAACAATAATATGAATGTAAAATACAAAATTCACTTAATTTATTCTACTCTTTTTATTACTACGTGACTCTGAAGTAGTCGATGAAGCTCTCTTATGGGTCTGCGTTGAAGGTTGGGGGCTTAAGGAGTTAAACTTATTCTTAAACTCTTTCAGACTATTAGCTACCATCTTTTCTAGAATCTTCGCCGATATTGACACTGGTGAATCTGGTCCATTGAATAAGATTGCATTGTACGTCATCAACTTTATATCAGCTTCGAAGGCATCCACTGATGGATATTGGTCCTTCTCTAATTTTGATTGTATGAGGGATAGATCTCTCATATTCTCTTGCGGAATTATATCATTGTAATGTGGTATTCCCAATGCAACTGGATCGACCTGTTTATCTTGTAAGAAATACGACATATTTATCCATTAAAATACTTACAGGTTGCAAGAACCAAAACGCATGTTCACTCTTATACCATCCTTTCATCGTAGATACCAAACTTCTCTTTTCATTATGAGGTATCTTTGGTAACATAATGCTCCTCCACTCCCTCTTGAAAGCTTTTTCTACTGGATCACAAGTCTGAGCAGTCAATGTACTGGTTTCACTAGTACCATTGAATTGTCTGCAATTCTTGAATATCTGTTCAACATCATTGATGAATTCATCATTAGTTACGTATTTCTTTTGATCCATATTTTTTGATATTGTCGAGAAATCCATCGGCCTCTTTATCTCATCCAGATATGTTGGACAGCCATGTAATATTGGATCAACTGGCTGCAAGAATATTGCAGCTTCTGGCATACCCGTCAACTTTCTCAACAAAATCTTTGCTTTCCTGTAGTCTAGAGTGCCATCCGATTGTGTTTGAGGCATCTTTGGCGGTGGTGGTGGCATTGATGTCGTTGTTGGTTTATTGTCTGACAAAGCTAGTAATTCGTCATTCAAAATGTCCTCATGATTTGACTGAGCTGTTGTTACATCCATCTGAGGCTGCTGTTCTTCAACTGGCTGAGATACCGTTGCAGATACATCTGCATCTGGTAGTGCACTTTCGGTTTTCACTTCCTGGGTGCTTGGTTCCGATGGTAAGGCAGAAGATTCCTCGACTGCAACAGGCGGTTCAGGTTGAGTTATTACAGCTGGATCAGCCGGAGGATTACTTGCTTCCACTGGTCTATCCAGATTGTCATTACCATTACTCTCCATATCCTTATCAGTATCCTTGACAGGCTTAGGAGGTTTGATCTTCAATGAGAGTCGTGGCTGAGCTGGTGGCGGTTGCGTTACTTCAGATGCATCAGGTACCTTACTTGGTGGACTTGGCATAGCATCATTGGCTTGTGCAGTAGGTCTACGTCCAGCGGCAGCATTTAGCGTATTTGCAACTCTTTGCCATTGCTTGTCAAAGAATGCATCTAACTCTAATGCAGTTTTATGAACTGGAGATGATGGTCCATTATACGTAGTTGCATTCTTAATTATCAATTTGAAGTCATTTTCATAATCGAACCTAGATGCGTAATGACCACTATCGAGTTTGGCACTCATAGTACCTATATCCATTGGTTCCTTTATTATTGTAAAGTAATCAGGAGCACCATCCCTAACAGGATCGACTGGATACAAAAACCAACCCGCCGTCTTGTGACCTTGGATACGTTTATGAATGGCTCGGCAAGCACTGACATCCTGGCTTGACATACCGCCTCTTTGGGCTTGCGGTACAGCCTTATCTCTCTTCTTCTTGAGTGAGATGTTCAATCCACTACCACTAGGTGCAGTATAACCGTTTGCATTACCGTTGGTTTCTGGTAGTGTTGGCTCTGGCGATTTAGTATCCATGACCGGCGGTGGTGTGGCTGAGGCTGGAGTGGCTGATGGTATTGTTGGTGCCTTGAGTTTGATTTTGACAGGCATCGTCGGTGTTTGCTCAGTCGACGCAGGTGGTTGAGGTGGCGCAGGTGCAGGTGCTGGCGCTGGTAACTTGAACTTGACTTTAGGTAATGGTTCTGTATTGCCTTTGTAGAGAACATCACAAAGTTGCAGGAGCGTCCATCTAACCTGATAATCGACTTGTGATGACAACAGTGCAGTCATAATACCCATTCTAAGACTAGCTAATTTACCAATATCTTTGCGAAGACCCTTCAACTGTCTGTCAAGTTCACTTTTACCAGAGTCCTTCTCTTTAATTTCACTCAGTTTGGCATCTTCTTCAATGAATTGAGGTTCCTTCTTCTGAATGGCGGCCAAATCACCAGTTGCCATCAAAACGATAAGTGACTCGATCATAGATTGAGCCAGCGATCTTCTGACCACCCTTGATTCGTCATACCCGAGTATGGTAGAAAAGTATTGAATGATTGGGCGATGGCGAAGAGCACCAAGAAGCAGTAAACAGTCGAACGCGACGATTCGAAGCGGTGGGTAGTTACCCTCCCTATTATTATGTTAGAAAGTCAGATTCTTCTTAGAATTTTATTAATTACCTTGTATATGGGATGAAGAGTGGTGCGTTGTTCGGTATTATACCTGCGATCATCAACTTGACATTAAACTCAAGCGTCGCAACTGAGATGACATTTTGATAAGAAGGTACGAGCCTATCCATGGTTCTATACCTTTCGACTTCTTCAATTGCTTGTCGACGAACGTGAGGACCAAACGGATGATCATTTGCATCAGGATCCTCATCTTGCTGCAGCACACTAGCTTCGTGTTGGACGGTTGGTACAAGAGCAATGGCTAAGCAACTAATTATACCAGACAAATAGTAGCTATCGGAATACTTATGGATGGTTAGTATAACTTGTTAGCATCACAACAATCCACTCACTCTATTACTCGAATTGTCATTGTACCTCAACTGATCAACGAGGAATTCTCTAATATTGAGCATAGATCGACTAGATTGATCTCTGATTGAAGTCAAGGAAACGATGACAGCCTTACGAACGAAGTATTCACTCAAGTCATCGAAGTTGTTAGCCAGTGGTATACACTTGAAACCGAATGGATCCATGATCTCTTGTGGTGGTGGATAACAGTACCTAGATTGGAAGATCTTGAATAAGTGGAACATTCCGATATAATCCAATTCTGGTGTTGCACATGTATGTAAAACCATAGCGGCTTCCATCCTAATTCTGAAGAAGTAGTTTGTGACCAAAACCGTCCTAGTGAGCTGAGTTGAAACCAATTTTGATGGAATAGATTTCAAAGCATGAACAGCTTCTAGTTGGGCAACAACATCTCTGTCACGCTGCAATTGAGAAACCCACATGAAATCTGGTTGTTCGAATGTTATCATAGAAATCCATTCAAAGTCTGCATCAACTCTGATCCATTCGTAGGTAGCTTGTGACATCGCAGCTTCATCCTCTTCAGTCCAATCCTCAACCTTCCATCTGTCTCTCTCGGATTCTTGTTCCCAGTCATTTAATTGGAAACCCAAATCTATCATACCGATAGCTTCAGCTGCTTCTTCATCACCCTGTGCGGCCGCGGCTGCTGCTGCCTGTCTGGCTTGATAACGCTTTGTGTTTCTTCTAACACGTTTATACTTCGTATTGAAAGGAACGTCGAACCTCTTATTTGCATCCTTGATATCAAGAACGTGCTCATATGGTGTACCATCAGCTTCATGAATTCTCACAGTCATTTGACCTTCAAATATTTGGGTTGGTCTGTTATAATGCATCTCTGGAGTATTTGGTGTATGGGCGTCGTATGCTGGTGATTCTTGCTTTACTGTCATTTCTACACACATCTTTTTTCTATTGAAATTGGCACCAATTGTGAATCTTGGTGTACCAGATCCAAAAATCCATTGATCAGCAAATTGTCTGAGGTCTACACCAGCTACTTTCCTACAAGTTCTCAAGAAACCGTTGGTTGATATAATAACATCACCTGAAAGCGCACCCAAGAAAATCTTTGGTAGAACTCTCGATAAACCATGTGCTGTTCCAGACTTTGAAAGTTTACGATCAAGAATGTGTAAAACTAGTGGTGCTTTTAATAGTAAAAATGGTGCATCATTGTCATTAGCAGGTTCAAGTGCATTTGGTACACACAATGGTGGTAATTGGCCAGTATCGTTCATTGCTAATCTATCCATATCCTTCTTCATACGGAAGAAGTATTCATTGTTACCCATAGACTTCTTCAAGAAGAGGTTTGAGATGTAGCTTGCTAGACCCTGAACCAACCACATATCAGACCACGATCTAGGCATGATGTTGATTCCGGACCATTGTGTTGCCAATGCATGTGAAAGTTTTTGTCGAGTATCTAAAGTCTGCTCTATCGCCGAGGCAGGATGAAGCAAATCCATTGACATTATTACGACAGTTGAGGAAACACTGACATCGACTGGCGGATCATGAACGAAGACGACCTTGAACGATGAGAATGGATATGTACCATGCTCTGCACTATAGAATTGCAAAGCGCGTGGAATGATCGCTACCGAAGCTGCCAACTCTTTGGCTGTACCAGGTGGACCAAATGCATGAAGTAATGTTGATTGAGTAGTTGCGGAGGTATGCGGAATCGGTAAAATAGTGAAGGGGCCAGCTGCAAAAGCTATGTGTTGTACAGATGTAGGCAATGATTGAGCAAAGTGGAAGATAGTCTTTGATGATATAGATGGGTGTGCGACCTGTTCAATCAAGTCGCCTGAAGAAACTACGACAACTGGGTCATCCTGCTCGCCTTCTACGCCGTCTTCGCCGACTGCTGAGAGGAACCTAGGGGTGATAAACTCCAGTTCCCAAGTGCATCTTTCCCACAAGCTATCTATACAAGGCACCCAACAACGAGCTGCATCAGGGCATGTTGGTGATGTATATATGTGCGGAATGCGATATGGGGAAGTCTCTGTAGGTTTCACAACCTGGAGACCTTCAAATGGCTGCGTAATGGAGAACTCCACGAATATAGTAATTGGGGCAAAATCCTGTGTATTCTGTGTAGTCTCTTTCTGCTCTTTCTGTTCTTTCTGCTCTTTTGGATCCTCCTTGTCTTTATCAGCTGAGGACGGTGGAATTTCAGCTGGAGGGTCAATATATTGTATGTAAAGGCATACGAATACTTACGTTGTACATTATCGCCTAAGCCACGGACGATACAGCCAGGTGGGAGAGAAATGCTTAGTTCTCCTTCGTCACCTTGAGCGAGAGCCGAGTAAACTTTCCGCTTGAGCTCAGGATGTCGATGTACGTCCACTTTGCCGTCCTTTCCCTCGTTTTCTGCTAAGTTGATATGTGACTGAGGATCGCGGTGGGTGAAGTCAGTCGGGATGGGTGTAGCTGTAGGATTTGGCGGGGTGACAAGCACTCTATGTATAGCTGAATACCAGTTAGCAATAACGCGTCTTACGGCCCAATAACTCACTGGCTTGTCTCGAGTGTATATTGACCGTCTTGAGTGCATCAGATATTGGTGTAATCGTGAGTTCAGTAAAACCCTATAGGGATATTAGAGAGTATGAAGAAGCGACGGTCGCTTACCCTGAACAAACCACCAAAATCCAAGTCGAGAACGACTCGCTGGTGGGTTGTTTGTGTGCGTCAGTAATGGGCATATAGAGTGGAATAAAGGACTTATAAGCTAAAGCCACGCTTGTGGGCTTCCCTTGAAACAGCCATATTCACTCAACCGTTATAAGCTGAGATGGGATAGTGACCGTCACTTCAAAAGCGACGTTGAGCCAGTAATTCTGGCTGATGGGAGATCACAGACGAGCAGACCAGAGATCTCAGCTTAATAGAAATACTCTACTAAAAAATATACCGACTAGGCAGAAGCGCCAGCGGCGTACGGTCTCCACGGCATTATCGCTTTTGGGAGCTGGGAACGCCTCTGGGAGTGATAGAGATGCCTTATTAGAGTCATTACAGAACGCAGATAGCAGAATACGTGAGTTTCACCTCTTCAGTCCTAAATTAGCTCAAGCTTCTCAGTCGAGAGTCAGCCACTTTTAGATTCTAGTCAGCGTTTTATCTGGTCGACGATCGAGGGTGATAGGTTGCCACCCAGTCCTTCCTTAGCCCCATTTGAAGCCTCGACCAGCAGCTATCCTGTACCGCGATTCGAACGCGTCGAGTTGGGCGATAGCGATGACGAGGATGACGCCGTCGAATACATTTCAGAGGAACTCTACGAGAAGACACACAGGAAGTACGAGTACGAGGAGAAGCGAATGAGAAGACTCGAGAAGGAGCAACTCTATCATGAACGCTATAAGTTACATGAGAAGCAGGAAGCTCTTGAACAGCTTGAGCTTGAAGACAGCGATGACATGCCCCAAGAGATAATAGCGTTATCAAGCGGCATTTCAGCGGCTGATCGTCCATTAGCTTATGTATTGCAGCAGAAACTGCTCTATGAAAATGACAAAATGCTAGAGCGTTATGATCAGCTACTCAAACCTGATTATAAAGGGAAGACAACGATAAGCCCGTATTATAGGTCAACACCCTCCCCGTTTGACGTTCGCAGTGTCGGCGATAAATCACTTTACAATCCTAGTCCGCAAATGCGTAACCTCGAAGTAAGAGTATTTAAACGCGATATGCAGTCTCCGTTAAGGGTCAAATTGAAGATACCACCATCAACGAAGAAGATAATAGCTATGTCACAAAAATCTCCAAAATCCCCACTTTCACAATCAATATTAACGGCCCATACGTTGAAATCATTCATCAAGCCACCATCTGCATTAATGATAGCCGCTGACGCTCGACTTAAAGCGCCAAATCAAGAAATCGCCAATTCGCGAAAATCACATCGTTCATTAGTAGCATTTGGTGTCAACATACCTAATGAGATTGATAAACACAGAGAGTTTAGCCTGATTGATGCCGCTGATGGCTTTGGAATATGGTCTGGTGTCGGTCAGGAATACAACGCAAAGAGTATTTGGGAAGAAGCTATATCTTGTCGAGTTAGAGGAGAGAAATATGATTTTTCGAGTAAGAAGATTGTCATGCCTGAAACCAAAGCACCTAGCATTGGAACAATCAGTACGCCTCGAATTACGTCTAATAGACATAACCTGCAGAGTGATACCCAGGACGCAAAAGAACTGAAGTTATGGCAAGAGTCACCGTTTCCACCACAAAGTCCGAGTGCGATGCGTAAGAGATACGCTGAAGTATCAACCCCTAAACGAGGCAGGAAACGCAAACATAGAGACTCTGTCGTCGAAAGTGCAAAGAAGGTACCAGGTCGTGGTCGTGGCCGACCTCCAAAGAACAAGGCAGATTCTTCAGATGTCAAGGGTGAGAAAGAGACTGAGAAGAAACCGACGATAAAAGGCAATGGTATCACATATGTTTATGGTGCGTTCAGAGGAAGGAGGAAGATTACAGACCCTCTTGTACAGAGTTTCATTGCTGCCAATAAAATTAGTGAAAATGATCTCAAGAAGGTGGAAGTACCTACAAAGACAAAGTCTCAGGCGGTAGAAGAACATCGATCGGTAGCAGCCGAACTTGAATCGACACCAAAGAAGCCTGAATCAAGCGCAAAAATGCCCAGATCTACTTTAGATATAATTGAGTCAAGTCAAGAAAATCTTGAGATTACTCCAGGCCAGTCTGAATGGACACCACAAAAATCCCAGTCGACGCCTATACAGCAAAATTCAATAGATAATGACGAAGAAAATCAAACGAGCCCAAAGAAAACCACGAAAAAGAGCAAAAGATCAGAAAATCCACCCAGGAAAAAACAAAATGAGTCAAAATCATCGTTACACACGCAAGTGCATCACAAAATGAGGGATGGTAACGGTAGATTCTCAAAGAACTAGTAATTTTATTCGATATTCAATGAAGTGTATGTAATTATATGCAAATTATTTGTATACATGTAATCTAAGAGTTGTATTTATCCAATTTGATTCATATTTGCTGTGTAGTGCAATTCTAGTATCATTTCATTTGATCAAGCTCTACGAGAGCCTATAGCGCCTAAAACTAAAGTCTTTTTCTTTTTCTTCTTTTTACCATTATTTTCATTTTCTTGTGTAGTTCCTTGTTGCTCGATGGCTGCATTCCACTGGGCGTCAAATGTCTCCATATCATGCTTACTTTGGTTGTTAATAGCGTCTTGGCTGGACAGGGCTGTAGCAAACGAGGTTCCCCATGGACCTCCGCCCCCATTTTGGCTCCTTGTAGCCGCTGCACTAAGAGCGAGTGCATGATTTAGCTGAGTCTCTTCATCCTCTTCCTCTATAGGTCTTGGCGTTGATACCATTTGAGGGAATGACTTTGTAGATAAGGCCTCTGCCTGTTGAGCTATTCTTTCATTTTCTAAAATCATCGCTCGTTTAGCTGCCTTTGCTGATTCTCTCTCCTCTCGTCTATGTTTGGCGTTCCGTCTGGTTTTGCGTTGCTCAAGAGGCTCTTTAAAAAATAACAATGTTTCCTCATCAACTATATCCTTGAGTGATGTTTCTACAAATATTATATCACTACCGAGTGGAACATGCGAAAGATATTTGCAACGTTTGCGAAGATTTTCATCCATTGTAGCCTCTTGTATGTGTTCAATCGGCAGAGAAAGTTTTGGTGGGAAAAGTGAATAGGACTTGAATTGATGTAATAGAATCCGTGTGTCGAGTGTATGCAAATATATTGGTAATCCTTGACTAGATTGGTAGAAAAAGTAATCACGCGTATGTTCAGGTGGAACATATTCAGAACGTTTTGAAAGCTGATTATAGATATCTTGCTGACGTTCCTCAATTTGGTGAAGAATGGGCGTATCAATAGTTTCATTGATAGTGTGAGTTGCGTCAATGACCTTTTCGGTCGCTTGATCAATAAACATTTGCGTGAAATGATCACCTTGATTCTTTTCGCGTTCCGATTGTAGTTTGTGTATATCATTAACGTATAGGCTATTGAGTGAACTAGATGTGGCTAGCATGTATTTCGCGAAAGTAAATACGATTGGAATGAATGAAGGCGGGATTTCTTGTGGTGGTATAAGTGAGCTAGGGTAGAAATGACCTAAGGGTAGAGCTAGCTGACTAGACGGGGGTTTACGCAGGAGAGTGAGATCCACGATAGAAGTTGATGGGTAGATATTGTAGAAATGCACTGGTTTTACGTTCTTTAAGTAAAATACGTCTCCACATACAGCGCATTTTGTGAACTTCTGGTTCTCGCTATTTGATAGATGCTGACTGTTGAACGTTTGTTAGCCAAAGAGGCTTGATAAGGGTGTATAAACCTACAGTAAACAATGTAAACAAAATATATGACCGCATAGGAGCATTCTAGGAGCTGTATGTCTATCTAAGCATATCGGACAAGTAGCTGGCTCAGAATGCAAGTTGAAGGATTCTAAAGGGGAAATAGTGGGTACTATAACTTGCAATATATCATTCCATTGAAAGTCACTATTAGTTGAAGGTTTGAGAATGAATCTATAGCTGTTATATACGAATTCACGCATCTGAGCGTGTTGGTTGTTGAGTTGAAACATTCATCATCGATGCAGTCACCATATAAAGCCAGAGTGAGGCATTACACGGATAGTGGTACCGGCAGCCCGAGTAATCAGAGGAAAGATATAGAGAATAGAAAGATAGCAGATCTGGAGATCAGCAATAAAGCACTCCTCGCAATCAATCACCAGCTCGAGCAGACGAGATTGAAGCACGTCAAGCAGATAAAGGAATTGAAACGCTTAGTAGAGCAGCTCCAGCTAGACAGACGTTCTCCATCTCCGCAATCTATGATAGATAACGTAGAAGAGGACGACATTGAGGAATGTCTAGAGAATGACAACCAGTTCAATAAAATACGGTGGTCTATCCAGGATTTAATAGCTCAGGGTAAGGATGCTCTCGCTGCTGGTAGTCTCAGTTAGGGTTACCCCATTGACTTCAAATCTGCACTCACTTTTGGCTTACTCTTGAACGACCACCATCGAATATATCCAGAAAACATCCCGCATAGATAGATAATGTGAGTATATTCTACTATATAGTCCAACTAGGTGTTACTTGATGAAGCAAATGTATCAGGCAAGTTCACACTGATCATTCATGACGACTATTACATCTAAACGTCTTTCGCTCCTATCTGACTCACCAATGCTGGACTACCTAGCTCTTAGCACACTCTAACAAAACCTACAGTTGTAATTTTCGTGTATTTCTAAATGAATACTCTTCAACCTTAGTGAATAATTGTGCTTAGTGTGTTATATTCCGTTAAACTATGCACTGTGAAGGCTTCCAACCATCACTTTGCCTGAAAAGGCGGATATATCAACGCAGTTTTAACGGAACAGGTGAATATAGATGATCCATGCGTCTGTATATGCTGCTACAACAGTACACTTACTATATTTATTGTATTAATTATATTAATATTATTAAACTTAGCTTTTATTGCCATATTGTATTACCTTTCTTTCATACCCCCACGATGATGATGAAATCAGCGGTGATTTTGGCGCTCATTGGAGCTATACAAGCTCATGGACACGAAGATATCGATCCAGATACACCCGATAATTATATAGCTCAGCATGTAAGACCCATTTCTGCGGATTGATTGAGGTACTGATATAAACTTAGATGGCATCAGAGCATCACGTAGGTTATTTAGTCTACCAATCTATTTAAAGTCTAACGATATACAAGATTAATGGATTCGATTTGGGTTCGTTATATACTAGTTGAATGATTATCCACTCAATAGCTCTAGTATCTTTCTTCAAACTACACGACTTAGATAGGGACGACCTACTGACAGGTCCAGAGATAGAAGCTATCTACGGTTTACATCACTATGAATCTACAGGTAATTCTAAGTCTGATGATGAGCATTCTAAAAAGGTAATTGAGACGATTTCACGTGTTTTCCTAGTTTAACACGCGTTATTTAGGTCGAGTATGTTATTACAGAAGTACTCAAGTCATTGGATGACAACGGAGATGGTGTTATCACTCTGCGTGAATTTAAGAATGGTGGTGCCGAGGGTTTGCCTTCATTCCCTGAATTGGGTGGATTGGGGCATCATTATGGTTAGTGAGATATAATTTTATCACCATTCCAATTGACTTTCATAGACGAGGAAAGCGAGTATTTCATTCATCATGAAGAAAAATATCACTCCACACCGGAAACTCAAACAGACGAATCTTACAACCACCCAGAAGACATTAAGCACTTTGCGAACCACGGACACATTGACCACGATGAGGACAGCAAAGAAGCAAAATTCTTGAGTGCCCAATCAGTCGATCATGACGCTCATGATGACGGAATCCAACATATAGTGGACGATAACGGCAATGAACCTCAGGAGTTGAAGAATGAGATACCAGAACAAGAACAGAAGAAGCCTGCTGAACCACTCGGACACGTCAGTGGTGCGGACAATTTACGCAAAATACACGACTTCGTTACTCAAGCGAAGAATGCAGGTCAATCGAAGTGGGGCGATGGCGATAATGGATATGCACAACCAAAATCACATACAGACAAGGCATCTCGGTAAGTAGACAATATCTTTCGGCACCGATAATTGAGAAGCGGCAGGAAAAATTTACCTTACAAATACAGATTCTCGAGACCTTACAACCGTGAGTTGTAAACTTTATGAATATCATAAATGGATTTATATCGACATTTTGTTTTAAATTTTTTTCATTGACTTGAGTTGTTTTTGGCTTCGAACGCTTACATCACCGACTACATAATGCCACAGCAAGGTAGTTACCCCGTAGGACCAGATACTAAACTAGAAGGCGAAGGAAGGTAGGTATAAATAATATGTACATTGTTAGTTCATAAAACTTACCAAACACGCCTTGACAGACCAAGAAGATATTTCGGCAATAAATCAGACGAACCACTGCCTACCAGCCCAGCTGAGGGTGTATTTACACTATATGATATCCTCCAATACTGTGGACGCGTACATGGCGAGAAGAATGCTATTGCCTACCGTGACCTCATCAAGGAGCACGTTGAGGAGAAGCAAGTACAAGGCCCAGATGGTAAAACACACCCTAAGAAATGGACTTACTATGAGTTAAGTGACTACAAATGGCTCACTTGGCCACAGATTCTTAAAAAGGTAGAGTCCATCGGTTCTGGACTTGCCAATTTAGGATTAAAGAAGGAGACGATTTTCAACATCTATGGACAAACAGCTGTTAACTGGCAAATTATAGCTCACAGTTGCGTTAGACAAAATATCCCATTCTGTACCGCATACGATTCACTTGGACCATCCGGTCTCCAGCACTCGCTTGCTGAGCCAGATGTCGTTGGTATGTTCACCAACGCTGATCTTCTCCCAACCGTTTTAAGTGTAAGTCATTTTATTCATCAAAGCGCGCATCTTTTAACTTGCCGTAGGTCATTGGGGATACCCCAACCGTTAAGGTAGTAATCTATGACGGCCAAGCAGACAAAGAACAATTGGATAAACTCAAGTCTGTAGAGCGTGAGGGTGGAGAAAAGCTTAAAGTCATCCACATTGACGAGCTTGAAAAACTCGGCGCTGAGAACTTGGTTGAGCCTACACCACCAAATAAGGATGATACAGTCACTATTATGTACACATCTGGATCGACAGGACCACCAAAAGGTGTTGTTCTCACCCATGAGAACCTCGTTTCCGCCGTAGCTGCTGTCGTCAAGATGTTAGGCCACCACTTATCAGCGCAAGATACCTTTTTGGCTTATTTGCCACTTGCTCACATTTTGGAATTCATTGTCGAGCTCTTAGTTATGTTTATTGGTATGCCAATGGGTTATGGTAGAGTAAAGACCCTTACAGACCAATCAACTCGCAATTCAAAGGGTGATATCCAAGCATTTAGACCATCAATTATGATTGGTGTTCCAGCAGTTTGGGAAACAATTCGTAAGGGTATTTTGAGCAAGGTTGGCCAACAAGGCGCACTCAAGAAGTCTATCTTCGGTGGTGCTATGACGCTCAAGAAGACCTTTGGTACAAAAGTACCATTTGTAAACACAATCACTGATGCGGTTGTTTTCAAGACTATTAAACAACAAACAGGTGGTAGATTACGTTTGACACTCTCCGGTGGTGCTGCACTCAGTAAAGACACTCAAGAATTCCTTACAACTGCTTTAGTTACTGTTTTACAAGGATACGGTATGACTGAAAGTTGTGGTATGTGTGCAATTCTTCCGCCAGAGTTTATGCAATACAATGTTGTTGGTATTCCTGTACCAGCTGTCGAAATCAAGTTGGTTGACTGTCCAGAAGCAAACTACAGATCAACCAACAACCCACCACAGGGTGAAGTCTTTATCAGAGGACCTGCCGTTACCAAGGGTTACTTCAAGAGACCTGATGTTGATGAAGAAGTCTTTGTTGGCGATGGATGGTTCAGAACTGGTGACGTTGGACAATGGAACGTAGGTGAAACTAGTCTTGAGATAACATTCTCATTTAATTTAACAGGCTGATGGTACATTGTCTATCATAGACAGAATCAAGAACCTCGTCAAGTTGCAAGGTGGAGAGTACATTGCGCTCGAGAGACTTGAATCTCAATATAAATCTTGTCCATTAGTCGGAAATATTTGTGTCATAGCTAACAACAACGCTAAGCAACCAGCCGCTGTTGTCGTTCCTAACGAATCTCACTTCAAGGCATTCTTGAAAGACAAGGGTATTGGTAACGCTAATGATATTAGCTCAACACTAGAAGACAAGAATGTCGTGAAGGCATTCACTGCGGAGGTTAACCAAGGTGGTAAGAAGGCGGGTTTCAAGTCATTAGAGTTACTTGAAACTGTTATTCTCACACTCGATGAATGGACACCACAATCTGGTTTAGTCACAGCAGCACAGAAGATTCAACGTAAAGCCATTGAGAAGCAATACGCGGAACAAATCAAGAAGTTCTATAACCACTAAAAATGTTATAAATATCCAACGGAACAATCAACCAAAGCTATCAATAAAGCTAATAAATAAAGTTTATTCTTTCATAATCATTCATTATAAGTATAACGTTTCTCAAAATATATGTTTATTCGTATAATACTCTCTTAACATCAATCCAACAACCTGCATTGTCTACCCAGCCTAGACTGCCAATCTCACATTCACCGCATGCGAGGAATTTAGAGATATTTGCAGCTGTTTGAGGAGCAGTCTTCGAGAATGTTATGTTCTCAAATGACATTGGACCTGCGAGTCTCCAGGCTTTGTCGAGATGCGGTTCTGGTAATGATGGGTGTGAAAATTGGTTGTCTGGGGGTAAAATACTGAGTGGATGGATTGTTTCTAAGCTTTTAAGGTCCGCTGCACCTGATAAGAAGACGAGTGATTTACATTCAACCCTAGGGCAACGTGCATTCCGCGAGTTTTTCGAGTCTTTAAGGAAGTCCTCGTATTTGCTCTGATCGGTGAAGGTTAACAAGTTGAGATTAGGCTTAGTGGAAGGTTTACTGAGTGCTGCAAGGATATCTGCTTGGGTAATACTTGGTTTCTTCTGGGGAGTGATATCGTGAGACATTTCCACCTGATCGTTGTCTATCTCCTTGGTAATTTCAAACTGATACTTTTCAAAGAAGGGTACTTGTTCTTTAGATGATATGATTAATACCCTGTTGTAGCTCGACTCGTCTAGTCTTCGCATGTACTCAGTGAATAGTTTTGTAGTTGCGGTCTCACGGTGGGCATCTTCATTATGTACAGTCAGAGAATGTATCAGGACTGTATGGCCAGAGGGATCGTGCTCTTTGGCTGATTGCTCGCTGAACGTGTCTTCGTTTGTGAGTGTGCTAGTAACGAAGCCAATCAAACCCTGGGTGCGTGGCTGGTGGAATATACCTAAAAATAAATCGCCCGCGTACTTGTACCTGTACTCAAGTTTGTCGATATCAGTTGCTGTGTAGCCTGTGCGTTGTCAGAAAAGCAATAAATTAAGAACAGGACATACTAGAATTATCTATAGAGGCAGCAGAACTAAGCTCTTGATGCTCTAATTTATCTATAATGTAACTCTCATCAAACATCTTAGAAGTTGACCATCAACAGCAGAAATGGCTGGTCCACCACTGCCACCAAAACCCAGACAGTACACAGATAGCATTGACGATAAATTCGCTGACGTATACAACTCTCTCAATAAACTCACGAATAACCAGTCCTTCTCCTCAACCGCTCAAGATAGCATATACAATCTATATGGGGATGCCTACTCAGATACAGAGAATAGCCCAGTCAATCCTAATCTCTCTTCCATGCATGAGAGACATCTAGTAGTTGGTCCAACTCCAAACAACAGAAGAGCCGCTGTACTACCACCACCGAAGGAGGGCCAGCAGCAGCATTTCTCATCACCCGAGTCTGCCTATAAGGCTGTACCATCAAGGCAGACACCAACCTCTTCTTTTGGCTCGAATTTTCAATTCGCAGATATAGCTACCACAGAGCAATCGCAATCGACGCTACATTCACCAAAGTCTTTTCTTACATCAGAGCAACCTTATCCTTATGGTAGTATCCCGTCACCGCTCACAGGACCTTCCGTTCATGATTCCACCTCTACCTATTCTTCTCACAACAGTCCAAAGTTGGTACAAAATAATGCAAGATCAAGATCAAGTCAAACACCTCTCCCACATGAGGTTCTAGCGAGGGAGGATCCTTACGCTCACCTTCAACAATCCTACAATAGCCCATTGGCTCAAATGTCATCAGACTCATTTAGTTCACCCGCAACATCTGTACAGCAACCGCCATCGAGTTTGTATCCTCCTCCTGGTACTGTGCCGCCGACACCTCCAACCCAGCAGAAGTCACACCTATATGAGTACCCTTCTTTACAGGCACAATCTTCAATGCATAATGCTCAGTTGCAATCTTACGTTCAATCTAGGGCCTCAAACGTACCTAATAACAATATCATCAACAACAACAAATTAAGAAGACGAACGATGGATACTTCTTTCCCTGGTGATGAATACACTGAAGCTTATTATGATGAATTACAATACAACGAGATTCAATCTGGTTTGAAAGGTTTCGATCCATTTTCAATTGTTAAGCCTCAACTCATAAAAGATCTGGCTGTGCAATTCAAAGATAACGTTCCTAGAGGCACACATGTTAAGGGTTCAGTTCCTTTTGAGACATCCTTTACTGGTAAAGATATTGTCTCGACGATCAGGGAATTATTTCCTACGGTGGTTAGGAATTCATCAGCATCGAGGTCCTTGGCTGTTCAGGTCGCTCGTACATTACAATCTCAGTTGTATTTCTTCGAAGTGGAGTTTAACATGACCTTAGTCACGGATGATGTTCAAGAGATTTTCGTTTTTCCTGACGAAGTTGGCTTGCAAGGCGCTGGAAGTGATGAGATACCGACTGGTGTCTTTACGGCTTTGACTCCTTGTTATAGGTGAGTGAGAACATTCACCGCTTATACCTATTTGACATTCGGGCTAGTTTAATGTGTCCAGGTGATGAAACATGTTATTCGTACACTTGCCCTTATAGAGCAAAGAAGGTGAGGTATGATAGACTGACGATTATTTTTTCTAACATTATTCAAGGCTCTTCATCTTGTTTCAGCAACTGAAATACCACATTCAGAAGACATAATAGATGAAGAATTCAAGGTGAGTATCATTGACATATTTATTAGGAACTTATCTAAAATACTCTTTAGGATTGGACTGAGCAAGTTGAACCAGAATTACTTGTCACCCTCGATGATCAAGAACGTGAACGCCAATCGGTCATTCAACAAGCACTCGAATCAGAGATCCAATATGTTGAAGCTTTGGACGTTGTAGAGTCGTTATATATCGAGCCTTTGCGGATGGTCAAGCCAAATATCATACCAGTGGAAAGGTTGGAGTCATTCATTGAAGCAACATTTGATGGTCTTCTAAGTCTTCGAGAGCGTAATCGACGTCTCGTCGAGCAATTTAAAGTAAGGCAGAGGGAACAATCAGGATTGTTGGAAGCTGCGGGTGATATTTTCCTTAGTTCATTTATAGAATGGGAAGATTGTTATCCAGATTACATTGGTAGTTTACCTACTATTGAATCTATGATTAGGGAAGAGCAAGGATTGAATGATCAATTTAGCGAATTCTTACTCGAGTGTGAACGCAAACCAGAAGCTCAAGGGATGGATTTGATCACTCATCTGCAAAGACCTGCTCATAGATTGGGTAGATATGCAGTATACTTGAATGCAATCCTTAAAGAGACACCAGAGGGTCATCCAGATTGTGGATATCTTGTTGAAGGTATGAAAGCAGTCAAGAGGTTAACAGATTTGGGTACATTGGTATCTTGGCAGTTATCTGATCCAAATCATTCGCATATACAAGGATGGACAGACTTAGTTGAGCCTGAAGTAATAATGAATCTTGATAAGAAGGAAATTGAAAGACAGAATAACATTTTTGAATTAATACGGACTGAAATGGGTTATGTTAAAGATTTAGAGAGATTCACAACGGTCTTCATACGTCCATTGAGAGATGCTAAGGATTCAATTATACCAAATCATAGAATAGATCATTTCATTTATGAAGTATTCGGTAATCACGTTGATTTATTTGAATTACATAATACTCTAGTGAAAGAATTACATAAGAGACAAAGGGAACAACATCCAATAATTGACTCTATAACAGATTGTGTTCTTAAAGTTGCCTTAAATTGGGATGAAGCTTATGAGACCTACATGCCACATTATCCATATGCAAAAAATGCGTACGATGAGGAAATAATGCTAAATGAAAGATTCGTTGAATTCGTTGCGGCATGCAGAAGATTACCTGAATGTAGAAGGCAAGACTTATCTGCATTCTTGTTCTTACCTCCGCAGCGTTTACCTAGATATCCCTTGCTTCTAGGTGATATATTAAAACACACTAAGGATGATCATCCTGATAAGATCAACATTGATGAAGTTATTGATTTGATTAAGTCGAAAATCAAAGAAATCAACGTCAATGTTGGTGTCGCTACGGAGAAAGTCAAATTGAGGAATTATTCAAAGATCATTATACATCGTGACGGTTCTCAAAATGTGAGTGAAATTACTTCAAATTTACCTTCCCATTTAGCTTACAACTCTAAAGGGACTTGATCTTGCGAATGATGCACGCACGCTTGTTCATGAAGATACTGTTATTAGACATTCTGAAGGCACAACTTCAATGACTACGAGTAACTCTGATATCAAGATGATGTTATTCGATCACTATCGTAAGTGTCCATTTTTTCTATCAACCAAACTCACAGTAAATAGTTGTTCTCTGTAAGGAAAAACGGGTTGACAAGGTAGCTGGTCGACGAGTCTTTTACATTTGGAAGCGGGTGAGATTAATAAGTTTGCAGTCTAGTTTCGAAGCTTACTAAATACATAGCCTATCCCACTTGACTTGCTCACTCTTAATGACTTCAATGGATCGCCACTCAAGCAAACCAGCCGTATACGTGGTGCACTAGGAAGAGGAGCAAATGATGAAGAGAGTGGATTGATATATCCTTTCTCCTTCATTGCGCTTTGTAGACCACGTCTAGAGTACACTTTGTTCACAGATGACCCTCAAAAACGTCAGAGATGGCAAGAAAAACTTGAGGAAGCATTATTCTTACATTCACAAGTACAAGAAGAGACTAACAAAGTATTTGAAGCTGTTCCACTCAGCATTGACACGTTCCCAGCAACGAGATCGGCCGGTGCATTCGAGGATAACCCATTGACTGGAAAAGTTACCTGCTCTGTACCATTTAAAACCAATGACGGTAGAAGACTAGTAGCTATTGGATGTGCAGAAGGTCTTTGGATTGGATTACGTGGAGAACCAACGTCTCTAAGAAGAGTATTACATCTGAAAAACGTGACACAATGTGCTGTCTTAGAGGAATTCGGAATGTTTATCGTTCTGGCTGATAAAATATTAGTCGCATACTCTGTCGAAGCTTTAGTACCTTCTGCATCTACAATTCAGAACGGTGGATCAAACTTATCACGTACACCTCAGAAATTGTCTGGTACAAAGGATGTTGCTTTCTTCACTGTTGGAAAGTTACATGATAGGACATTGGTTATATTCATGAAACGCAAAGGAATAGATTCCGTGTTTAGAGCTTTGGAACCAGTATCTGAGAGGATGTTAGCTGAGAGAGCACCAGTCAATGCTTTCAATAGATTGCTGACCGGTGGTAAATCTGGCTGGTTTGAAAACTATCAGGTGTTCTTCATACCATCTGAAGCAACAGATTTGCTTTTCTTGAGAGCAAAATTAGCGATTATATGCAAAAGAGGATTTGAAATAATGGATTTAGAAACTCTTAAAGGAGGATCTATACCCGACTTCACTAATGCTAAAAATCAAAGAGATCCACAAATATCAGCGCTTGGAAAGAAATGTGATGACGCTACTGCTCTTGCTATATTCAAATCAGGTGATCAGGAGTTCTTACTGATTTACCAACAATTTGGATTCTTCGTAGACAGACATGGTGACCCTCATAGATTGGAATGTTTCACTGAATGGGAGGGTAAACCAGAATCAGTATCATGTCATCCACCGTATATATTGCTCTTCGACTCTGAATTCATCGAAGTACGTGAAATGGAAACACTAAACTTGGTACAAGTTGTCAAGGGCAATGAAATACATAGAACTTGGGGTGGAATTGGACTCTCACCTCACGCAATCTCACCTAATGGTTGGGTACATTCACCTGAGGCACTCGGAGAATCGAGATGTCATTTCGTTATGCGCGTAGATAGCGAGCAAAGACTATCACAAGGGCAGAGAGGTAATTCCTCTCAAAGGGTATTTGAATTACAGCCAATTTGGCACTACAATCAAGCTGATTCTTCGCAGTTATATCAGTCGACTGCCCCTTATAGAAACTATGTTTCAAGAGCATAGAAGGCAGTTTCAAAATTGGAGAATTTTTAGAATTTACGTTTACTATACTTTTCTTTTAAAATACTACTGATTAATGAACGTAATGTATTTTTATATGATATACTTAGACTTACGCGTTGATTGGAATGTGACAACAACTGGTATGCTTATCGCTTCTGTATTTTATGTAGACAACTGTCGTCACCAGCGATGATGCAAAAAAGTAAAACGTCTAATTCAAGGTACAGAGTTCAAGCCACGATAAATAGGAGGACGGAATAAAAAAGCAAAAAGAAAGAAATATAAGTTTAAATGCGGATAACACATTATTGTATCATAATAGACGCAGTAAATCTAAAACTCTGCTGCGCATTGATATAAAGCCATCGCTCGATCGGCGATATTCCTTAAACCTCTACGGTCATAATTGAAAGTAAGTAAAAAGAAGTTAGCAGTTCAATTGCTAATAAAGTACAGAAATAATGTCAACTCGCTCAAACGTTCTCGTCACTGGTGGTAGTGGTGCGTCCTCTTATTGCTACTGTGGGATATACTAAACAAAGACCAGGATACATCGGTTCACACGTTGTACTTCAATTACTCTTATCCAAACGTTACAATGTCGCCGTTATCGACAACTCCGCCAACTCTCACCCAGAATCCATCAAGCGTGTTGAATCCATCGCTGCGGAGGAAACAGGTGAAGACCAAAAGGTTAGATTGTTCCAAGGTGACTTGAAGAAGAAGGCAGACGTTGAGAACATCTTCAGCTACTTCGAACAAAACGAGGATAAGAAGGGTATCACCGGTGTTATCCACATTGCTGCATTGAAGGCTGTTGGTGAATCAGCTGAGAAGCCATTAGACTACTACTTGAACAACATCGCTGCATCCATCCAACTTTTGGAAGTTATGAGAGAACACAACTGCTACAACTTCGTTTACTCTTCATCAGCTACCGTCTACGGTGAACCACCAAAGGTTCCAATCCCAGAAACGTCACCATTGCAATCTGAGTCACCATACTCACGTACAAAGGTCTTCTTCGAGCAAATGTTGAAGGATATCGCCAACTCACAACCAGACAAGTGGCGTATCATCTCATTGAGATACTTCAACCCAGCTGGTGCTCACCCATCAGGTAAAATTGGTGAAGACCCACTCGGAAAGCCAAACAACTTGTTGCCATTGTTGGCACAAATCTCCGTTGGTAGATCATACGGTCAATTGAAGGTTTTCGGTAACGACTACCCAACCTACGATGGTACCTGTGTTCGTGATTACATCCACGTCATGGATTTGGCCGCCGGACACATGAACGCTCTTGACGCTCTCGACAGAGATGAAATTTTCCATGATGTTGGTCCAGGTAAGGCTAAGGCTTACAACCTCGGTACTGGTCAAGGTCAATCTGTCTTGACAATGATTGAATCAATGCGTGAAGCTTCTGGATTCGATTATCAATACCAAATCGTTGAGAGAAGAGCAGGTGATGTACCAAACCTCACTGCTGATCCTGCACTCGCACAAAAGGAGTTAGGTTTCAAGACTGTCAGAGATTTGAAGCAAATGTGCCAAGACACCGTTAGATGGCAAAAAGGCAATCCAAATGGTTATAGAAACTAAAACTGTAATATTTAATTTAATACAAAACTAATTATCTTCCTGCTTTAATTTTTTTTCTTTGACATATTGATGATATAGAAATCGATGTGTCCGTGCGTGATATAAACAATTCGCGTTGACTGTCTTTAATTTACGACGATCAGAAAAACGGAACCTCAAAAATACATGAATGAGAGGATCTAGGAGTGTACATTATAAGAGAGATATTTGGTATGGTGATGGGAATGGTAGTAAGGTTGTCGTTTCACCCGGTGGACCAACTGTCGACTACACAGAACAGAGCGAGTCGCCAACCCCAACAGGTTCACGTACAGTTATAAATTCTGTTGACACTTCAGAGGATTATAATATTCAAGCTAATGGAACTGGCTCGACACCTAGCGACAGTAGCTCAAGTTCTGGAAAAAGCACTCCTAGTAGTAGTTTAGGACCACATAAAGCATCATCTTCTGATTCGTCTAACCTCTCAGCTGGTCCTATAGTCGGTATAGTCGTTGGTGTTATAGCTTTCTTCGTCTTCCTTTTCCTCTGTTTTGGTAAATACAGGCGGAGAATGAACAGACAGAAAACAATGTCATTCGCTAAAGCACAAGGAATGGCACGGTCACAGCCTCATTACGCTCCAGGTGCGCCTATAGATGATGGATCATTCAGACCGACAACATTCCAAATGAAGAATACAAACGGTGCTATGACTGTAAAATCTCAGCATTCAAAATCTGGCTCAGATACCACAAATTTATTCAGAAAAGGTTCTACAGCTTCCTCCCTCGTGCCTTCAGATGTCAACAGTCTAGCTGCTGCACCATGGTTTAGAAGTTCAGGAGCTACAACTGAAGAAAGCCATAGTGATGTTTTATTGGGAATGTCTAGATCAGATTCTGATCGATCGAGGTATAAAAAAGGACGTAACTCGTTTGGGTCTCCTTTAGATATGCTGTTAGTTTATGTTATTGCGTAGTTTTACACTTTCTAATAACTCTCTAGTGTCAGGGGAATTGGCAAGTCTTAATTTTTTTCTTTCTCTCTCAAGTCTCCATCCAATGCGTATAATATATTTTAGAAGAATGTATACCCCTTAATTAGAAATGATTACAAATCGAGATCATCGTCTGGATCCTCATCATCCCAGTCATCAGCGCTATCTGGATCATAGCTGATAATTGGTGCTTGCTCCTGTTGTGCTTGGAGATATGGTAATGGAACAGCCTCTCTTGCCGCCTTTTGGTCACTTGTAAGGCCCAAATTGAATGATAATCCAAGGTTTGTTGGTTGTGGTTTAGTTTCCTCCTCTTTCTCGTCTGCTTTTGCTTGTATGTTAAGACTCTGTGTGACACCTTCAAGGTTTGTGATTTCTACATCATTTATACCAACAGTGATAAGATCCAATGATCGTCTAACCAATTTTGTACCCTTTTGCGCTGATCTGACGAGAGTTTCTATGACAAATTTATCATTATTGGTTAGATGCGCCGGTATGGTTTGATATTGTTGGAGTTCATGCAAAACACCTAAAAATTGTGGTGCATTTGGTTTCAAACCGTATTCATTTATCACTTTCTCGTAATTATACACTGAATGAAGGTTTATCGTCGTCACCCGTGGTGTATTCTGAACAGAAGACAATTGTTGAACCAGACCCTTAGATGAAAGCTTAACTAATGATATTATATTATAACGTTTTGATGCACTTAATATAGCTCTATTATTGTTGTATCTCTCTAAAGAATCAATGAAAAAACTATGCTCAAGGTCTCTCTCTAAAGATGGAATTTCATTAGAAAAGCGACAATCTATTATTTCAGCAGAAGGTATAGCCTTCTTGTAAAACTCTGGACTCTGTTCAAAGCATATTATAATAGGATTTCTAGCAGATCGTGCTATATATCGTAAAAGAGAGTATCCAGATTGAGTTGATTGATGTTGAATTATAATAAGTGAAGTATTAGATTCGTCATTTTTTAGTATTTTTTTAATATCCAAGCTGTCTTCTTTTGGCGATGGCATAATAAAATGTAGATGAATGAATAAAGATAAGAGATAATATGAATTATGAAAAAATTGTTTAGATTGGTGCACTATTGTATCTTAACCCCTCCTTTACCTTTGATGAACGTTGTTCTAACCTTCTAGCTCTTAATTTGCGTGATTTGGGAGAGTATCTAAATAAACTGCGCATAAACCCCTTGATACATGTTAAAGAACCTGCTGCTACTATTACGAAGATTGTCTGTTTTTTTCCTCTTAGAGCTGCTCAAAGAGAATGCGACCATTAAACTCACAGTGAAACCAGCGAGGATAGCTCTCAATAGTTCAAATATAGCCTTTATTGATATGTTCAAATAGTCTGTTTAAAGTTCAGTTGATAGTCCGTTAAAGACACCGAGACAAACCATAGTTGGTGACGTAATTGAAGCTTGTAAGGTAATCAAAGAGTGATTTCTCGAGAGTGTTATATTGGTATTGAGAGATGTCAGCAAGCGTTGCGGATATATTGCTTATTGAACTTGACTGCAAGGTATTGTCAATTGATATATCTAGAAGACAGACCAAAACATACAGTTCTGTTGAGATTAGAATCTATCAAGTTGAAATGGTCGAAGTAAATCTTTGCTAGATTGTTAAATAACATGTCAGTCGATTTCTAACCCTTATAAGTTAGGGTGTAAAGACAAGACATATGCTTACAACCACCGAGTGATGAGAGTCGAACATTTGATTTGTCAGATGAAAGATAGAATTATTATAGATTACGAGTAGATTATCTAACAAATAATCCATCTTTATAAGTAACTTCTTATCTAGATGTTCATGATAATCGATCTGAGTGTTCAATTGCTGCTGTAACCTCGTTAAATAGTCTAAAATTGTTAACTGATTGTTCAAGAATTCAGTTTGTATAATCTCTGGTTTAAATGATTGACAAATAGTCAGGCTATCTCTGAAATAACCGCTATAGGATGACCACAGCTGGGAAGATCTTGATATTGCGTCTAGACAGTAAGATTTATCGTATTCACCAATACATTCTAGCGGTATAGTTAAAGATTTCGTCGTCTTTATATCACAAATCGTGAGTTCGATAGCTACTGAAATTCTGTTTTCTTGGTTATTGTAAATATCATTACAATATAAACTATTAAAAGGTAATTTATAACAATCATTCTTATAATATTCAACTAAATTGTTCATTTTTTATTTTTTATTATTCGTACCTATCAAGCTGCCTGCCTCCATTAACTTAATTCTCGACGGCTGGATCTATCAATGTCACAATATTTGTTAGTGAATAATAATAAAAATCTGAATTTAAATATTCTAATGTATTTTATAACAGCGACTATGATTTATCTATGCGTCAGCAACCCAAACATTCCAGGATGTGTGGTGTTGGTTCAAAAGCAGATAGAAGACCGATAGATCCCCCACCGATAGTCCAGCTTAAAGTTTATTCTAATCACCAAAATTTTAAATCTAGACAGGATTTATCTTTTAATCACTTTCAATCCCCTTACTTTTTCGTTTATTGTTCATTAGCTGGAGAAGATTCTGATGAAGAGCTGCACATTTTGTCAGAAACTAAAACTAGATATACAACTGGCAACGTAACATCTTCCATTTATTGTTTGAGAGATTTGGATTTAACCGAAGTTTTGGTCGCTGTCTTCCCGTGAGTATCTACACTCGCACGACCTCATCAATTTACTGATTACTGCCGATATAGTGACGTTAGCGTTAGAGTTGAAGGTAGATTTAGACTGAAGTTTAGCTTGTTCGAAATTCAAAAGTGGGTTATTACCTTGCTATTAGAACTTTATCTCACATACCTAACTTAGTAGCAAAACCTATCACAGAAAAAGCTTATTTAGTGACCCATTCACTGTATTCTCAGCTAAAAGATTCCCTGGTATGGATCAATCTACTGAGCTCTCACAATGCCTCGCCAATCAGGGTCTTAAAATACGTATAAGGAGAGATAATAGAAGAGACAGAAGAAAGTCATCAAAAAGGTATTTCGACGATGAAGAAGAAGCAGGTACTTCTACTAATCTCAATGTACCTTCAATCATACCTCAACAAGCTCAACAGTTACATAATCACACCCAACCGGCATCAAACTTTAAACGTCCTTTAGCGCCGCTTCCAAGTAGGATCACGAATATACCTGACCAACCGCATGAATTCAGTCAATCAACTCTTACTCGACCTTTACAGAGTTTTCCATTCGAATCATCATCTTTTAGAAATTTACAAACACCATCGATCGTTATACCACCTTACCAGAGTCAACGGATACATTCAAGCCCAGTCATATACACTAGATCAGACACAAGTGCTAATGACCGTGAAGTTCCGCCAGCTCGACCCACACTTCCTAGTAGGCAATCATTCACACAGCCAACTTCTGTCGCTGCCACTATGAGCATATCACCACCATCACCACAAGATTCAGCTCCACGTATACAACTCCCTCCAATACGCGATTTAATTCAGCCACCTAGTACATTCAATCCTTCTAATTTTAAGCCACCTAATCAAAGGTAATTTGTTTAAAAGAATGCATAAGAAATTTTTAATGTAAAACTAGAAAAACAGTCTACTTTCTTCCTCTAACTCTAACGCGTTGTCTGATAACAAACTTGTTACCATGCTTATCTTTTGGTCTTCTCGTTCTTTTACCTTTAGAGAGTAGACCCCATGGTGAACGTGGATCTTTGTCACCTTTGGATTTACCTCTACCACCACCCATTGGGTGATCAACAGTGTTCATTGCAACACCTCTAACTGATGGTCTTCTACCTAACCATCTAGATCTACCTGCTTTACCAAGCATACGAAGATGATGAGATTCGTTGCTAACGACACCAATTGTTGCGCAACAATCAAGTAAAATTAATCTAACTTCACCTGATTGTAATCTAATTTGAGCGTAACGTTCACCAGGACCAGAGTTGAGTGCTATAACTTGACCGTAACTACCTGCTGATCTACAGAGAAGACCTCTTCCACGTGGTTTAAGACTGATAGCATGAATGAGTGTACCAACTGGTATCAAACGTAATGGTAGAACATTGCCTGGTCGTACAGTGATCATTCTGAGTAAACCAAGGTCTAAACTTGAAACTTGACGTGGTTCTAGAGAGTGAAATTAGACATAATACACAATAAATAAAAACTATTAGACTCACTTTGTACATTTGAATCATTCTCTTGACCTTCTGAGTGTGTTAAAGCATCACCTGAGAAATCACCGAGGGATGCAGCAGCAGTGAGTTGAGAAATACCCTTATCTGAGAGGTTCCTAAATGATTGTACGGTATCACCCTCTTTAAGTCCCTTAGGTGCGACAATATAACTCCAACTTTGGTTGCTCTCTTGAACAGAACGAAGGAGAGCGATGTGTGCAGATCTGTTAGGATCATATTCCAAACGTACAACTTTGTATAATCCACCTTGATCTCTCATAAAATCTAAAGTTCTAATTCTACGCTTATGACCACCACCAATGTGACGGGATACGACTCTACCTGTGCTGTTACGTCCACCTTTCTTTCTTTTGGTCAAGGTTAAAGGTTTAAACGGTCCATTGTTGGATATACCCTCTGTTAATGGGAATCTGACGTGTCTAATACTAGGTGTGATAGGTTTAAACGTTTTAAATTGACCGTCTATTCTAACCAAAGGTGATGTCTTCCTCGATGGTTTTCCAGGTTGTACCGGTGGTGCAGGTTTGAAATGTGATGTAGATACACCTCTTACTGTTACTTTTGGTACATTTTTACTTAGTTTTACCCTCGACAACATTTCGTCGTCAGTCCAAAGTCGTGAGAGTTGAGAGAAGACAATGAAATAAATAAAAAATAATTTCGTACAGCTGTTATTCAAATAAATATATGAATCGTTTAAAATTGTCTCCTTAGAATAAAGCTATGCTAATAAATGCAATTACCAGATCACATTTCGGGTCGACAGATTCGTCAAATTTATATTATCTTCCTGCGGTCACCTATTGTGCCAAATGATTGGGCTCTTGACGATCTCGTCCATCCTAATTTTGATGATATGAGAGGTGGTGAGCTGCTTCTTCTGGAGCTTACGCCAGGTGGACGATCTGAAGTACCGCCAACTATAATATTTGGGGTCTTATTTGCTGCAATAATTGGTGCTGATGAATACATTCTAGATGTGTAGCTCGATTGACCATCTGGATTGTCAGATATTGTGAGATCATCGAGCGAGAGAAGGTTGCTCTTTAATTGTGACTTAATAGGTGTCTTTGATTGTGGCCCAAGTACGCCCCAATTGGAGTATCCCATTCCATTTGGTATCATGTTTGATAATCCAGTTGGTATTCCAGATGATATTCCAACTGGTAATCCACCCTTTGATAAGTAATTCTCAGGCGAATTTGGTGATAATGTTGGTATAGATGATGAAGGAGATAATGATGGCGATTTGTTTGCCTTGTATATACCTAATACATCTTCTAATGGAACTTGGTTTAAAATTTTCGTATCCCACTGCTTGATTCTTTGTTCATTTTGACATGTTAAAATATCATAATTTGGACGTATATACCATAAATCATCACAATTTTGGAAGGTATCTTTATTAAAATCCATTTGAGATGATGTTAAGTGGTGTGAATAAAATTTTGCTTTGAGCGATCTAACTACCAAGGCTATCATAGCGGTTGCCAGTTCGTTGGTTACTGAATAATGGATTGTGACCTTAACATGCTTAGCTTTATAAGCTGAAATACGGGTGCTGTTGTTAACGTGATCGCGTACATAACGATTTGGTTCTCTTCTACGGAAGTCGAAGCGAGACTGTAACTAATTTGTTAGAATGTCTTTCTTAGAAAAAGATACACACTACATTATTATCTAATCCCAACTCGAAAGTAATCTTGCCAGCTGAGAGGCATTGCTCGAGATATAAAGCATAATTTGCACCGCGTGGGTCCAAACTTTCTGGATCCTGGGCGTCTTTGTCATTGATAGGGAGCATGCCTAGGTAAGTGATGCATTCTAATGGCATGCAAAGCTACGCATCATGTCAATATGGCGTAGCAGAAAACAAGGAAGTATGTACTTCATAATTGCCGTCATCGAGTAGGATACAGATCGAGCCACCATCGCGGGTTCTAAATCTGAACTTTAAACTGCCGCGATCTCTAGAGCCTTGCCAGAAGACTGGGATATCGTTGAGAGATGGTTGTGAAGTGTCATAGAATGCGATAAACTGAGCGTGCTTGAGTGCTTCTAGTTAAATTTATAGTAAATAAATACACAAAACCTACCAAATCATACTAAATTCATGAATACACGTTACAAACTGGAGATTGAACTTACAACTACTTTTCCATGTCGCGGTCTACGCTGGTTCTGGGATGCCGGCCCGAGATTCTCTGTATCCACGCTGAGGTTTAAATTCGACATGAATGTCAGCTAAGAAGAAAGAGCTCCATCTAAGAGAAGCCTAGACATCGTTATCGTCATAGGTATGTGTCGGAACCAAAAATATATAAAATTACAGTTACATATACTCAATCGCGTTTAAATTTACCTCTATACCATTTTGTAAGCTTCTGATAGATGTATACCATCGCCTTTGTCGGTCCTGCTGTGAGAATTCCCTTGAGTGACTGGCTAAACGCAGGTCGTCTGACTATCTCAGCAATCGCTATAGCATATTAATTATGTTTGTTGATATTATTCGTTATCACACTTACCATTTTCCAGGGTCTTGTGAAATTGAGGGTCTTGCACGACTCGAGACCAATAAGCGCTGTCATCATTCTTGACATCTCCATAGATATTGTCAAAATGTGCTTTAATTTTATTACGCAATACCAGTGGAAGTTTTGTTGCCAGGGTTGCCCTTGCTTGTCCGTTCATAGGTTGCTAAAATGATAGAATTAGCAAATTTTCAATGGATTAGCCAGATAGTCAAACTCACTCTTATTGTTCGCTTACCTTGAGGCAGCCTTCTCCATCCTGGTACAAAGCGCACACCTCGGAGTTGCATGGCTAATGGTTCGTAGAGGGTGTGGAACTGCTCCATCTGTGCAGAAACTATGTTGGAGATCTTCTCTGGATTCTCTCCAACTGTCATACGTGGGTCTCCAGAGTATGACAATGAGCTTATTTTTTCATAGAGTTCTTGCTGGCTGAATTCTGCGGGCAGGAGCAACAGTGCTGTACGCAAGGCAGAGGTGAGGTTCACTTGTTGGGCGAGTTTGACGCGAGCATCATCCTTGATAACACGCACCTGTTGATTATTTAAATCGTGTCACTTTAGTAAAAATGATCACTTACTGGTTTGTGCATCCGTCCTGAAACATAGAGTGTTTCCCAATCAAGCAAATCGCGACAAAGATCGTCAACAGAAATCACACCATACTTTAAAGGCTTGAATAGGTGTCAGTAATGTTAGAAAAGTTCCATTCCACCCACGATTCCATCTACTTCGACCATTGTCACATACCACACTTGAGCACCAAACTTCCGTTGGAGGAATGTTATAGCTTTATTACCGAATAACTTCGCTCCTAGAGGATAATGTGATGGGTTCTGCTGAATATTGATTGAATGCCAGTGATGGGGATGCGTCACAGCAATGATGAAGTCAACTAGCGGCTTATCCTGAGTGGATTGAGTGACACATTATAAACGCTAACAACACACCTTATCAGAGTAGCCAGTTTGCTTGAATACACCAGATCCATAGGCAAATCCATATCTAATTGGGGCACGAAATGAATGGAACACGGCTTCAAGCATCTTCCTTTTATCATCTGATACCTCTACAAACTGATTACTGCCAAATCCGACAGACATATATTTCTTCTCGCTTCCATCATGCACCGATTTCGATTTGATTGGGGCATCAAGATAGTATTGTTGACTACGTTGTACATTCTGGAGTGAGCCTCTAATATCTGGCTTATCAGAATAACATCGTAGCTGTAGATATCCAACCCTCCTGGGCGAATAACGCATAAACTGCTGTATAATCATCTTGAATGCTATCAATCAAGAGAGAAGATGAAATATATATATAAAATACAATACAAAATAAATTAAAGTAAATCCATCCACGGATTATCTGGGCTTTTCCGCTTCTTTTTCGACTTCTTAGCTTCTGTTTGTACAGGTACTCTCTGTTTGTTATCCTGTAAGAACTCCTGGAGTTCGCCACCTTTGTAGGTTTGTCCTTGTCTAAATCTGCTATAAAGTTTGCGTTTTGCTATCGATTGCTTCGCTTGTCCAAATGCTATCTCAGTAGATGGAACAGAAGGGGTGGAAGTCCTAGTGGATATTATACCAGTAGAGGTCCTAGAAATACTCAAGGATTGTGACTTAGTATCTTTATCACCCTCGCTACTATCTTCTTCATCTGAAGAATCGTCTATTTTTATTTGAATAGCTTTTGCAGCTGCGTCGAATAAACTGCGTATTATTTAATATGATGTCTTATACCATAGTAGATACTCACCTCGAATGGAAGAGATGTCCATCGTCTCTATCTCTTCCTATACCATTCAGATTGCGTTTCCTAGGTGCTGGAATAGGTCTGCTAATAGAATTCTCTTTCAAACCACGTCCAACTTTCCAGCCCTGGTTTTGGAGGTATATTGATGGATCTAGCATCGTGGTACAAGAAGAAGAATTTATTTTGTGTTATTCGCGACCATGAGAGATTGTCGACTAGAAATGTTATCGAAGATATATTTTAGAGAAACAAACCCACGTTAGATTATCTATATAATTCTGCAAAACGATGTTATCTTCTTTGAGCTTATCTATCCCAGATTGACTGGATCTCGTCTTTTCGATTAGATCTATAAGTTATTAGTTTAATCTGTTAGTATATATACAACTAACCAGTCAAGTTCTCCTTATACTGCGTTATCTCTCTGTAGCTCGTCGTGAATATAATCCCATAATAGTGAGAGCTACTGACTTTATAAAGGACTCCTTTTGTAGCGTTTCTTGTAATAAATTATCGTTATCAATTCCAGATTGTTTGCTGTTCCATACGTCGTAATCCTCTGTGTACATCTCGTCGTTGTTTACAACGATGATCGCGAACTCGAAGGAAAAGAAAAAAGCAAAATATCAACAAGCGAGGAAAATAGATACCCAACTACCATCCTCTATTAATGTAGAAGATCATGTTAAAGTGCGTAGACAACCACAATCTCTTCTTATCTCACATTTATTAGGCTAGGCAATTCGAGATAAAGGCTCTCTTTAAAGCCATAGATAGCTCAAAGTTAGTTTATTCTTCACCAATCTTACACATTATAACACTCTCAAAGGACTGCTTCCTCATCAAGAGCTTTCCAAACTTTACCTAGACATCTCAGAAGGAGAGCAGCATCCCACAATCCAAAGAGAGTACCCTTCAGACTTAGAGAGAAAGCTCTGGCTGAGATAAAGGGCGATATCTCGAAGTTTCGTAGGAAAAGAAGGAAGTTGTTACGCACTCGAATGAAAAAGCAGCAGAGCTCTGCATCACGTACTGTTAATTTACAGAAGCGACAATGTTTGTCAAGAGTTTGCTACATAGTACAATCTGACGCCATATAGTGAACAAATCTTGGCTTGAAACACATATCTGGCACGCGAAAAGAATGAAAATGGTTAACATTTGGGGCCACAGATTAGCAAAGCACCCAACTGAGAAGTCGTTTAGACCGTCTGTTAGAGCTTCAAGACAAGGCTGCATTGTTCATGACGCATCTTACACCGCTCTTGTACAGATTGATGGCAGCCAAGAGAGAATACTCTCTTTACTAGACAGTATCTTGGATAAAGCGGGTGAATCAGCTTCTTCAAAAAGGTAAGATAACAATCTAGTCCAAGACTTATATACTTAATGATCAAAAGGTACATTTTCGGTACACGTGAAATGCATAGTTATATATACAGATCCAATTCATACCCAACTGAAATTATCTCACCTATATCACTCATTTGGCATCCTGCTGATGGTGTTCGTGACAAGAGAAGCATTTGGTTGCGCTGCCATCCATCTGCTTTCAAGACTGTTTACGAGTCTTTGAATGAAGCAAAAATTGCCTTGTCTGGTGACGATCTCACAATCAGTGATTTAAGAGGCCAAGTCAACACTTTTGAGATGTATGGTCCACAATCTAGCCAGGTTTTGGCGGGTGCATTCAGATTAGCAAAGGCTAATGGTAAAGCTCAAAGAATTGTAGGGAACATTTACTTAACTCACTATCGTTAACGTTCTTTAAGGCATGGCAGAAAATTGGCAAATTAACGACACCTGCACACCTTCCAACTGGCTTCGTAGCGGGTTTCAATATTGACGATCCTCGTCTAAAGTAAGCATCCAAGCGTACGTTTCGATTCACTAACATACCTAAGTTACCCACCACGTAATACGAAAGCTGACAAAGATAAACCCGTAACCAATCTCACACTGAGCACTACTTTGGCACAATCGGGTATATTTAGTAAAGCAGAACGTGAAAAAGTTTCTAAACCTCGTTACAAGAAGGCAGAAATTGACAGCCGACGTAGCAAAGCGCAACCGGGGAAGCCACTCGCAGCAACACCAAATGACGATGTTATACCCATCTTAGTCATACAAAAGAAGTTAGAAGGTGGACTACGAGACAGCTTAGATGGTTATACGCTTATTGTTCCAGCTGGATGGGGCATGCAAATTTGGTCATCACTTATACACACGGACTCGCGAGTTGGTGGTATTGAACAAGTCGAACAGTTTTCGGTGCAAGTGGGAGCTTCACATTTCCCTGAATCAGCTTGTCCAACCTCGTTAGCAAATTGGGAGGAATGTCAAAAACGGATTGAAGATGTCGAAGAGAGAGTATCTAGGAAACCTAAAGGAAAACGACCACATTATCATTCCGAGTTACCGCTACTGCCTTTTATTCAGAAGCCATATCAAGTTGAGAAGAAGGAAGATGTCCAGAGCGAAGTGAAAGATGGCCAGTTACCAACACAACCGTCAGAACAAGCTATGGATGTCCATGAGGACCAAGTCAATACCAAACAGTGGTTTATGACAGATGAGCTCGTCCGTATGGTACAGAATGAGATACAGGAAAATCAAAAAGATGTGCAGGATGCACTGAAGAGTGTTTTGACTTCTTTGAAATGCAAAGACGATGTTACTCTTGAAGATGCCTTAGTACAAGCCACTTTGGTGCCAATCAAGAGAGGATATGTCAGTGCTTGTGGATATGTCTATGATAAAGATAACGATGAAACATGTGGAAGGATTGCCACATCAACCTTCGCGATGAATGAGGGTAAAGCGGTGGCAATTGCTAACATGCAAGCGGTTGTTTATTTCAAACTTTACAGCCAGAAAAAGCATCTTGAACGTATTGTGGTAGTTCAGGATAATGATGACGAAACAAAGCGAGAGTATCGTCTACACTGTAGAAAGTAATAGATAATTTATTTATAATAGTAAATTCCATTTTTATCGATTGAATTGCGTGATGACTATGTCGATCGGATGATGCGATATCTTTTCTGCTAAAACGACCAAGATGTTTTCCAGAAGAGTCCTAGGATTGACACCAAGATTAACGAGAGGATTGGCCACGCCAGCGAACAACCACCACAAGATTCTGATTGTTGGTGTGCGTAATTCAACTTCCGAAATCAGAAGTTTATCTGACAGATCCTAGGGTGGTACAGCAGGTGTTACTGCAGCTGCACAGATACAAAACAAGTTCAGAGACGAGAACAAGAGCCTTGGCGCTGGCGATATTGCCATTGTAGACGCTAGCAAGGAGCACCACTGTAAGTGGATAACTAATAGTAGCGGCTTTCTAACACCTACCTAGATCAACCAGGATGGACACTTATTGGTTCAGGTTTGGGCAAGAAGGAAGATTTCGTCAGACCAGAAAGCAGCATCATTCCAAAGGATGTCGCACACATTCCAGCATTCGTACAATCTTTCTCACCAGCAAGCAACACAGTTACTACCGCAACCGGTGAAACCCTCACCTACGACTTCTTGATCGTTGTAGCTGGTTTGAAGATAAACTTTGCAGGCATTAAGGGATTAGAAGGTGCATTAGAGGATCAAGGCTCAGGTGTCAGCTCTATTTACAACCCAGATTACGCTCAGAAAGCTTGGAGGGACATCGAGGCTTTCAAATCAGGAAAGGCGATCTTCACACAACCAGCTGGTGTTATCAAATGTGCAGGTGCACCACAAAAAGTAATGTGGATGGCAAACTCACAATGGAACAGAAGCGGTACCCGTAACGATATTGATCTCACATTCGCTACCGGTACACCAGCTATGTTTGCAGTACCAAAATATTCACAAGCGCTTGAGAAATTACGCCTTGAACGTAACGTCAATGGATTATTTAACTCAAACTTGACAGAAATTGATACCGCTAACAAGATCGCAAAGTTCGCACAACCAGAAGGTAAGACAGTCGAGAAGGAATACAATCTCCTCCACGTCGTCCCACCTCAAGGACCATTAGACTTCTACAAGAACTCACCATTGGCTGACGAGTCTGGCTTTGTTTCAGTCGACAAGTCTACAACTCAACACACAAAGTACAACAACGTTTTCTCAATTGGTGACTGCTCTTCACTTCCAAACTCAAAGACTGCTGCTGCTATTACAGCTCAATCTCCAGTTTTAGTACACAACCTCAGAAATGAAATGGAAGGTAAGTCACTCAACGCCGCTTACGATGGTTACGCGTCATGTCCTCTCCTTACTGGCCATGGTGAACTTCTTCTTGCTGAATTCAAATACGGTGGTATACCAAAGGAAACATTCGCCCCTATTCTTGGTTCACAAGATAAGCCAAACAGATTCTACTACCACCTTAAGAAGGATATATTCCCACCTGTCTACTGGAACTACTTTGTTAAAGGTAACTGGTTCGGTACACGTGGACCAATTGCACCAAACTTTGATTAAGAAATAGGATACTCAGCTTTTTAATCAAAATTAATCACATACCAAGTGCATTCGTTAGGTGTTTTTTCAAAAAAAAAAGTCTTGTAAATTTTCGATCAAAAATTGTTACATTCTAAATACTTTATGCGGATTTCTTATCATTATTTCGTTATTTAGGTTTGCTTAATACCTGGTAAACCGAGTGTTGGGAAACCGACATCGATTTGAAGTTGTTGTGGTGTCCATCCGAAGATCTTGTTGTTGCTAACGATACCGTAGTTAACTCTTGATTGAGTAGCTGGGTTCTCGTTGATCTTGTTAATACGGTTAACATGCTCAGGTGAGAGAGTAAAGAGCTTCAAGTTTTCGCTGATATGTTCACTGCTTGTTGCTTTTGGAATGACTGAGGTGCCTCTTTGAACACCCCAGCTAAGGAGAACTTGGGCTGGAGTTGCACCAAGTTCTTTAGCGATTGCGTTTACAGTTTCATCTTTAATGAGTGGAGTGTGTCCTGCAACTGGGCAGTAGGCAGTGACGTGGATACCCTTCTTGTGACAGTAATCGATAAGTTCAAAGTCAGGGTTCCATGGGTGGGTTTCGATTTGGTTTACAGCTGGGACAACCTTGCTGTTAGCGAGTAAATCTTCCAAGAATGGAATAGCGAAGTTTGAGACACCGACTGTCTTTACTTTACCAGTGTCGAGGAAACCTTCGAATTGCTTCCATACCTTGAGGTAGTTGCGCTCTGATGGATCATCTGGGTTCTCTCCTGTACCCTTGTAAGTGGTTTGAGGCCAGTGAACCAAAAGTAAGTCAAAGTAATCAAGGCCAGCGCTTTTGAGTGATCCGTTTAAAGATTCGGTAGCCTTTTCGTTCAATTCTGTGATCCAGACTTTGGTAGTGATGAAGAATTCCTCACGTGGGATACCTGACTCGCGGACTGCTTGTCCAACTTCCGCTTCGTTGCAGTAGAGTGTAGCACTAAATGGGTAAGAAAGGAAAGGAAAGAATAAAGAAGAAACTCACGTATCAATGTGTCTGTAGCCTTGCTTGATAGCTTCCTTAATAGATGGGAGGAGTGCAGGACCTGATGACGACTTAGGAAAATAGAGTTGTTTGAAAGTATAACAAACCTTGGGATTGGTCTCCTACCCATGTACCGTATCCTACTAATGGGATAGTTCTACCGTTGTTGAGTTTTGCAGTTGGGATTGCCATTTTTCTTCGTTGGTTGTACAAAAGAAAGCCACGCAATCTTTGAACGTCACGCCCCACAATCTTTGTAATAAAGATATAGCGAGAAAGACGGGCATATACCGAATCTGCAGTCTGCTTAAATTTTATTCCTATCCGTTTAATAATGTATACTAGCTATTGTCTTGAGTGTTATTTGCAAGTTATGACTGCATTGCTGCTATCTGCACAAATAATACACAAGCTGAACATCTCATAAGAAGATCAAAACTCGCAACTTCTTTTGTTTAGTTTACACTCTTCTTCGTTCACTACCATTAGAGCTACCAATGGAGAGTTGGCCTGTCGAGCCTGATGCAGCACAGAATATATTCCTAAACACAGCTGGATTGAGTCAGTTTACTTTTTCGCTTATCGGACTATTGGCTGATAATCAGTTCAGCACTCGGAGGTGGACTTTTGGCCGGTGCTACAGGTTCACGGAAGAATATAGATGGACTGGCACTGTGAGGAGTTCTGCATCTTTTATTATCCACCATTAAATCCATTATAGAGGATTGAGCACCGCCAGAAACGTCGCACTCACTTCTTTTGTCTTCTTCAGTGAGTTTATTGGTTATGTACGATTATTCTGATTATGAAAGGTTTGAGAGAATGGCTGGTTACACCATCATTGCGCAAATACGCTTCAGTTAATCAAGATAAACCGACGAGGAGCTTCAAATTAACAGACTCAGCATTAGCAGGCGCCATAGGAGGTGGTTCTTGGAATTATCATTTGCGTGAGTCTCATTAATTGCCAATTCTATCAATCTTATACATTCAAGGTGGTAAAGCGGGTGTAGTACCAGGAATCTTGACAGCAGTTGTTGTCTGTACAGCCGGACAAGTAGCTGCCAACGAGGTACGCGTGCAACGGATAAACTACATCCTCAGACGGAAAGAGAGAGAAGAGCAAGACAAGACGAAGGAGGTACGAGTCGTCGAAAGACCATTACAGCCGGCGCCACAAGAGCCTCCAAAGCATAGTTGGTTGGATAGGTTCAAATTCTATAGAGTGCCTGATGAGGAGTATCTCAACAAGCTTAAGGATAAGTCAGACCAAACCAAATCGTCTATAATGGCAATCGAGCAACGGATGAACGAGCTGAAGTTGTTGCTAGATGAGGAGCATGAAGTTTAATCCATTTTAAGTTATAAAGGAAACATAATTTATATTTTGCTAAGGTTACTTTGGTGGTTGCAATCCAAGTCTCACTCTTACAGCGTTAGCGTGAGCGCGCAATCCCTCGCATTCGGCTAATGTAACAACTACTGGTCCTAACTTATCCAAACCTTCCTTAGTGAGTTCTTGAGAAGTAATGTGCTTTTGGAATGAGAGTGTGTTTACACCTAGATGTATCTTAGAGGAATGGTACATCATAAAAACACTACTTACCACTGTACTGTCTAGCGAATCCGTTAGTAGGAAGTGTGTGATTAGTACCGGAAGCATAGTCACCACAGCTATAAGGCGTCTTAGAATTTGCATAATACGAGATAATAAACCTACCTTTCTGGAGAGAATTCACCAACAAATACACTACCCGCATTTTCAACTAATTCTACCTTCTCTGAAGCCTTTTCGAGGTGAAGAATAAGGTGCTCTGGAGCGTAGTCGTTTGAGAAATCGAATGCAGTCTTGACATCACCGGTGGAGACAATCAAACTCTTAGAAACGGATACTCTGGCAATGTCAACACGTGGTAACTTTCTTGCTTGTTCATCTACCTCCTTCTCGATATCTGCGATTTCCTTCTCATTGAGACCTACTGTAACTAAAACGACTTGACTATCAACACCGTGCTCGGCTTGTGACAACAAGTCACTAGCGACATAAGCGGCATTAGCTGATTTATCAGCAATGACCAGCACTTCTGAAGGACCAGCTGGCATATCAATTGCAACTTGGGCATCAGCATCGTTTGAAACGAACATCTTAGCAGCTGTGACCCATTGGTTACCAGGACCGAAAATTTTGTCGACCTTTGGAACTGTTTCTGTACCATATGCGAGCGCTGCAACGGCTTGTGCACCACCTGCCTTCAAAATTGCAGAAGCACCGACCTTCTTCGCGACATATAGAACTTCTGGTGCTATACTTCCATCTGGCTTAGGTGGAGTTGCTAATACGATTTCTTTACAACCTGCAACTTGCGCTGGTACACCCAACATGAGTGCTGAGGATGGTAAAATTGCTGTACCTCCTGGAACATATAAACCAACTCTGCTAATTGGTCTGGCGAATCTCTGACAAACGATTCCTGGCATAGTCTCGACAACTAGTGGTGCCTTCTCCATTTGTCCAATGTGGAATTTGCGTACATTATCATAAGCGATGTCAATAGCTTCTTTAACATCTTGTTGAATTGTTGGTTCATCGAATGGTGCACGTGCAATTGGAATCTTTAGTTCTGCTTTGTCTAATTTAGAGATGAAGTCTAATAAACCTTTATCACCCTTCCCTCTGACACCTTCAACGATAGGTCTGACACGCTCGATCATTGCACCAGAGTTGAGAACAGGTCTGCGCAACAATTGTAAGCGCTCTTCAGGGCTGACAGTATCGAGTTTTGTGCTACGCATTTTAATCATTTCACTACCAGACTGTACAGGTTGTGGTTGTTGAGTGGTGGATGGTGCAGGTGCAGGTGAATTCTTAGCTTGAGCTTCTTGTAAGTATTTTGGCTTGGCATTACCTGGGCGTCTTGACACCTTTGCAGCTTTCTTATCTAATGCATGGCCAATATCTGCTAATTTGACACCCTTGCTTACACATCTTGTTAATGCAAAGTAGATCAAATCAGCTGCTTCAAATGCAACATCTTCTTTGGATTGTGCGGCGCATAACTCATCAGCTTCCTCCATAATTTTTGATCTGAGGAGTGTTTCATCGTTGAATAATCTCTTTGTGTAGCTACCTTCAGGTGCTGATTGGTGACGTGAAACGAGTGTTTCTTCTAATGCAGCTAAGCCGCTCAATTGACCAAAACAGGTTGGTGTGTCCAAGTGACAGAATCCAGTACCATGTTGGACAACTTCGAAATTGAGACAGTCGGAGTCGCAATCTAACTCGATTTTGACAACATCCTGTACTGCACCGCTTGTTTCACCCTTACGCCATAAGCCGTGTTTACGTGATTGGTATACACCTCTACCTGTTCTGACGGACTCCTCAATTGACTGCTTTGATGAGTAACACAATCCTAATGACTTTCCACCGTGGAGGTAAGATGAAACAATAGTTGCGAATAATCCATCTGGTCTGTCGGTTGTGATTGGTGCCAAGAATGCATCTGTAATGTTCAACTTTGATGAAGAGGTTGATTCATTTGTAAGTTGTGAGAGTGGAATGACTATTGCTGATCTGCTGCTGTGTAACTCAGCGACTGTCTTTTCAGATGGGAGAGCCTTAGATTCGTCCAAGTAGAATGTGACTTTTGGCTTTGGTAACTGAGTGGTAGAGGCAGTGTTGGAAATATTTATGAGTGCACCCTTAACATTTTTAAGAATATCCTCAGGAATATCTGTGTTGTTTGCAACGGCATAGAGCTTCTCTGATGGTACACCTGCAGAGATGCAGCTGTCGGCCAAATTGAGAGATGCGAAGATCGCTGATGCACCGTTGTCAAGGTAGCTGATAGCTTTATCTAAACCTTCATCATCTCTAACTAAAACATAGTACTTTGAGGATTTTGGTATGGATGTAATTCTGTCAGACTGTTCTGATGGGATGAGTACTGGAGTGATTCTAGTGGCACTTGATAGTAAATCATCGCCTGATGCTTTATCCAGTAATGGAATGAATGTTGGCGTCGCCATAACTTCTTCGTAGTTTACGATAAAGAGTGTTGAGTCACAAAATAGCTAAAAAGCATAATGACATATAGTAAAGCGTCAAAGCAGCTTCTAAATAAAGATTTCGTTGGGTGTTTAGATACAATAAGCAAATCTCTTAAATCAGCGAATAACAACAACGTTGTAAATAAGCTGCTGTCATTAGAACTTACCTGCTGGTTAACACTATATCTGAATGGAGATAATAAATCTCGTTACAAGCAATTGAATTACACGAAACCTCAATTCGTCGATTATCTCATAAATCTCTCGAGATCTCGCATAACGGCTACATTACCCGGTAGATCTCAATCCGCTCTTTTACTCGCTATAGTTAGATTAGAGCAACTTGATAAAGCAAAGAATGAAGCTGAGAAATGGTTGTTTAATGCTAGTAACGCAGATCAGGATTACAATAAAGTGAGGGATGTCTACGCATTTAATATACTACCTGAATTTGGTGAATGGGACGTCAGCAGGGAAGTTCTCTCCTCTTCAGCGATTGATGACAATGATAAGAATGTGAGTGTTTGTTCACCTCTATATGACGTCTAGTTGAGATCATCCATAGAACTTGCTTCAGAGACTCGCAGATCTGGAAGAGACGGCAAGTGGGGAGGTGCTAGCAAACACTCCAGAAACTGTAACTACTGAACAGTCCACACCATCTTTGTCGAGAACATCATCCACCGAATCATCCTTTACGGCGACACCAGCGAGAGTGAAGACAAAGGAAGATAACTTTGAAACAACACCATCCGCTGCATCCACACCGCTTACATCTAATGGTATCACTCCTGAGCAGCACTCAGACATACGCTCACATATTTCAAACCACGCAAAGCAACCCTCACTTGAACCAGTTGCCAGAAACAGCAATAGACCACCAACAAAAACGGCTAAGGCTCTCAACCTTCTTGCGAAAATGAGGGAAATATTACCTAGAGTTTTACCGCCGTTTCTTATTTTCCTTCTAGCTGTTTTGTTTGCCAGCAGACGGCAAAATAACGCAAATACAGCTCGATCAATCAGAGAAAGACTGGCCAAAAGAGACGGCTTATGGAATAAGCTATTGCAGACAATCCAGATGGGTACGCGCGGAATGCTGCCTTGAAAAATCAGTTTCTTTTTCAAAAGTGTATAATTTATGTATTATGAGTAATGATTTTAGTCTACTAATTGTATAATTAAGTGTGACGATTTTCCTGTTCTGATAAAGATCAGTTCATTGTCTATGATGTCCTCCTCTACGATAGTTCTATTAATGGTAGTTGTTTTCTCTCCATTTAGGTATACACCTCCAGAACCAATCAACGTTTTAGCTTGAGCTGATTGAGGTGAGTTTTCGAAGGCTAGAAAAATAGGTTTACTCACATCCTGATTTAACTTGCGGACTAAAGGTGACGACTTTAGTAAGACGTTCATCAATAACTTCCTTACGTGACTTTCTTACTAATCTAGGGTCACTTTCAAATGCAGCAACGACCTTCTCAGCCTTGAGTGTTCTTAAAGATGTTCCAAAGAGAACATTCGTCGCCACATGTGCAATTTCTAGTCCAGTTTCTGTGGAGGTTTAGATATGGTTATATATTATTGACATCACTAACCACCGTGTATCATTGTAGTAACCTCATCAGCGAGCCGCCGCTGAGCTAATCTTTGATCAGGCTTAGCCTGATGAGGATCTTAGCATGGTATGATATACATTACGACGACTTACTCTCTGTTGCTCCATAATTTGACTTATAGTCTCCAAAGGCACAAGCGTGAGCAGTTTGAGATACTTTTCGACATCCATGTCTGTGACTTTCAGCCAAAACTGGTAGAAATCAAAGACAGAAGTTAATGAAGAGTTTAACCAGACGGCATTCCCGGCACTCTTGCCAAATTTATCACCACTGCTGGTGGTAAGTAGTGGAAGTGTCAAACCGAATGCTTTATCTTGGGTAGATTCAGAGGAGAACACGCGTCTAATCAATTCAACACCAGCTGTTATGTTACCCCACTGATCGCTACCGCCAATCTGAACAGTACAATCATGTTCAGAAAACAAATGCTGAAAATCAGCCGCTTGTAGGAGCTGATAGGTGAATTCTGTAAATGATATGCCCTTGGCTAAGCGATTCTTTACGCTGTCCCTAGCCAACATTGGTCCTATATTGCTTATCTTTCCTGTTGTAGATAAAAATTCCAACAGTGATAGCTTTCCCAGCCAGCTTTTATTGTTTAGTACTTTCACCTCACCCTTAGTAGTGTCGTATGGTGCGTATTTGTCTGCGTATTTTCTACTGTTCTCGTAAAAGCTTTCAATTTGTTTCGTTAAATTGAATATATTGTTATCGAGTGTCTTTGTTTCAATGAGTGTACGCTCTGTCGATCTCCCTGAGGGGTCTCCTATTGAACCAGTAGCTCCTCCAATCTATTAGCTATCAGAATAGGGAAAGAAGCACTATGCCTTTTACCCACGAGTGGAATTATTCTGTGTCCAGCCAAATGAAGATGTAAACAGGCGAGCAAAGGTAAAAGGTGTCCAGCGTGTAAGGATACAGCTGTAGGATCCATACCACTGTATATAGTTCTACTCTGTGACTCTAGATGCTTTCCGAGAAGTTCACTATAACGTTTGAGAATGCAGTACTTTCAACTATAATAAACAAACCTTGTGGTATCTTTTACAAATCCTCTATCCACTAACTCCTTATAGACGCTCCTATTCTTTAACAGCCGTCTAGTCGGCCTGAATGCCCACATCGTTGTTATCTGTTAACAAACTATCATCATCTAATGTCAAAAAGAAGTGTCGAAGTCATAAATATTTCAGATAGCAGTGATGATGAGAGCCATGTTAGCGCACAGGAAAAAGCTCATCACACGTTTATACCATCAGCAGCAGAGTTGCCCCCTGAAGAAAATATAAAAGATACACAACAACCAAAACCATCGACTGATAGGAATTCACCATTTAATTTCCTGAAAGAGAGAAAGAAACTTGAAGCTGAACGACTCGAACGGGTAGATCGTCATAAGCGTGTAAAGCTTGAAAGTGGCGCTCAGAATAAACCTAGTAGGATGATTACAAATGAAACGCCAGGAAAGTACACAGACGGCGTTGTGAAACAAACTATCAACGTCCTTAGTGAAAAGAATGAAGGTGTATGCAGTATTGAGGAGTGTTTTGGACCTGTATGCGTTATCTTGTTACTCTTTGACCTTCTAATACCCTTAACATAGAAAGATAAACTCAAATTGGTTATTATATCAAGCTTCGTCAGGATGGATGAATTCATGGTACCGTTAATGGGAAACGCTAAAGTTGTTTGCGCACAACCAGTAAGTGTCTTTTGCTTTTAAGAGTACGACTCATGCCCTTTATTAGCAGAAACTAGGTGAACAAGTCGATAGCAGGTAGAGTATTCACTATAATCTCGTCTTAGATTAAAGATAAGATCAGAAATTGGTTCATGCACGATGTATTTGCACACGGAACGTATCACGCAAAGGTTAGTTCTATACTTTAACCGTAAAGTTGTTTACTAATGTACTTAGTTTGCTCTTGTTGGGTTTCACTTTTCCACTTAAACATCTAATGACTCGAAGATCTTCACAACAGATGGATGGCTGAGAGTCGTCGTTACGACTGCCAACTTTATCCCAATTGATTGGATGTGGAATGAAAACGTAGGTTGCTCTCAAATATGATTGAACCAAGTTGACTTTTATAGACTGTCTTTATGCAAGATTTCCCCCTAAAAGGACAAACATTAGGTGGAGAATCTAGCGAACAAAAATCAGCTTTCCAGTCAGATTGGACTTGGTTTCTCTACAAGCTGAAGTTGAACAAGTGAGCAAGGAAGATAATTGTGGAACCTATTGTTAACCCACTTGTTAGATCTCTAAAGCTAGTAGCAGATCAAATGCCCGATACCCCATTGCCAAATGTAGACGCAGTAAACAAATGGGACTTTTCTAGATCAAAAGCACGTCTAATCAGCAGCATAAGCGAGACATACAGTGGTCTCGAGAATATAAGGAAGGTAGGACACTTCCGTTTAGCGGATTTGGTTAGACAGGCAGGATGTGGTATTGATAATAACGGCGATCTTATGACCAAACGTGGTGATTCAACAAAGCATGAATGGTACGTCGATATTGAGTGTCAAGGAAGCTCTCTTGGAGCATACAAGCCAGCCTGGGGTAATGAGGTGAGATAATATTATTTTCTAGTACCTACTATTGAACTGACAATCTCAAAGTTTTATAATTCTGCTTGTGGACGTTTCAACCTTCTTCCTGGATTAGAAGACGATGCAAAAGCTTTAAAGGGAAAGAGAAAAAGCAGCAATAATGAATGGCCACCTATTAAGATTCTATATCCAACGAAAAACATGGCATTGAACAATCGTGGATCAATATCTCTGGGTGGTAATTTCTTCATGGAGTAGGTTTAATATATTTACATGGATAATCTGATGAATTATACTCAGTAATCAGAAATGGTCAAACAAAGACTTTCCTCGTGACGCAATGTACAGGAACCCAAGCAAGCGAGGCGCCATATTCACGCATGCCAAGTCTATCTGCGGTATACTGAAGCATAAGCACATGATCTCTAAGAGCAAGATTGCTGGGAAGAGTAAGAAAACTGAAAATGGTGAGAAGGTTACATTCACATCAGACGAAGAGAGTGACTTGAGCGCAACGGAATCTGAGCCAGAAGATAAAGGTACTGAAAATAATGTAGCTGGTGGCTGGGTATACATCGGTTCACATAACTTTACGCCATCTGCGTGGGGGAGATTGACGAAAGCAGGCAAATTAAACATATCTAATTGTGAACTTGGTGTTTTTCTTCCTCTTTATGGTGATGACAAGGTATCAAATGCCCTGGCTGATGAATACGTCACCTACTCCCGCCCTGTTGTCAAATACGATGACGAAGATATACCATGGGTAAGTTTCGAGATTGACGAGTATGACACTTGCTAAGCACGCCATACAGCTACGTGAGGACTATGAATTAGAACTGAGGAAGGGTGTCTAATTGAAGTACAACATTGACTCGGATAAACAAAGAACTCATCAGGACATCGAAACTTAAGGCTAACTTATATTAGCATTGTCTGCCTATTTATATGTATGTATAACATCCGTGTATGCTTTTAATGTATTTTGTCTCCTTATCAACCGACAATCATGTCTTCCGTTGAGGATCTTCCATCGTCTAAGCTAGGAACTAAAGAGCAGTATGTGTGGTACCCGCTAATTGATAAAGCTAACTAATTCAAGTTGGGATGAAGTTTACGAGTAAGTTGCTAGAACTGCAATATCCAAAAACTCACAGCGACCCGGCAGACGAGAAGTAGAGAATTTTGAAGAAATCGGGGAAGAAGGAGAAGTATGGTGAGTACGCACTCTAACACCGTAACTCTCACTTATATGTCTCTAGGTTCGGTGAAGATAGCGTCGAGAAGATGATAGATTGGGCACTTGATAACGTACCATCTGAGGAGAGCGGGCCTACTGTTTTAGAGTGAGCTTACATTAGCTTATGTTTCGTGTACATTCTCATAATAAGCAGTATGGGCACTGGAAATGGACATCTACTTTTCGAGTTGGTCAGCAATGGCTATCAAGGCAAGTATCTCAAGGGCGTAGACTACAGCCCGGCCTCAGTAAAGCTGTCAAATCAGATTGCTAAAAGTAAAGGTGATAATTTTGAAGAAGTTGCATTTGATGTGGTAGACGTCCTAGACAAACAGCAGATAAGCAATTTGGGGCAGTGGGATGTAGTAATGGATAAAGGAACATTTGGTAGGTACCGTACATGCTATATTACCCTTATAACGTTTCTTAGACGCTATATGTCTCTCCGTCGGCTCGAATAGGTTGTTGTACGCCCAGCAAGCCGCTGAATTGGTAAAAAAGGGTGGGAAGCTCCTCATAACGTCGTGCAATTTCACCGAAGAAGAAGTAAAGTCGACATTTGAAGCTGATATGAGTGAGTTAGTCCATTCGGTATTACTCTTACTAAACTAGGCGTAACTAGAATTCAAGTACGACAGTCGCGTAAACCATCCTACTTTCTCTTTTGGTGGAAGTAAAGGCAGCACAATTTGTACAGTAGCATTTGAAAGAATATAAAAAACCGATCTCTTCCGTTGACCACCACGATGAGATTTGGGTTGCGAGCACCTAAGTCTATAATAAATTTATTTAGAGATATTAGATCAGCATTTTCTTCTTTAGATTATAATATATCACCAAAAAGTACAATAGACAAGCTCAAGCAGCACAAATGGCGTAAATTTGACATACAGTGGGCAATTTACTTCCTTATTGCTTTACCTAGCTTTATAATGATGTCAATCCCAATTCCAGTTATAAAATGGCTCATCCCGTTGACTTACTTCGGTTTAATCGCAACCCCTGTAACTTCTCAATTCTTCTTCCCTGCTACGCCGATTTTGGTATGGCTATTGACATTCTTCTGCGCCAGGTTTATTCCTACACCTGTTAGGCCGACTATCAACGTTACAATATTACCAACTTTAGAATCCGTCTGGTATGGTGCTAACATCAGTAACCTTGTCACAACGCACAGACACTGGATATTGGACGTTATTGCATGGTTCCCTTACGGTTTGGTACACTATGTTGTCCCATTCGTCATTGCCGCTATCGCATGGGTTTACGCTCCTGCTAAGGGTGCGGCCAACAGAAATGGACACAAACCATATTCTGCATTGCAATTCTGGGGATTAGTTTTCGGAATTATGAATATCATCGGTGTTATCGTGCAAGTTAGCTTCCCCTGTGCACCTCCATGTAGGTAGAATGACTAACCTGAATAGGCGGCATTTGCTAACGATATTAAAGGGTATGAACTATTATATGGGTTGTTACCTGCAGATTATTCAATTCCAGGTAGTCCAGCAGGATTGGCCAGAATTGATGAGTTGATGCACTCACATTCTTATTCGTCTGCGTTTGGTGCATCCCCATTGGTTTTCGGTGCTTTCCCTTCACTTCATGCAGGATCGGCAACGGTAGAAGCATTATTTATGTCGCACTTCTTCCCTAAATTCAAAGCGTTTTATTGGGCATACGTTGGTTGGTTATATTGGGCAACTATGTACCTCAGTCATCATTACTTAGTTGATGCAGTTGCTGGTGCATGTTTAGCAACCGCATGTTTTTATATATTACTTCCTGAACATTTAAGAGATCCACAGGGATTACCTTCAAATGCAGATATTGGTAAAGAAAAGATATTACCAATGTCAAGTGTCAGAAGTTCAAATATTGGACATAGACGTATTTGGTCTGCAGCTGCAGATTCAGAATTTGCATTAGACGATTTACCTTCACAACTTGATAGCCCACTCGATGGACAAAATCAATCACATCTTAATCTTCTTCCAGATTCAGAATCTAGATCAAGTTCTATCTCTCATGCAAATTCAGCCGTCCATTCACGGTCACAAACCCCTAACAAGCAACCTAATCAAGCACCTCGGATATCATCTTCCGAAAATCATCAAGAACATCCAGAAGAAGAAATTTTGTTTGATAACGAACAAAATTCTCCTTCAACTTCAAGTCATACATCTAGGATCGAAAAGCATGTACTTTAATTATAATACCCATATTAATATCTAGTACATAAACTAAGTTTTTTATCGGCGTACAACAGGTGAACCGATATCATCTGAGAGCATATCCCGTTTGTTTAATGGCATAGACATTCTTCTCTTTTTGTTGGCTTTTTTATTCGATGACGCAGCTGAATCTAGAGATATTCTTTTTGGTTTGTGCGATGGCACACTAGCAGGTGCTTGTATTTTGGGTTGCATTTTATTTCTAATTGGTGTTTTTTGTGGTGATTCAATGCCTTCGTCAATGGCTTTACGCTTGCCGAGTACTTTTTCGTTCGGAGAAGATGAAGTTGCACTTTGTACTGCATCTTTTAATGAGCTGCTTCTCTCTTTTTCGTAGAACAAGACGTAAGCATTCTTAGAGCCAAATGGTGGCTTAGATGGAGATACCAAGTCATCATTCATCTCATACCATCTTCCGTTTGGTGCCTTAACGTGAGCTATATAATGACCGGATCTTGCACTACCACCATAGTGTGAAACAACACCATAGAGTCTATACTTTGGCGATTGTTGACCTTTGCTCATGTATTTCTGAATATCAAGATTTTCATCAAAGGAGAGACTACCGTTGAGCTTTTGACCAAGTGGCGAAAATCTCTTTAAATGAACGGTCAAACATTGCGGCGCTTCATGTACTGTGAATTGCTTCGTAGCTGCGACTGGTTTCTTGCAATTTTCACATTTATACTTGTTTGCACCTTCAAGTCTATCCAATGCAGTAAATGATTTGAAAGATTCTTGAATGTTGCTACATCCCTTAACATTAACACTTAAATCGAGGAACGTGTCAAATGTATCTGACGCGTGTTTGGAGTTTTGACATAAAACTCTTGATCTGAGTTTACCGCCAAATATCTTGTGAATTGGATTACTCTCGCTGTGTTTCTCTTTGACAGTCTTAGGGTAATTTGATAAATATGATGCTTGAAGGGCGTCAACGGCGTAACGTAAAAACTCCTGTGCGTCTTCCTGTCTGCCAACTGTCATATGTCTAGCGATGGCTTTCAAATTTCTGACGACAGGCGCCGGTGCAAAACTACCGCCTGATCCTGAAAATGTAGTCTTTGCGCAGGTTCTAAGTGCTTCAATCATGCAGAATTTGTTATCTGATCTACCCTTTGCATGCTGCGATTGAAGGAAGTTCATAAGGGAAGGTGTATGCAGCAAACATTGCAGTGTACTATTGAGAAAGCAGGTATTACCCAAATTTCTCAAACCTTTTCCGACGTTGTTCACGCCTTTCGGAAATGCGGGTGCAATTGGCCATGGGTAGATATCCTTAGCTGTCGGTTTAGCCGGTAAGGCATTAGCAGTGGTAGTGGTGCCATTGACAGCTGAGGAATTCGCGTTTTGTGTTGGTGATTTTCCTTCTTTTTTCGCTGTCTAATAGAGAAGAAGTGTGAGATGTATAGCGATATATAGCTATATACGCACCTTGGCATCCTCATTTATAGCTTTGTAGCCATTAGGTATACCAAGTCCTTTACTCGCTGGATGGCTCGCTTCTTGAAAGATGATTGGTGCGCTGAGCAAACTTTCCAAAGCTTTTTCTTTGCCTTTAAAATCAGCTGAGTTCGTGTTATTGAACGCTGATTGTGTAGCGTCTATAACCTCCATATATTAGAGCAATATCCTCGTCGTTCTTGGTAAAGCTGCTGATCTTCTGATATCAGTTTTTTGCAACAAAGATATGTAACGGTAATAGTACAATAATTCTATAATGGTATACCCGCTTCACGATGTATAAATCTCCTAACTCTCTCCGCGTTGAATTCAGGAAATCTCACCGGAGTGAATTCATCTATACTGTTTGAGTTAATGGTATCAATTAGGGTTCTATGTAATGTTATTCTACTGTATAAGCCTGTATATCAACTATATCTCACTCTACGTTGCTATCTATGCAATACCCAAGCTCAGCTAGTTTTCTAATCAACTCACGCTGATGATCTTCAGCTAAACTGTCATTATTGATAGCTATAAGTTTCTTCTGACTTCTCAAAGTTTCAATTATCGTCCCAGTACCTATGTCCTACCTCAGATAGCACTGATGTGGTAAGCTTAAGAACGTACCACCATGAGATATAACGAGATCTGATTGGTTGATATATTCAGATAGATTATCCACGTAGTTGAACGCTTCTTTTACATTCCCCGGTAACTCTTTTGGCAGCGGTGACTTCCCATGTTGGACGACTAGCCTATCATAGCCTTGTTTAGATAGAGCTTTAGAGATGCCAGCTAATTGAGCTATCAGATTATCAAATTTAGTTGATCCAACGGTGATTAAGACTGATTTTGTCATCCGATCTTGGTTGATTTCTAACAACGATGTTGGTGGGAGACTACGGCAGCAGTGACGAAGAAGATGAACGCGTAGAGCAAACAAATAGTGGTACTAAAGCAACCTTGTTCTCTGCGCTACCAGAACCGAGGACTAAAGAGAAGAAGAAAGCGCCAGTACAGATAAGATCAGACAGTGTCAAATCTAGTAAGCAGGAAGAGGATGATGATGTCGCTGCATTAGTTGGTGAATCTAGTAAGAAGTCAGTATCAGAGACGCCGAAAACAGGTGGAAATGGTCTAAGTGGCTTACTTGGTATACTGCCACAGCCAAAGCAACAACAACAACAACAACAACAGCATCAGAGTAAACATCTTGATAAGAATACAGATGTAGAAGAGTCTACTTCAAGCTCCAGTCGGAGTAACAAGCGATCTGCACCAATTGATATCTTCTCTTTGGGAGGTGAGTGATGCTATATTGTTGCAGCACAGCTAATATGATACGCGTTCACAGCTAGCTCATCTAAGAAACTACACAAAGAGGAAAAGCAGCCTCAGAGCACATTCAGCACGAGTGTTGCGCCTGAATTACCTGAATACACGCCACCAGATCCCTCACCGTATGATCCATACCCTGGATATTATCAAATGCCAACCGGTGAATGGCAAGCCTATGATTCAGCATTCTACAAGTCTAAAGTACGCCAATGGCAGATAGAATCAGGTGTCGACGTAGAAGCAGCCGAAGAGGAAGAGCGGAAGCGTAAATTAGGATTATCGGGCAAGGATGTTGTCGACGTCAGTGCCAAAGATATACAAAAACAAGTCAGACCAACACAAATTGGTCCAGAGAAGCCAGAACAGCCGATTGAAGTCAAAGGACCACAAGGTAGAGGCGCCAGAGCGCGCGGACAACTCAGTTCACTCATATCAGAGGCTGTCAATAACCGAACAGAACTTGAGGAGAAGATTGCGCAAGGTAAGGCCAATCGTGGTACGTCTAGCAAAGTGTACGGCTTTTAGTCGATTACTTAATATGGAAATTGATGCTTTTATACAAACTACAAACTGATAGTGTACACTGTCCGTCTTTGATATATATTTAAATTAAGCTTCTTCATCGCTGACTGTTGGCCCCTCTTCGACTCTCTTCTTCTTTGACTTAGGGAAGTTTATTTCGTCGTTAGCGTCCTGCAGGGTGTGAGTGAGAGTGTGAATTTATAATAAGATTACTTACAATCCAGTCATGATAAAGATCAACGGGTGCAGTGAGTGCTAGTAGACGTTGAGTGATTGTCTACTGGGAGTAGTTGAACTCACAGTTTATTGTGGATTCAAACTTCATATTGCATACTTTGCAATTCAAATATCCCATACTACTCTTCTGATCCAGTCTGACTTGTACAGCGTCGTTGTGACTACAAAAAAGACACTATAACAACTAAGTAAAGCATTCAATGGCTGTGAAGACTTACTTCAAAAGTCTTAGGAAGCGTTGTTTGCTGCTTCTTTGGTCCCGTTGGTTTTCTGGCTGCCTTCTTCCTTTTCGCCATCTTGAACGCTCGTAATGAACATCAAACTGGCTGGTGGAATAAATAAACCAAAAGAAAAACCGAAAAAGTCAATTCTAGAGGATAGTGATGATAGTGATACAGAGTCTTCATTCAAGCCACCAGTGAGATCTAGCAATGACAAGGGTGGTAATATGGTAGCTCAGGCTGCCCAAGCAACAAGCTCGCGATTGGCTAAACAATTGGATGAAGCTAAGAAAATAGACGAGAGCGTTTTCGAGTATGATGAGGTCTTTGACCAAATGCAGGCAGCCAGGGAGGCCGTAGAGAGTAGCAGGAAAAAGGAGAGCGCAACACGTGCACCAAAATACATAGAGGGTTTGGCACATGCAGCAGAGAAACGTAAACTCGATAGGAGTCGGGCAGAGGAGAAAATGATACAGAAAACCCGTGAGAAAGAAGGCGACGAGTTTGCTGGTACAGAAGAGTTTGTCACTGAAGGATACAAGCAGACGCTAGCCGAAATAAAAAAAGCCGAGGAGGAGGAAGAAGCTAGGGAGAAGAAAGAGGTGGAAAGTAGGGGCGTCGGTGCATCCGCTTTCATGCGTGGTATACTCAATGATAAAGAAGAAGTGCACACCGCGGCCATGAAGGCAGCTCTAGACTCCAAACCTAACGTCATACGGCCACCTACCGAGCAAACTGACGAAAGTGAGACTACGAAGATAAAACACGCGCAATCGAAAGGTAATGAGGTAGAGATCGATGACGAAGGGCAAGCTGTTGATAAGGTACAGCTCCTCTCTGCAGGTCTCAATGCTGGAAAGAAGAGACGCGCACCTCAAGGACCTTCCCTCCCAACTCCTCAGACTCAACAACCAGGCTTCAAGAGACAGGCTGTCGGTGCTGACGCCTCCCAGGCTTCCATTAGAGCGCGTCATAGTAAGATGGTAGAAGAGCAGATGCTCTCACTCTCCAAACAGAAAGAAGAAGAGCGCAAAAGTGCGACAGAATCGCAACAATCTAAGACACTCGAAAGACGTAACGACGAGTCCGCAATCGAAGCTGCGAAGAGAAGATTCGCAGAGCGTAGGAGCAAAGCTGGAAAATAAGTTATGTACATGTATTATTACTGCCCGCGTATTCTTCGAGCGAGTCGTATATCCTGTTGCATAAGCGTGACTCTTTTTGCGTGTAAAGTACACAAATAGCTATGCTTTTGTTAGTGTTACTTGGATGTATATGTGAACCCACGAATCCTCGAATAAGTGTACCAGATAAGCTTCTGCAGCTTCCTGTAAACACATCAAAGCAGAGGACTGCCACCGAGACGGATGATAATCGTATCTGTAAGCTGAGTCTAGGAAATCCTCGTGTATTTCTCGAACCTTGTGTGCTATTAGCGCGTAGGGGGTTTATCGTGTGAGACCTACGAGTCGGGAGAAAGGAAGCTTTGCGAGAAGGAGATCTGTAGATTTCTGATACTTTCTTATTTCCCTTAAAGCTGCAGTACCTGGTTTGTACCGTTTTTTAGACTTCACTCCAGTTCTTCGGTCTCCATGAATGATTGGGTCTCCAGCTGAAGGAAATTAGAGGGTTCTGATAGAGTATAAAGATGACACACGTAAATATTTTCCTTTACCGCCCTCTGCTGACGTCGATGGCATCGTATTGATCCGTGCCATTTTGATAGTGTGGTACGATGATGAAAGTAGGGATGAAAGCGCGTATTATATTGTAGATGAGATGCCAGACGGTAAATAGTACCACAGTAATGGCATATGCACCGTCTATTCGTCTAATTGAGCGTGTCTGGGGGTGTTCAAGTTCCGGCAATACGCACGGTCATCTCAGTGCCGTACAGTACCTGGAGAAGTATACCCATACTACACTCCCTATATTGTTATCTAGTGCGCAGAATATAGTCATCATATCTCTTGGGTGTTGACGTCCACTATCTCGTGCAATGGAAGATAGCGAGCGATTCAGCCAGTCGGCCTGCTTGAATATACTAGTTATACCGATAAAGCCAGCTAGGAAATCTGTCTACAAAAGTTCTTTCCAGTCGTTGAGCAGTTTCAAACAGATAAAAGGCTCAGAAGTACCGGGATTTTGTGAGTTCAGTGTACTTTCTAGGGCCTTTACTGAAGTATTATTAAATAGCAACATTTCATCCACCGCCGCTTTCACCAACTAGTCACAGTATACATATCAATTACCACTCAAATCCAAACAATATCATAAATGATCCACAAATAGCTTTTAGCGATCAATTCCATGCTCTGATAGGCATAGTGGACTGCCCATCGCACCCTACTCTAGAAGCAGCCAATGAGGCTTTTAATGAGACAGTAGAATGTCTACCTCAGCATATCAAGCCGCATATCAAACGGTGCTGGGCTTTCCAACCTAGAGACAGCGATAGAACAGTCGCTAATCCCTCATCACAATTAGTCTTAGTTGAAGATAGTGCATTTTACTTAAATACCCTGATAGCTGATATTGTTGGCAGCGTACTCTCCTGGTTCGCGGACACGGCAGGCGAAAGACGAAGGAATGACGGTAGACAGTCCAAGCTATATGGTGACCTTTTCCTCATGTCGGGTAGACTCAAAGATAGTCTGACGTCTTATAACGATGGTTTATCACAAATGCGGGCACCTCATGACTCGTTCCACCAAGCATCTGCTATTGAATCTCAAGCGATTGCTCAAGTATTGCTATATTGGCAGAAAACAGACGATGTACCATCTCATCATTTAATTGAAACACCTTGGTCAGGTATTTGTGACAAATTCAACAACGCACTGGCTGTGTATACACGCTTACTAAATACATCAATCAATAAAGCGCTTTCAACGAGCTCAACTACAAATCTGACCAATCTGCCAAGTCAAAATCATGATTTAATTGCAATAAGGGCTTTTGTTAGGGCTACTTTGAGGCTTTCACAATTCCTTTTAACGGTGTGGGCCTGTGAGGGTCTCAACGACAACTCTTTGAAGGCTTTAGTTGAGGGTGTAACGCCTTCTTTTTTGGCGACACAACCAGATCGCGACTCTATTATCGAACATGCTGATAAGATGCCACATTTAGCTAGATCACAAATTTCAACTATTGCACAACAAGCTCATGGCACCCATTTATTCCATCTCAACAAGGTTGAACAACTGCGGGTAATACTCACATTGATTCATTTACATGACAGTATTGGATTTGCGCGCAAAGCTGCGTATTTCCGTCAAGAAGTTGTCGTAATCTGCGCAGATTTAGTGGAAGCATCGCGGAATAAAAGTCTCATCCAATCGTCAGATTCTAAACTGATAGTAAATCAACTTAACGACAATAACGAGTTATTGGTTAAAATACTTGATAATATTTGCGACGTTTACGGTATAGATACTCAATCTACGTATTTGTATGTAAATGGGGAGGAGAGTGAAGCGACGGAAAACGTACAACAGGAAGTTGAGAATAATTTCAAGTGGATCTCTGTACAGAGGGATTTCTTAAGGGATGCAATGACGGTTGTGCAACACCTCGGTGATCTCAATGCTGTTATCAAGTATGCAGTTATATTGCTAAAAGTCTACCATGCTAGTTTACCAGCTGCTGAGCAAGTTCGACTAGTTCAAATCATGCTCGCTGCTTTGGAAGCACTTAGAAGACGATCGACAACTTCTGTCGAACTCGCTTTTTGGTCGCCTGATCTACTCCTCAGTTTGGAGGTTATACCGTGAGTTTTTCAGTTTGTGAAGTAAAACCCAGCTAACTTACAAAGGTGCACCGACGAGACGCTTCCTTTTGCTACCAATTCTCAGCAGACGGTGCTGCAGAAACTTGCGAATACTCCTACTAGACGTGCTACCAGAATTGCCAAGGTAGGTTTATAATTAATGACTGAAATCCATACTTACAGTTATGTTCAAGTCTATAGCAGTACAAGATGAATACGTAGAAGTGTCAGCAACAGTGCATAACCCCTACAAATTCACATTGGAGCTGCAAGCTGTGGAACTAATGTGAGTATCTTGATTGCTTAAGAAGACTATTAGCTAACACTCCAAAAGCACCTCAGGTGTGACTTTCGAAAGCGAAAAGTTGGACGTCTATTTGGCACCAAATTCATACCAAACCTTACGGCTAAAGGGCGTGGTTAAAAGTCGTGGTCAGTTGATAGTTCTTGGATGCAGGATGCAAATGAACGGTACAATCAAGCGAGATATAATACTGCCATTGTCGACAGCTGACGAAGAGAAACGTAAGAGTAAAGTACGCAGTGAGAGATTGGAAAAGAGGAGCAAGGTTAAGAGCACCGGTTTGAGCAGTATACCATCTTTGCAAAGACAGAGTATGTCGAGCAGGGCATCTACCGTTACTTCAATGAATGATACGCGAAGGGCGACATTAACGAGTATCTCGAGTGGTGTCAAAGCACCACAATATATTGAGGTTGCTGTTGTAGCCTCCCTCCCTACGCTCATTGTGGCAGGAACTAATCTTAGTCATCACGCTCTGATGCTTTACAGTGGTGAATGGTGAGTATGAAACATTGAAAATACGTAATCTAACCATTAATTCAGTACGACGCTTAGATTGACTGTTGAAAATGTCTCAGATGTCGATGTTGACTTTATCAATCTCAAATTCCGCGACAATTCAACGGATAGCTTATTGGAAGTAATAGAGGAACAGCAAAGCAAACTCATTGATACGTATGATATGGAATACACGATCGCACATGAGCCAGTTTTTAAACCTTGTGTTGATCTCTCAAATGTCACCATACCAGCACGCAAAAAGGCAACGTTAGAGATAGAATGCTATGGTAGAATGGGATGTAACCAAGGTTCAATTTTTATAGAGTATGGAAGTAAAAAGATTAATGAAAATGAGCAAACGTATGCACGACAACTCACATACCCCCTTTTGTTAACTGTACAACAAACTTTGGAAGTGCAGCAGTTCACTGCCCTGCCGTTAGAGAGATCCGGTATGTCCGAATCGAGAGAATACTTTGGTTTGTGGCCTACTTCTCCATCAATGATGAGTCAGCCGATGTCACCAACAAATCAAACTCAAATGAGTGCGCCACAATCACCACTGATTGAACAATCACAATTATTGCAGAATCTCGACAAAGATGCTAACGAATTCCTCTTCGTGGTTGACATCAGAAACTCATTTGGTACACCCTTTGAAGTTGTTCTTGAAAGAACAAGAGATGGGGACAACTACATTGTAGAATTTGGCGTTTGCAGACTCGTACAACCCGGCTTAACAGCTCGATTAGTCTTGCCTATGAAGAGGACGAAATTGACAGAGGAGATTGCGACGGCTGGTATACCAAGCATTTGCGAACGACAGTTCATAATCTCGCAGGCTAGTCTAACTCCACAAAAGGAAAGGGTTATGCGTGAATTGTTCTGGTATAGTCAGGAGATATACAAGAAAGTTAGACTCTATTGGCGTGAACCGGTATCTACCACGGACAGACCGAGAGTCGGTAGCCTAAACCTCTACCTGCGGAAGCACAAATTGAGTAAGAGGATGCTCAATGTTGTCAAATTGGATGCATTGGACGTCGAGCTCATCAATCCGACATGGGAGAGGTTGGAACTTGGCCGAGAAGCGCAACTACAACTGAAAATAGCGAACAGAACAGAAAGGACTCTGAAGCTTAACTATCAATTTGAAGTCAGCTTGGACGACTGTTTGATAATCAAAGGTCCAAAAAGCACACACATTGGACCGCTCAAACCAGACGAAGAGGTCGTCAAGAAGGTTAATATCCTGCCAATTTCTAAATCACACCTAGAATTGCGTCTCGTGGTGCACGAGGAATACCAAGATAGCATTATCGACACAACGAAAGATTGGGATCTGAAAGTTCGAAACGCGGTCGGCCGCTTAGAAGCAGTGAATTCCAAGCCTTGTATTATTGATATTTTTTGATTGCATTGTTCATACAAATGTATTTGCTTTTGTCTTTCGTCAGTCACCATGTCGATGAGCGAGTTGGAGAATATCGCCGATAACGATGTATTGAGGTTTGTTCTTATAATCAATGGGACTGTTTGCTAAGAAATCTAATAGTCTATCGTGGGATCTAGTAAGACAGGCGCTTAAGAAAGAGATAGAGAAGGTACGTTCACGAAATCTGACAAAATTGGTTTAACAAGCCAATAGAATATAGAAGAGTACTACAAGAATACCAATAAAGATACCAAAAATGAATCTAATACCCAAGAAACAGTCAAAATGGAGCTAGACACACGCACGAAGACAGAGCCAGACGTTGGAGCATCGGAACAGAATAGTCTGCTATTAGGACATGCACGAGAACAGATTCAGACACCTGCTGTTGTATTACCGCCGAAAAGAGCACCTGTGGTGGAAAGCATATCAGAGAAGGAGGCCTACGAAGAGTTTTCGCGTATTTGGGATGTCTTGGAGACAGATTTTGTCGAGTATGTACTAATACGCGTGAATATGCCAACTAAGTACGCAATAGTGAACCACCATTCACGATACAAAGAATAGCAGAACTCGCAGTCCGTCAAAGAGGAACATACAGCACGGTAGGAAAATATCTGCGTGCATTAGGAAAAACTGTTACTGTTACATCTGGTAAAGTGACACTCGCAGCTCAGATGAAAGCTCTAGAAGATGTGTCAGCGCCGCCAGCTGGAGACACGCGCGGCCATGCCGTGCCATTAGATTCAGCCGAAATGCACACACCTGGACAACAAAATAGCACTCCTCCAACACCACTCTTCTCACCTATTCCCTTCCTTGCTGAGAGAGCTTCGCGAGATGTTTCGCCCCTGACGATCCAGGAGACTCAAGTTGAGGATCTAGGAAATCCAAACCTTCACAGGCCAACGAGCCCAACAAGCAGTAGTAATAATGCAGCAGCAGCAGCTGCCGCTGCACTCGGTGGACAACCCTCCAAGACAAAGCAAACGGGCACGCAGGAACACCACGGTATTGTCGACGAACTTGATGCCGGGCAGGGTAAAGTAGCAGAAGAGCCTGTACCACTGAGTAGCACGACTAAGCTAGAGAATACACCATCACCTGAGAAATCAAATGAAGAAGACCGTCGAGCGCACAAGAGACGCAAATCAGAGCATTTGCTAGAAATTGAAGATCAAAAACTCGCTAAGGAGTTTTAGTTTTGTAGTTTTTTACGTTTATTTGACGACGCATTGTGATTTGCTCCTTTCATCCCAACACCGCAATATGAGAAGTCAGGCAATTGTCGGTATTTTGATGCTAGCGATGGCTACAAATGTCACAGCGTCTGCTAGTTTAGCTACTCCAACGCCACTGCCTGTTGTTTATAAAAATAGACGCCAGAATTCAGATAGCACAGGTAGCAGCGGAAGCGACAGTAGCAGCTCTAACAGCGGCAGTTCATCTGGAAGTAGCAATACATCTGGCAGTAGTAGTAGCAACTCTAGTGAATCTAACTCTGATACGAGTTCTAGCAGCCAGTCCTCCGGTAGTTCAGGATCGAGTTCGAATACCGATAGTAGTTCAAACACTTCTAGCCAATCTAGTGATTCGAGCCAGTCGAGTGAAGCGAGCCAATCTAGCGCGTCTAGTCAGTCTAGCCAATCGAGTGAATCGAGCAAATCGTCAGAATCATCAGCAAGCGACAAACCAACGCCTTCACCGTCAACTGATAGCTCTGGTAATGTCGTTACAGTTACAAAACCTTCCGGATCGCACAACTCGTCAGGTGACAACTCAGGCGGCTTAGGTACCGGTGGAATTATTGGTATTGCGGTAGGTGTAGGTGTGGTTGCCATAGCCGCTGCTGGATTTATTATCTGGCGCTGTGTTAAAAGGCGGTACTCTGATATCGAGGATGATGAGGACAACAGTGGTGCGTTAACATTAAGACGAAAATTATTGTAACTGAGACACACCAGATGATATCAAATGGCCACAATTAAGGGACGCAGGCGGACCATCCGCTACTGCATTACAACCTTTGCCGGCAAGACCAACCGGTGGTGCCGGTATAGAAATGGAAAGCAGCTACTTAAATCCGCACCCTGCAACTGAAACAGACGATGATTTGAGTCTAGTGGGAGAACCACTTTCTAACGCCTCTCACTCAATCAGTGGCTTGAGATCAAATAGTCCAGGACCTATGTATGCACCATACAGTGACTATCCAATTCCAAGTCCTGCACCTGGTGCTCCACCTGGCGCTCCTCCTGGTGGACCACCAGCTCATCCCCAATACTTTGACCCTATCACTGGAATGGCTTATTACAGTGATGAGCAACCCGGCGGGGCTTATAGCGACCACAATTACACTGATCCTTTCGCAAATGAAAGTCAGGCACCTTCTCAAACACCCCAGCCACCTTGGGCACCTGGTCAAAATGACCAACCATTGCTTAACCCATATGGTGCAACGCCATCACCAAACCCTCAAGCACAATCTAGACCATACCCATCAACTCAGCCTGGTCAGTATTTCAACATGTACAATGGTAAAGTTTAGAATAGCCGGTCTTTCTGATTTCTTATTATTATTGTCGTGTTTGTCTTACAAAAATTAATAGTTCTTATATGGTTATCTTTTAGGAATACAACTGTTGTAGCAAAATTGCTCATTTTACGTTCTAATTACCTTAAACGCGTTTAGTTGGGGTATCTGAGGAGAGTATGGTACATACTGAGAAGACACTCGGGATGTAGATTTGTTTGTATAGGTCGAGACTGATGTCTGTTCCGTGTCGGACGACTTTCCAGACGCGTGATCGCCAACCAATTTGAGTGAGATTCTTGCATTCTTTTGCAAGTGGTAAGAGTGAATCAGCGTGTATATCGTTATCAGAAGGCTCGCCTAAAAGATGTAGTCGTTCGAGTCGCCGCCATTTAGATGCACAGGTAAGTATTAAAGCTATGTCAATCGAGGGGAGATGCACGACGAGTTCGGTAAGGCCTTCACAGTGTTGGCTCAAACGGACGAGTGCATCTTGCGAAATCAGAACGTGGTGTATCTATATCCTCATCAGAATCATGCATAATCATTCATCTGATGTATAAACTCACCCTTATCGTAGACAAAGACTTCGCATGCATGGCGAGTAACCTAGTAATGAACTCCTCAGGGAGATATGGAAGACTTTGCATACCAGAAGAGTATATAGTAAAACTCCTAAATTTCGTACTCTTCCGTGTGAGATCAAGTAAACGTGATATTGTCTCAGGTGTACTAAAAGTAATCGTGAGATGCTCGAGCTCTGGCAGATAAATATCCCAAGATACGTTCGAGAAATTAAGTGATTCAAGACATAACGACCGTAAACGATTATTATGTAAAAGTATTCTCGACAATCCCTTCTCGGTGACGCGCTTAAAACCACCCAATGTTAGTTGACGGAGATTGCACAATGATTTTGAAATAGCTGCAATATAATTATCATCAATTACGCTGCTTTCTTTCGCGAGTATAACGAGTGAACGCAATTGCTGACCACGGTTAAGGAGGAATCGATGAAGTGGAACGACGATATCTCTATTAGGTAGGATAATTTTGAGCGTATTTAGAGTATTCCAATCTGAATTGAATATTATATCATAGTCAAGTTGATTGCCTGCATTTAGTTCCAATTCTGCCAGTTTTGGCAATTTGCTCAAGATAAGAAGGATATCAGTTGTCAATGAGAATGCCCTAGTCCAACTACATATCTCTAGGTTTTTAAAATGAGACAAAAGCGTGCAAATTTTTTGATAGAAGAGTTGCTTTTCGTTGTAATTGAGTTGTCTAGGGAATGACCTAACTTCTAAGTGTCGTGTTAGGTGAGCCAAGCGTGGGTTTGTCTCTATCGAATCAAAGTATTGTATAATCTTGTCTGGGCGCTGCCAAGGTCTGAAAGCGACAAATGAATAGAGCAATTTGTAGCTCTCCAAACTAAAGTCTTTATTGATAAGTAGCGTAGGTAGAAGGTCATCGTGGTTTGATGCTAGTGGTTCTATTAAGTTATAAACCAATTCGATTGGTAGATTATTCATATCTCGATAATCTCTCTAAGATAAGTCTTTCGCGGTCTTCTGCTTGTAGTGCTCTGCGTTCAGCAGCAACCCTCCTCTTATGCTCTAAAGATAGACAATTTCTTAGTATATTCGTCGTGTGGATTAAATTTGATAATCTGTTATGAAGATTGACGTTATTATCGACTACGTAATCAAGAGTAGGTAAGATAATAACTCTTGGAGGTTTCTTTTTTTTAAATAAATTTAATTTTTTATTTATTTTATAAAATATCGATTGTTTAGGGCCTGTAGTATTTAAGAAATCGATAAGATCTGACGTCGTACTTGACATTTTTATGGAAAATAAAGAAGAAATAAAGGAATTTAATCAAAGGATAAATGATATATTCAAAAGATATAAAATAATGGATGACGTATCAGAGTCTTCCTCTAATACATCCTCATTGTCTGGTTAGTCTGACTTTTGACAGCCTAAATTAAATAATGAAAAGTACCGTAGACAGTATATCCATATCCGCTATCGAATCCGCATATCTAGCCAAATTTACATCAAACCATGTGACTTCCGGCTTTAAAAGCCGCAATTGTAACTGAAATCTGATTCCAATATTTACTATAAATGGATATACAGATTATTTCCTTTTCCGGCATTGTATGTTAAGTTTATCTCCAAATTTGATCATCCTCCGCTATAGATCACATGTCACTGAGTCAGGTACCACGATGCATTTGGATTAAAAGCTGGAATTGCCCTTAAGACAGACCATCATGTTCAGCTTCAAAGTAAATAATCAGCCACTCGGTATAGTAACGATATTCATTGCCATCTTGACGTGAGTATCTTTTAAAACTTTCTGCTCCTACTGACTCCTCAAAAGCTCCGTCGGAGGTATGATCTTTGGGTAGGTGTATTCTCACTAAGCTATTTTGCTAATAGTTTTAGTTATGATACCGGACAAATCTCCGATATGCTTCTCATGGACGATTTCTTAGAAAGGTGGGTCTCCACATTTCCCACCCCCACAACTTTACTTAGAATTTTATAGGTTCTCGGACACCGTTGACTGCACCAGCGGTGAATGTCAACTCAGTTTCACAAGGGTTAGAGAAGGTCTTATTGTTTCTTTGCTCTCCATCGGTACACTCTCCGGTGCACTTTTTGGTGCTCCACTCGCGGATTACCTCGGTAGAAGATGGGCGATGTGTATCGAATCCATCGTCGTCACCATAGGATTTATCGTACAAATAACCACTTTCACCGTATGGCAACAAATCGCTGTTGGTAGATTCATCTCTGGTTTGGGTGTCGGTGCGCTCTCGGCAGCCGTCCCAATGTACATGTCAGAGTGTGTCGTTGCTGCTTTCAGAGGTACAGCTGTCGCTTGTTACCAACTCATGATTACATTCGGTATCTTGATGGCATACTGTTTCTGTTATGGTACTCGTGAACTCTACAGTGACGCCAGTTGGAGAATCATCGTCGGTTTGGGTATCGTTTTGACATTCATTCTTGGTACTCTTGTTTGGTTCTTACCAGGTACGTCACCTATTCTTCTGAGACATGTCTTGGCTCACGTACGTTAGAATCTCCACGTTGGCTCATGAAGAACAACAAAGTTGATGAGGCCAGACATGCACTTGAGAGAATTAGAGGTGCAAAGACTGACTTCGACAGAACTGTCGTCGAACATGATTTCTTGGAAATCGCCAAGCGCATTAAAATGGAACAACAGACTGAGACTTCTTTCTGGAGATCATGGTTGGAATGTTTCATTGGTCATCCTGGCACTTCCAAGCTTGTCTACCGTACTATATTAGGTATGGTTTTACAAAGTTTGCAACAACTTACAGGAGCAAACTACTTCTTCTATTATGGTGCAACTATCTTCCAGTCCGTCGGTATTGAAGATTCATTCATTACTCAGATTATCCTTGGTGCAGTAAACTTTGGTTGTACCTTCTTCGGTTTATACGTTATGGAAAACTTTGGTCGTCGTCAACCATTGATGTGGGGTGGCTTGTGGCAAAGTATCTGGTTATTCGTCTTCGCTGCCGCAGGTACTGCTAAAGATCCTGAACAAGATTCAAATATTGGTAAGCTTATGATTGTTTCTGCATGTTTGTTCATTGCGGGATATGCATCAACTTGGGGTCCTGGTATTTGGATTATTACTGGTGAAACCTTCCCAATGAGAACCAGAGCTAGACAAGCTGCCATCGCAACTACAGCTAACTGGACATGGAATTTCCTTATTTCATTCTTTTCACCGTTCATCACAGGTGACATCAACTACGCTTACGGTTTCGTCTTCGCCGGATGCAACCTTTTCGGTGCAGTTTTCGTTTACTTATTCCTTTACGAATCCGCTGGTCTCTCACTTGAAGCGGTCGATGAAATGTACTCAACTAAGGGTCTCAAAGCATGGCAATCTGAAAAGTGGACTCCAGAAGGATACGAACACAGAAGAGACGTTATGGAACAATCAAAGATTAATACCTACCAAAATGAGAATGCAGATGGAAAGAGATTCGAAGACGAGGAAGATGAAAGAATCTCACAACCATCTGTCCACAATGAGAATGCCACAAAAGCATAAAAGTCATTTCATTAAACTCACTATGGGATATAGATTAACCATTAAGTTGGACAAATTATTTCAATTTTTTCATTTTTCAATTCAATTTCTAAAACAATGCGTCGTTTTAACTACTTGTAATAGAAACCTACTTTCTCGCAATAAATACTTAATTCTTGTACTAAATAAATTTGTATCAAATAAAATCATGAATTGTTGTGATTGAAAGTCATTACATGTATTGAGAAATCCACCTGAAGCCTAATGCGTGTTAGTGGTGTTCACTATATTGTTAGTATACTAACCTTCACCGTATCCTTGACGCATAACGACAGAACACATGAAAACTTCAATTGGACGAATATCTTTGAGCGGAACCTTGCCCTTACCAGTCGTCTGCCAGAGACCAAGAGCCTGACGGAGTTCTTCCTCGGAGACGGCACCTGGAGCGTCAATCTTGTTACCGAGAACTAAGAAAGGCACTTTCGAGAGTTCCTCAATAGAGAGCAAAGCATCAAGTTCAATTCTTGTTTCGTTCAATCTTTCAACATCTTGGCTGTCAACTAAGAAGACAACACCGTCAACTTCTGGGAAGTAATCCTTCCATAATCTTCTCGCTTGCTGGTGACCTCCTAAGTCGTAGGTCGTGAACTTAACGGCGCCAATAGCCAGTTCTTCTGAAGTTGGATGCAGTGTAGGTTGAAGTGTAGCCAATCTGTCGTTCTTGAGCATGTGTAAGAGTGTAGTCTTTCCAGCATTGTCTAAACCCAAGAAGAGGATTTTGGCGTTCTTGCTAGCCAAACCTGATCGTTTATGAGTGTGCGCATGGACTAGAGAGTCACATCATACCTAAAGATGCGAGTACGTCCCAAAACCAATCGAATATCCACCTAAATAATATGTTAAATGCTGATCCATATAAATTATATATTTATATTCCCACATTTTTATTTCTTACTCCTCGTTGTTGAATAACAAGCCTTACTAGTCGAACAGCGTCAATCAAAAATAAACTCATGTCTCTCTTCGGAAATACGACATCTGGTGGTGGTGGATTTAAGTGAGTTTCTCTCCTACACCCTTGCACTCCTAATCGTCTCAGTTTTGGCGCTACGGCACAACCCCAGCAACAACAAGCGAGCGGTGGATTTGGCTTTGGCGGGGGCTCAAACACCCAAGCTAGCAATACCGCAGCGAAACCATCACTCTTTGGTGGTGCAGCTGCTCCGACGGCCACACAACAACCAGCTACAACGGGTTTTGGTGGCTTTGGACAGCAGACTCAGCAGCCTCAACAGAATCAACAGCAAACTCAACCACAGACTGGTCTATTCGGTAGCCAACAGCAGAGCAGTACTACAGGAGGAACATTCGGTGGCTTTGGACAACAACAACAACAGCAGCAGCAGCCACAGCCGCAACAGACTAATCCCCTCGGCGCTTCTACAAACACTCCATTTGGCGCCTCCACTGGGTTTGGCACTACTAGTACTCTCAACCAAAATACACAAAACGCGCAGAATACCTCACAAACAGCAAAGCTTACGCGCACTACAAAATTCAACGACCTCCCAGATGCTCACAGGAAGATCATAGAGGATATTGATGCTCATATCCAGGGACGGTCGCACATCGCGCTTGCTTTAAAGGCTGAACCACTGGGTAAAGATGTCGACAGATCTTCTGTTCTACTTGATCAGGTATCTAACGATCTTATGAGTCTTCAGGGAACACTAGCCAGTACGGCTGCTTCACTCGACAGCCTCAAGAATGATACTGAGCAGGATACAGTACGCGCACTTACTATGACGCGAATTATAGATGGCTACAGACGTCCACAGGAGTCTGGCGCTTGGTTGAAGACATATAGAGATTTCCCACATGAATTCTTCGCTCAGACTGCTGTGGATCTCAAGGATAGAGCGAATAAATACACCGGAACTCTCGAACAGATAGAAAAGCATTTGAGCTATCTTCTCACTGCAAATGCAGCTGGACACACACCACAATCTATCGCCCAGATTTTGCAGACCCAACACGCGACATTTATGAGCCTGGCTAGCAACGTCGCAGAATTGGCTGCAGCCACAACGAACCTTAAGGATGGATATAGGGATATATGGAGATCGAAAACCAAATCTTACGCCGATCCATTCGCACTCTCAAATGTAGAAAGTAATATGTAAATTATTTATTCTAGTATTTTCAAACTAATTTTGTGAAAAGCTTTGGAGCTGAGCAGTCATCTACTGCGTGCAAGAAGCTGTGTATGTTGTTAGCTCTATTTAACTGCTAATAGCTGTCTGCTTACTGGACTAGAAATTGGTGTGAGCTAATTGGTTAGTGGGTGATATGTTACTTACGCCTGTTAAAATATATCAGCTGATGTGTTATAAAACGCTATGATACTCACATTTCCTCTGCACATGTCTCGCCTTGGAATCCTTCGCCTGCTTCAACTTTCTCATTGCAATGCTCGAAATGGTGCTTGAGATGAGCAATGTGTGATGAGTTCTCACATTCTAATGATATCTAAGTGGTTTGTTCCATTAGTGCTATTTTCTCACCTTCACGGATAGCTGGGTAAATCTAAACAGGATATGTGAGTATAAAAGAGATTTCTACACCAATCTACTCACATCTTCTGGCTCGTCTTCTTCTTCCTCTTCCTCTTCTTCTTCTTCACCGCCTTCTTCTTTCTCTTCTTGCTCTTCTTGCTCTGGCTCCTTGTCTTCCTCACCTTCGTCAGCGTATGCTACTGAGTATACAGTGTCTATTGCTGAATTTATATAATCCGTCAAAGCCATTGTTTTTCCTTTATTTGATAATGATGGTCGCTCACTTCGTCCATCAGTAGGCATAACGGCTAGCAAAAAAACTAAAATGGATTTCTTTAACGAATTTAAGCTCGATAAGAAGGGTGTGTAGTATTTATTCTTATAAACAATGTTGCTAAAGCGCACAGAGCTTCTGCGATTGGTTGAAAATGCAACAAATATCAATGATATACAATCCACTAGGGCAAAGCTAGGCGTAATGCAAACAAAGTTCAATGAAAGCGCAGATATACTCCCTGCATATGATCAGAAAAGCTATACAGTTCAATTAGCTGAACTCACGCGAATTCTTGCAGAGAAACAGGCGACCGTTACCCCAGCACCCCGTTTTAGCTTTCGCAATAAGTCGCATGCAAAGAAGATGAATGTTGCACAGAATTCACGTACAGTTCAACAAACTCCGCCTCTCGAGAAGCACCTGGATAACACATCTGTTGTTATAGCAGATATATCTAATGAGGTCTGCGATAAGGGTGTATTAGGTAGTCTAGTAGTGCGCAATATTGAATCTATCGTTGCTCGCATCGTAAGAACATCTGGATGTCATGCTCACAATATCCGCAAATGTATCATCAACTTTGGCAACATAGATGGTAGTTTATTCCTTCAGAATATTACAAATGCGATAATAGTCTCAAACTGCCACCAAGTAAGTTGGCTATAAGAATTGACAGTCGCTAATCATTCCAGTTCCGCATGCATGCGTCAGAAAATGTCGTAGTATGTCTCAAAACTACCTCCACCGCCGTTATTGAGGACTGCAAAGGTATAGTATTTGTCAAACACCCCAAGAGCGATAGCATACCATCCGTGTCTGACTTTGATTCCCCGTTGTCGTCAGATAATTTTACGACGAGCGAGCGCTATAATGGCTTAGATGATATTTTTGACAGTTTAGATATCAACCATCTCAAATTCACTCCTCATTAGATAGTTATTTTAGCATACATCAGCATTTTTATGGTTATACAGACGTGATATGGGGGAGATCTCATATGAGCTTAATAATAATGAACCATAAGCTAAGCCTGGGATGCAGAAAATTATACCAATGCCAGCAACAAAACCAAGTACGAAAACCTCCTTGAGATACTTCAATTATGTGTTCTACAATGATATGGTCGGGAACAACAAAGGTAATATGTTGCATATGTATCAGGATACCTTTTTCACAATGGATAGATAGATTCTCTGACTTTTTGCGTTGTATTATTACATTTACACTCAGTCAATAAAGCATAGATAATTTCAGAGTAACCTGAGGTGCGTTCTCCTCTAATAAACTTATTGGCCAGATCTATAGACGCATTTTCAGTAAATAAGCTTCTTTTCTTAATCGAATGGTAATTCTCTCTGGTCTGTAATTCTTCTGAATCAAAATGTTTTCCAATGTGAGAATCACAGGTTAAACTAGCTCACGGTGACATCGACATAGTATGGATGTTTTTCTCATCATTTACTCTGGTACATGTCATATTTTGGCTTCGTATCTTGACTAATGGCGAAGGAGTGCTTTGTCAAACCAATCATGATGTTACAGTATGATCAACATGTACCTAAATTTAATTCCTATCTTGAGTGTGGACATATCGGTGGAAAAGTTCGTATTGCAATCGCGTTAATCTCATTTTACTAAGTCTCTAATATCGTCGCGAGGGTCTTGGTTATTAGGTCTGTTTTGGTATTCTAGCTGTAGGTCTAGATGAGTAAAAATAGCGCCATCATCACAATTTACGTGTAAAATTGTGTTTGGCACTGTTTCCAAACCAAATTAAAAACATTTATACCGTTCGCAAGTATATCTTTCTGATATGAAGAGACGTTAAAGAAACCAAAGCTATTGTATTACATTATAAAACATACTATTTCATAAGATCCTCAGTTGCAGATATCTCATCTTGTGGCGCCTTTGCTGTCAGAAAAACGTTTGGAGTGTCTAAGTAGTAGTACATAATATCAATATATCGCTCTAATTGAAGTGTAATAACTTTTTCAATGTATTTGGGAATCCCCGACCTGCATCAACGCGTATCTCCTCACACTCGCTTCAATAGATTCGTTCGCCCCGAAAAACGGTCCTCAGGGTTAGTTGTCTTAGGTTGCGACATTTGATATCGAGCGGGAAATGGATATTAAACAGCATATCCGCAGATTATCACTCAACCGTAATAATATGCCAAGCGATGAGAGCTCTCGCGCCAAAAATGGAGGTTGGGTCTTAGGTTGCGACATTTGATATCGAGCGGGAAATGGATATTAAAC